TTCAAAGTAGGGGTCCTAAACCCCAGACCCCCAACGCTACGACCTAAACCTGGGCCGAAACCCTATACGTGGATGGGACCAAGGTTGTCCAAGTTCAAGAAAATTAATGCGGAGATAAACTGCAGCTCTTTGATCGGAATCCTTAAGAGAAGCTAATACATTGGCAAAGCAAACCCTAGCTGTGGGAGATGAATTACGACCAGAACGGGAACGCTACAAAACGTGGTAGTAATTATGTAGATGTCTATGAAACATTTAACCGCACACGGTGTAGAGCTTTCAAAGCCCTATAGTGTAGTGGCCTTAGTTATTACAGCAAAAATTTGGGTCATGTTATGGTAGATGGAACCTAGGGGAATAGATTTGGGATTTCTTTCAGCCGCTTTGGACAAGCCGGATAAAGCCGCTCTTTCAACACGCTCATGCCCTCAACCGAAAACCCGAAACCCTAGCTCGAAAGAATAAGTTCCAAAGCCTAAAACCTAAACTCTACACCCTTCAGACCTTAAACCTTAAACTCCGTACATCCGCTAGAGATTTCGAAAATGCGCGCAAGCCCAGAGCCCGTTGCCTCAGGGTCCGTCTGCAGCAGGATGTCAGTCGACTGCCCATACCTGCAGGGTTTCGGGGGGTTTGCGTTTTGAATTCAAGCCTCCGCCCCTCGGCCCTCGCGGTGTTTAAGTTTTGTAGGGCATCTTAAAAGGTGGTTAGCTGAAGTGCTGTGTGCGGGGCTTGGAGTGCTATTGAAGGGGTCCTGGGACTTAGTAAGTAGGTTATATATGATGACGATAATGAACACACATACATACTGTTTTTGACGATGTCCTACATTTAACCGAAGTTGCTAGCTGCGTAATTCCTAAACCTGCTAAAGCCCAAAAAAACGCCGTAGCCCTGCTAGGCGAAGCCGGACAACAGGAAGCCCTTAAGTGCAGAACGGTTTACAATCTAGGGTTCACACATGCGTGCAATTCGCTTGCTTTCTGTCTGTCTATTTACCACTCCTGTCCCTTTGTATTCGGTATGCCTTATAGGCCGGGCCTTGATAAGATTTCGTTCTTGATTTTGAAAGGCTTTGGTACAAGGACCTGAACAATCAGATTACTGTTCGGGTGCATAGTGCAACTATACAGGGCCGATAAGTATACGCGGAGATTGGTACTAGTAATCGGCCGGCTGGTGCTGGCTGGCGGAAGCTTGTGGGTCAGAGCCTTCAGAGCCGAAAAACCAGTCGTCGTACGCTTTGAGGCGTCAGCGAAGCTGCCTGATAGCAGCGGGACACGGGGGTTCTCTGCGGGGATGTGGCTGTGACGTGCTGAGTTCGAGTGCTTGGCCACAGGAGATGTCGCAGGCGACCTCGATGCACTTTGTCCAGGTGAATGCCACCTTAGTGACTGTCTGGCTGCCGCACAGCACAGCTGCACGTGCCTGCTTCGAGACCAGGGAAATAGTTGCTGGTTGATCTCGACACCCACTTGTAGGCGTCAACGACGCTGTTTACACAGCTCTGTCGTTTCGCAGCCTTCTTCGCAGTCTTGCTGGCCTTCGGGCTCATGCCTTCAGCAGTCCCCACCGGCAGCGAGAGCTGGAATAGAAAGTGTGGACTCCTGATCTGCAATCAATCGGGGCTTGTAGGTATGTGGAGCCAGACGCGGAAGAAGGCAACATCTCCGCTTCGCTTGAAACTTCACGGAAACCCTAAGCCCTAAGCCCTAAACCCTGAACTCTAACCCTAAACCCTAAACCCCCAACCCCAACCCCTAAACCCCAAGCAGTTCTTGCTTCCACAAGGATGCCAAGGAAGACTAGGATCGGTGCTCACGTTGGGACAGGGGGTCTGGGTGCGTAATGTAGGGGCCTTCATACTCAGAATAGTGTTTGGGGGCCCAAAAAAGAACCCCAAAAATAGTATAGGCAATTCTTAAGGCCCTTATATCAGGCAATTCTTAAGGCCCATTATACTATAGTTACAAAAAAGGAACCCCAAAATAGTATAGGCAATTCTTAAGGCCCTTATATCAGGCAATTCTTAAGGCCCATTATACTATAGTTAAAAAAGGAACCCCAAAATAGTATAGGCAACTCTTAAGGCCCATTATACTATAGTTAAAAAAAGGAACCCCAAAATAGTATAGGCAACTCTTAAGGCCCATTATACTATAGTTAAAAAAGGAACCCCAAAATAGTATAGGCAACTCTTAAGGCCCATCATGCTATAGTTAAAAAAGGAACCCCAAAATAGTATAGGCAATCCTTAAGGCCCATTATACTATAGTTAAAAAAGGAGCCCCAAAATAGTATAGGCAACTCTTAAGGCCCATTATACTATAGTTAAAAAAGGAACCCCAAAATGGTATAGGCAACTCTTGAGGCCCATTAGGCTATAGTTAAAAAAGGAACCCCAAAATAGTATAGGCAACTCTTAAGGCCCATTATACTACAGTTAAAAAAGGAACCCCGAAATAGTATAGGCAACTCTTAAGGCCCATTATACTATAGTTAAAAAAGGAACCCAAAAATGGTATAGGCAACTCTTGAGGCCCATTAGGCTATAGTTAAAAAAGGAACCCCAAAATAGTATAGGCAATTCTTAAGGCCCATTATACTACAGTTAAAAAAGGAACCTCAAAATGGTATAGGCAACTCTTGAGGCCCATTATAAGGCCAGCAACCCTTAAAGCTCTCGGCCCGAGTGGAAGCACCAACCATTTATTTCACGGTTTAGGGTTTGGGGATCATGGGGCTTAGGGTTTAGGGTTTAGGGTTTGGGGTTTAGGGTTTAGGGTTTGGGGATCATGGGGTTTAGGATGGTTTTTTAGGGTACAGGGTCATCTACCCAGTAGGATACTGGAGACTTTACCCAGGGGTACACTGATCAGATGCCTGCTTTCGTCTTATGAAGAACAAGCCTAACATTTGACACACAAATCCAAGATCCTCCCAACCCTGCAAAGTGGGCGTACTGCAGTGAGCCCAGCCGGATTTCACCCATTGCCAGTTCCTGGGAGCACATGAGTTTGAGGCTTCGGATGTAGCTTTGGGGGCAGTCTGTTAGATACTTTGAGCCGCAGACCCCCAAACTCATCTCTGTAAACGCGGTACCCTACAGGGTAGACTCCATAGTAGTTCAGCATTGAACTTTGCGCACGAATGCTTAGGGCCTCGAAGCTTATTGCTCAAGACCGCGGAGCCCACGGGGTGTTGTAGGGTTCCGCAGGGGATGCTATGAGGGTTATACTACAAAGGTTTATGAAGGTACTGTAGGGTGTTAATGTTTGTGCTTTCGGGCTTGGGGTCTCAGGATTTGCCGATTTCGGGCTGCTTTATGATTCATCACTTGTCCTAACCACACAAGCCAGTGGCGCTTTATGTAGTGGTGGAAACAGAGTAGCACTAACAGTAACAATGGCAACAACAATGATAGTCATGATAACAGCACCCATGGTATGTGAGCTGAAAACACTACCCTGTGTAGCTAGGGTCCTACCTTGCAGGATTCGACGAAATCGACTGGCGAGGCCCAAGCCTCATTGACTGCAGGAACACGGTCCGGGTCGGCCAAGGCATTGTTGATGGCCTCTTGCCAGAAGTCATCGTCCATGTCGAAATTTTTTGAGCTGGAGCTGGCTCTGCGGAGTCCTCGGGGGCATCTGTTGCAGGGGCAAACTTCTTGGCCGGACTGGCTTTAGCGACGGCGCCTGCCGGTCCCGTCCAGTCGCCCCAAGAGTCGTCAGCAGAGGACGCCGACCCTCTCTGAGGTTCTTTGCGCTCTGCGGGGGCGCTCCATTGATACCAGGATCTGCCGCGACCCTTGCCGCGCCCACGTCCACCTTGATGCTTCCCTTTGCCGCCACCTGTGCCACGGCCACAGCCTCCTTGCTGCCAACCACTGTTGCCCAGCTTTGCGAATTCTAGCTGCGGTTCCATTGCTGTTGGCTGTCATTGCCTTGATCACTCCACTGCTGGTTGTAAGCCCAGCCTTCATCATTGTTTGCCCAACGGTCAGCCTGCGGCTCGTTTGGAGTATCAAGGGGTCTAGCAGGTAGAGTCATAAGTACGGTTGTAACACGGCCACGCAGTTACGGCAGTTCTTCAGAATCCACCTGCTTTCAAGAGCATGGAACTTAGTAAGGTAACAAGTACCTTGACTGGGGCTCGGAGCAATTACAACTATAGCAATCCTATTTATAACCCTAGTTACCAAGTCCCATGACACTCCAAGTAACCCCAACGCCCCCACTACGGAACCCATATAGACCCCTTAAAGGAGCCCCCTTTTGAAGGAACCCTTAGAATGCCAAACAGCCATTACTCACTCCCCAGACCTTCCAAAATCCCTTAATTAAGGAATCTACCTTCAATTATAGTAGGATCCCTAATATCATTTAAGGTATATTCCTTAATTAAGGGATTTTGGACTTCCCTAAACCCTATAGATCCCTTATAGATCCCTTAAAGGAACCCTAGGTATATTCCTTAATTAAGGGATTTTGGAAGGTCTGGGTCCCTTGATCGTCCAGTTCCTGCGCTCCGAGCGAGTCGAGCTCTCGGGTTTACAGGTTTCGGGCGGCGGAACTTCAGGGTTTCCGGATTTAGGGTTTAGGGTTTAGGGTTTAGGGTTCAGGGTTTAGGGTTTAGGGTTCAGGGTTTAGGATTTAGGGTTTAGGGTTTAGGGTTCAGGGTTTAGGGTTTAGGGTTCAGGGTTTAGGGTTTAGGTTTCAGGGTTTAGGGTTTAGGGTTCAGGGTTTAGGGTTTAGGGTTTCAGGGTTTAGGGTTTAGGGTTTAGGGTTCAGGGTTTAGGGTTTAGGTTTCAGGATTTAGGGTTTAGGGTTTAGGGTTTAGGGTTCAGGGTTTAGGGTTTAGGGTTCAGCAGCTCCGGATCGAGCAGTTTCTAGTCGAGCTTGTAAGTTAGACTTGGAATAATACCCACCCACCCAGAGAATCCCAAAACATTAAGACATATACATTCTATCCTTAAGGCTTAAACTGAGGCCCAAACCCTAATACCCACCGAAATCGCCTTGTCCACGAATTCCGCCCTCCGAAATCGCCTTGTCCACGAACTCCGCCATTCGTGGACTGATTCGTGGACAAAGCGATTTTTCGGAGGTCGCCTTGTCCACGAATTCCGCCCACCGAAATCGCCTTGTCCACGAATTGCGCTCTCCGAAGTCGCCTTGTCCACAAATTCCGGCCTCCGAAATCGCCCTGTCCACGAAATCCGGCCTTTGAAAAACAGCCTTGTCCACAAATCCATTGAGGTTTAAATGTACATGTGATTGAGAGGTTTAGGGTTGGGGTTCTGCATTCAGGATTTAGGGTTTAGGGCTTAGGGTTTCAGGTCAGGGTTTAGGAACCTCCAAGAATCTTAAATCACTGAACACTCAGCCGCTGAACCCGCAACCTTCTCTGATCAAAGGGGGTTAGGGTTTAGGGTTGATGATATAAATCCTGCATTACCTTAAGGACCCTAAACTATGGGAATTATGGTATATTCCTTATTATGGGTCATGCAGGATTTCTATCATCAACCGTAGGGTTTAGAGCCTGGCCTGACTTGGAGCGTCAGAGGACCGGTCGGGTGAAATGTGCCCTAAGTGGGATCCAATTTGTTTGGGGTTCTGGTATGTGCAGCTCCATACAGTAACCGTACCCTGGCCCCCAAAAAAGTAAACTTTTGAACCCTAGTAGGATTATGTAAGCCCCAAAAGGTTAAAGGTTACCTACTCAGACCCCTAAGTAACTAGAGATCCCAATACCCCTTAATTAAGGAATATACCGTAAACCATAATATTAAGGCCCCTCACATTCAAGGTATATTCCTTATAATTAAGGGGTATTGGGATCTCTAAGTAACCACTGACTAAGTCCCACCGGCCCTCCAAGAAAAGTCCTCGAACACTACGCTCTGGAGCTCCAAGAAAACTATCGGCTTAGGGTTTAGGCTTTAGAGTTTAGGGTTGAGGGCTTTATTCGGGTTTAGGAGTTTAAGGTTTAGGAGTGTAGGGTTTAGGGTTTAAAGAAACGGCTGCAGATGATTATGAACCCTCACCACACTCGTGACGCAGCTCCTCCAAACCCAAGCCTACCCAAACCCCCCAAACTCTAAACCCGAACCACTAAAGACCTGAACAAGAACCCCTAAAGCCCGAAACCCTATCGACTGCCCAACCCCTAACCCCCAAAACCCTAAAACCGAAAAACCACTGCCGCACCAGGACCCGCGCAAAGCCACCAAGCACCCGCTGAACGGCCTCCAAGGGCTTCACCTGCGTCTTCTCTCAAAATATGCGTTTTTGGGTTTAAGGGTTAAGTTTAGGGTTGAGGGCTGATCCAAGGGTGGGATGAGGGTATGTGTGTGTGTGTGACTCGCCACTAGGAGTCCTCATACAAACGGTCCTTAGTCCACCTAACACCCTAAACCCCAAACCTTAAACCCCAAACCCTAACTTCATCCCACCTTGCAAGGCCCCCGATTGTCGGGATTACCACGACATTTCGGGTTCAGGGTCGGGAAATCGCTGTCGTCTTGAAGATCGCAGCAGCAGTTGTGCTGATAGTACCGACACTTAAACCCGCTATGTCGTTGCTCCTAATTTCATTTACTTTCGGGCTCCCTGCAATCACTGAATAATTCGGATACCCTCTTCCTAGCTTTCAGCTGTTATAGGAGCGATCACCAGACATCAAAGGGCACAGGGGTACTACAAGGATGCTGTTTCTGTTGCAGGAGCAGCAGTAGTAGTAGCAGTCGCATCTGTAGAAATGGTGGTAGTAGCAGTAGAGTAATGGGCAGTAGCCGTTGCAGTAGCAGTGGCAGTAGCAGTAGCAGCAGCCGTAGCCGTAGCGGTGGACGAGGCCGCAGCCGTAACCGTAGCAGCAGCAGTAGCAGTAGCAGCAGCAGAAGCAGAAGCAGTAGCAGTAGCAGTACAAGTAGCAGTAGCTGTAGCTGTCGGAGTGGCAGCAGCAATAGCAGTAGCTGCAGCTGTCTGTTGCTGTAGGAGTGGCAGTAGTAGGAGTAGGAGTAGGAGTGGGGGTGGGGGTGGGGGTGGGAGTAGGAGTGGGAGTAAGAGTAGGAGTGGGAGTCGCAGTAGAGCAGCCCGAGCAGCCCTCGGAAACTTTGGGATCGACTGCACCTGGGCAGCTCTGTAAGTCAGGCCACCTTTTTGCTCCCCAAATTATGTAGTACGTCACCCGTATAAAAGGGGTCATAACACAGCCCCTATCTTAGCAAACAACTCACACAGTACCCTTTTTTGAAACCCTATGGGGACTCCTTATAGATCCCGATAGAAAACCCCCGAATGTACCCTAAACCCTAACCCCCTAACTTAGGGAACTACCCACCCCCCTAAGCCCTAAACCCTGAACCCTGATTGAGAGAACCACCCACCTGGAGCTTCGCGTTCATGCCACTGGTGGCAAGGAGGTTGCTGATGGAGTTCACGAAGATCGTACCGACCTCATAAAGGGTTTAGGGTGGAGTTCTTAGAATAAGTCTATTAGGGTTCCTGTAAGCGATCTATACCCAAAGGGTCCTATGTACCGATATAGTAGAATGTAGGGTTTCCATATTGGGAATTACTATCATGACTTAGGGAAGTATCCCCCATAACAGTACATACGGTTGATGATAGAAATCCTGCATGACCCATAATAAGGAATATACCATAATTCCCATAGTTTAGGGTCCTTAAGGTAATGCAGGATTTATATCATCAACCGTAGGACCCTTTGGGATAAGGCTACGAAAGGGGTTTGGGCTTTGAGGGCTTAGGGTTCAGAGCTCAGGGTTTCAACCTTCGGTTTCGGGGACTGGAGGAGTTGGAGTCTTTGGGTTTAGGGTTTAGGGTTTAGGGTTTAGGGTTTAGGGTTTAGGGTTTAGGGTTTAGGGGCGGCAAACCGCAGCGCCGTTTTAAACCCGAGTGTGCCGTGTCGCATAGCTGCATGGTCAGTTCTTGTAACCCTACTTACTAAGTCGCATGATTTTCCAGGTAAACCCCTGAAGCCGAAACCTAAACCCCCAAACCCTAAATCCCAAACCCCCAAACCCTAAACCCATAAGCCCTAAACCCGAATTTAGAGAACTACCCATACTATACCTTCGTAATAACGAACCCTGAAAGAACCCTTGTAAGGATCTCTTCCAAGGAACCCTACACCCATCCCTAAACCCCCAAACCCTAAACCCCTAAACCCTAGAGCCCCAAGCCCTCAACCCAAACTACCCACATGAGGCCTTCATAGAAACCCCAAAGAGACCCCCCGCCCCCCCCCACAGATCCCTGTAAGGAACCCTACAAAGGCCCATAAGAAAAACTGAGGATAGTGATATCCGCATAAAAACAACCATCATAATGAAGCACAATAATGCTAAAACGCTGATGCTTACGTCCTTTTCGGGTCCCAAACCATACTTAAAGGATCATGGGACTTAGTAACTACTGGGTTATAAGTAAGGCAACTATACTTATAATTGCGTATAACCCCAATCAGGGTACTTATATAAACTTACTTACAAATCCCCTGATCCTCCAAGTACACCCTAAACCCCAAACTAAACCCTACAGATCCCTTTAAGGAACCCTATAGATCCCTTTAAGGAGCCCTTGAAGAACCCTTACTAAGTCTATACTGAACTTAGAACCCTAGCAAAAATTATAATTTTAGCTGTTTCTTAGGGATTATACTCACCAAAAATTAAAAAATATTTGAAAAGTCCCCCTAAGAAGTAGACCCTACACCCTAAACCCTTATAGTACCCCTATAGATCCCTTTAAGGAGCCCTTTAAGAACCCTTACTAAGTCCCCTAAGCCCCCTAAGCCCAGGCCCAGGCGAAGCCAGCATCAGGGATGAAAGCATAGGTTCCATCACAGAAAGAAGCGACTTTGACCTGAGTGCTCTATGGAGGTTAGGGCTTAGTGTTTAGGGTTTAGGATTTTGGTTTGTCGGTTTAGGGTTCAGGGTTTAGGATTTAGGATTTAGTGTTTAGGGTTCAGGATTTAGGTTCAGGTTTTAGTGTTTAGGGTTTAGGGTTTAGGATTTAGGTTTTATGGTTTAGGGTTTAGGGTTTAGGAGCGTTGTATGCGGTTTTATAGGGATTCCTTTAAGCAAGGCTCCCTTCAAAGGGTTCCTGGAAGGTACCTTTAAGGGTTGGGTTCCTTCAAGGTCCCTTTGAAGGCTCTCTTTACAGGCTTCCTTTGAGGGCTTTGAGGGCTCCTTGAAGGTCTCTGGAGTTGTGCTTGATATGCCAGTCATGATTCTGTCCAGTCCCTTAATCAGCAGACAGGAGACCCTGCCACGGGTCCGGCGGCGGAGCTGCGGCCTTGCCTACAGTAGAAGCCAGAAAGTTGGAATATGATAATCCTAAACCCTTTATGGTAAATTAGAGGGTATCCTACCCTGAAACCATATTCCAACTTTCTGGAGTTCCCTTTATTCTTGCATCCACTGCCAGTCAAGCAAAGATCTGTAGTGATGGCGTGCGCAGGCGGTGCCAGTCGGGCCCGATCAAAGCCTTGCTGGTGGTTCCCGCCGGGCAGACACCCCCCCCAGACCTTCCAAAAGCCCTTAATTAAGGAATATACCTTAAATGATATTAGGGATCCCTAATATCATTTAAGGTATATTCCTTAATTAAGGGATTTTGGAAGGTCTGGGCCTACCGGCATAATAGCAGGCGCATGAAAGCAAGATATTAATGCCTTCGGCTCGCTATAAGTCCAAGACGAAGGCCTTGGAATCAGCCACCCGCAATTTCAGCCTCCTGGTCCTGAGCTCCACTGACAGGAACCGCACGAGGCCGGCCATGGTGCAGGCATTCCGCATATGGGAGTTTCGGAAAAATTGGGGACCCTAATATGGTACCCTAAAGAGTAGGATCCTTATTATAAGGACCCCAACCAATTGGGGGTATGATCCGCCAAGTATGGTACTCGAGCCCTAAACCCTAAACCCTAAAACCTAAACCCTAAACCCTAAAACCTAAACCCTACACCCTAAACCCTAAACAACCGAAGACGACAAAGACGAAACTAAGACGAGGCTCCCTGTGGTAGAGGGGTTGACTCTATTTGGGCTTTAGGGTTTAAGGTTTAGGGCGTAGGGCATTTGGAGTTACATACATTTTAGAGTTTACGGTTCAGAGTACCTTTCAGAGTTTAGGATTCGGTTTTCTACTATGAAACGCGGTAGCGGGGTAAAGTCATACTATGCCTACCCAAAGGCCCCAAAGTAGTTCCTTTTTGGGGTTCATACATAGAATCCTATAGGGTGCTCCCAAAAAGGAACTACTTTGGGGCCTCTGGGTATAGCCAGGAACCCTATAGGAATGGAATCAACAATCGCCTGCCTGGGCTTCTTTATTCGGGGCTGCTGCTGACCCTTGACTAGGATGCCCAGTAACCTAGGAAAAAAAGGGCTCCGTTTTTGGTATTGGGTAACTTTATGAGGAACCTAGGACTACAAAAAGAAAAAAAGGGCCCACTGGGAGGCCTAGATACACTGTTTTGGCGAAAATACCTGCAAGCCACCGAAAGCCAGGCGCTGCACAAAAACCCTCAACCTTTAACGCTCGGGCTCTAGCAAGTGGAATACGGATCGTTTGAAGGGTTCCTTGTGCAAGGTTCTACAATCAGAGTTTTAGTAGACTGCCCTTCCTCATTCGATTAACTACAAAATCCTGTAAAGTCCTATCAATGCAGAAAAGCACCCTGCACACTTCTCAAAGGCCTTTTCAGCCCTTCTGTACTGAATCCGAAACTCTGCACCGTAAGCCCGCAGCCCTACACTGCTACACCGTCAACGCCAAACTCTAAAAACCTATAGTACCCTCGGAACCCTGAAACCTAGGAGTACCCCTTTCGATCCCTTACAGGAATCCTTCTAGATCCCTTTTTTGAAGCGTGAACCCTAAACTTCCACACCGTTTGAGGCTCACGCCAAGAGCTTGCTGTCAATCTCGTAGCCTTTGGCAGCTTTGAAGCATTCAGTATCTCAAGGCTTTGTATTGAGTTGCGAAGGCTTTCGTGGTATTCGGTGCTTTAGGATTTAAGGCTCTTACAAGGGATCTATCAAGCTTCTTTGAACGGATTTAGAAGGGCGGGCACTACGGGCTTAGACTTTAGGGTTTAAGGTCTGGGAATTGTAAGTGTCTTGGGACTCAAGGTTTAGGGTATATGGGGTTTACGTTTAGGCTTTAGGGTTTATGCTGAGGGTTCAAGGCGCAAGGCTTTGGGCTTAAGGTTTAGGCTTCAGGCTGACGGCAAGGGTCTACAGGGATTAGGGTTTAGGGTTCAGGTACCTTGCTTTTGTCGGAGGCGTGCCTTCCCTGTTATCGTTGAGTTTTCGGAGTTTTCAACTCAGCACTTCACCACCGTGACTGATTGCAGCATCGCACGACTTCGCAAGCAAAGCAGGGATACTGATACATTACTGTCACGATGTCGATCAGTCGACTCACGGCACGGTGACCTATTCTCCTACCCTGGCTACCATGCTATACCTATGCTACTTTGGGGGGTCCTCATTCAAAATATTGTATACTGCCGCCTGAAACCCTATTCTAATTCCCCGATCCAGATGAGAAGACATGGGAGTTTCCGAAAATTAGGGGTACCTATATTTTGGGGTCCTTATACTCAGGATCCTACTGCTGTTCTCTCATGTCAATCACTTCCACAGGCAAGCTGTCTGTTGGAAATTTTGGTTCTTGGAGAATGATCTTTGCACACTGGATGGCTGCCTGTGGGCGGGTCGCCTTGATGCAGTAGTCTGGAACGCCCGAGCTTGGGCTTGGGCCCCAGAATGAGGAATTCGCGACCCCAGAGATAGTACTGTGCTGTATTGCACTACAATGTACTTTAGTTGGCATGGGTGCAGCCATGAAGCAGATGCTGCCAATTTTGAGGGACATCTGGAGAATACAACACCAGGTTTTCGCGAACATGGTCCGCGGTGACCTGGTATGTTTCTCCTGACGCGATGGTGCAGGGGAGTCAACAGGTCCAGCACGGTCTGCTGAAAACGGCAGGCTGTCCTGTCTGTGCTGCTGATGAGAGTGTACCTCCCCCTGCAGGACATGAGAGCGGCTTTCCTCACAGGGGACCCTGGCAACAGTCAACCGAGGCACGACTGGTCTTCGGCGGCCATCACATAGACATCCTCCTTGCGCTTCCTCGGCTCCAGAAATTCATCGTTAGCTCAATCCAGGAAGCTGTCAGCTTTGCTTTGCAAGTGAGCCACACGTAAACGACTTTGGCCGGATCTGCAAAAAACGTGCTCAAGTCCTGGCAAGCTGCTGAGCTGAATCATGCGAAATACACGAAGGGGTACATGGGCGCACCTGTCTGTGAAAAAGCCGTCATGACCTGGGCATGCACAATCGAAACTGCATGCAAGTCTCATTGCAATATCCGGCCCAGGGGCTTGGGAGCAAGAAAGTAGAGTAAGGCGCACTGTTGGTATGAGCCGAAGATCAAGCTGATTGTCGGAGCACCAAATCAAATAGTTTTCCTCGTGGATATAATTTGTACGTCAAGGATTCACCCCTCAAGCCCGGACCCAGGGATGCTCCTTCCAGAACGAAGCCATTGGAATACCTACATACTTCTGCAGTTCCCAAGATGGCAATGGTTGTGATCCATTACGATAACATTGTGGCTCTAAAGACTTTCACATAACAGGTCTTGAATGAAAGACCTTGACTTTTTTAGGGTCTGTGATAATATGCACTCGTGAATAATCACATCCTCTGTAACCTTGTGCTTGGCTGGATTTGGGAACGTGGACGTGGAATTGGTAGATGGGAACAGGTGGGGAACACTGAAGGAAACTCGTTTCTGGAGCCATGGAATCATGTAAATCCACCTGCAATCACAAGTCACGAGCAAGTTACTGCTCTGGGGTTCGGGTGGATCACTGAAAAGGTCCTCACGAATAAAGCCGACGCTCGATCGGCCAGAAGCATATAAGGCCTCGCACGATGGGCCCAGGAGCCCTTGGAGAGCCTCAGCCTGCTCCGGTATTTCCAGAATTTCCAAAACTTCAGACCAAATGGACTGGTCTCAAGCATGGGTCGCGCTGTTCTAAAAATGTTGAAAATGTTGGACAGTGTGGACATGTTGGATTGTTTAGCCATTTTGGAAATCCTGGACCCTAGGTCACTTTTTGTTTCTTTGTCTTTGGTGGAGGAGGAGGGGTGGCGTTGGACGCTGCAGAGCAATAGTTGCCAGTCAAAATATATCAAATGAGGTTGGCTGCATTTCGCGGCTCCTTTTCTGGGGCCGCGAGACGGCCCCATTTTTGGGGTCGCAAGTTTGATTCCTGCACCCACAGCGGCTGAATCTCGTCAGCTGCGCATATCATTGATTGTAATGACTTTGGGGAGCGTCTGGTGGAGGACCGTTTGGAAGGTCGAAACTTGTCCAAAAGCAGCTGTGTGCTCGCCCTTAATAGTGCTGCAGCCAGCAGAATGCAACTGTATTTTGGGTGCTATGTTCGGGTCCCCCTATATTCGGAAGCTTCCACATCTTCGCTAGCTGCGAAGACTCGAGGTTCCGCGTTTCGTCATTCTAGGTTGGGAGGCGAGGGCGGGCTTAGGGGTTTTAGGAGGCTAGGCTGGGCTTAGGGTTTTTAGGAGGCTAGGGTGGGCTTATAGGGTTTAGGGTTTAGTGGTTTAAATATTTGCTTGAGCTCCCAGGGTTTAGGGTTTGGATCAGAATTTTGGGGCTTAGGGCGTAGGATACTGTTGTTGGGATTTGGGGTTTCGGGTTCAGGAGCCTAAACCCCTAAACGCTAGACCCTATAGGTTCAGAAAACGAAATCCGATTCGGCCTCAAGATGCCCTAGATCTTTGCTCGTGAAAAGGCTTCGGGTTTCGCAGGAAAAAGCCTGATTATTCGGGTCCTAACCAAGGGTTCCGGTTCAGTCCTGAAGTTAAAGGCTCAGTCCTGAAGTTAAAGGGTTTAAGGCCCGGTTTAGAGTTTAGGGTTTAGGGTCTAGGGTTTAGGGTTTAAAACAACTCCTATCTTACGGTGTTGAGCACCCAAAGACCATACTGTAGCTGGACTGTTGTGTGATGTCGAGCCTACAGTAAACACCCAAACAAAAACCTAAATCCGAAACCCTAAGCCCTAGACCAAAAGCCCTCCTCGAGGGGCCTTAATAATTGGAATAGGCTTTTGGGGCCCATTATAATGTAATTATCATAAGGAAGCCGCACAATAGTATAGGTACCTATTTAGGCCCCTATAGTAAACCCCCATAAAACCCCTCATAGTAATCCTTTTTGACCCCTTTAAATCTACGCCCCTGTAGCAACGCGGAAACCCAAGACCCCGAAACCGAAACCGCGCAGCAAGGCTACTCTTGCGAGGTCTCCGGGTTTTTGGCTTCGAGTCGTTGATGGTCTAGGGTTTAGGGATGCTTAGGGTTTAGGCTTGAGGGATGTTTAGGGTTTAGGGTTGAAGCTTTAGTTTGTAGGGGTTTAGGGTTTAGGGTTTAAGGTTTGGGGTTTAGGGTTGAGGGTTTCGGGTTTAGGGCTTGGGGTTAGCTTGGCAAGTTATCATGGCAGTATGTGCATGCCATGTGCTCCTTGGACAAGCTCTGATTCCAATCGATCTCACTAAGACTGGGACTGGCTCCACACCAATAGGATTGACTCGAACACTGGCGACAACATGTCCGACAAGTGCTCATACTATTACTTTTACAACTACTGCAACCACTCCTACTACGACGACGACTACTAATACTGCTACCACGACAACTACGACGATCACGACAACTACTACGACAACGACTACTACCAATACTACTACTACTACTACTACTACTACTACTACTACTACTACTACTACTACTACTACTACTACTACTACTACTACTACTACTACTACTACTACTACTACTACTACTACTACTACTACTACTACTACTACTACTACTACTACTACTACTACTACTACTACTACTACTACTACTACTACTTCTACTACTACTGCTGCTGCTGCTGCTACTACTACTACTACTACTACTACTACTACTACTGCGTCCTACTACAACGACGAGTACAACTATTGGTAATGCTACTGCCACTGCCGCTGCAACTGCTACTGCTACTAATCTTGCCATAAGTACCGGTATCTGCTTGAAAAAACAGACTTACATAGAAACCTGCTGCCCCAGGCGCCGAAGCCGAAGGTGCTGACAGTTCCCGGGATCTCACCTCCGTAGCCAGCCTTGGCGTCCTGCGGCCCCACGGCAGCGAAAATGGTTACCAGCGCGAGTTTAGAGTTTAGGGTCGAAACAGATATTGTAAAAAAAACCTTGAAAAGCTTACTCCGGGGGGGAACAAGAAACGAACAAATAGCGGAATGAACAAGGCCAAGGAAGTAGGGCTTAGGGTTTACGGAAAGCACGTTTACCCTTCAGGGAGTTTTGTGGTCTCAGGACCTCCACGTGCATCAAGTGTAGCAAATCAAAACAACCGACCCTCGGCGACACCTGCTAACACCTCGAATCTAACGAAATAGCCAGAGTTTCTGACACTGGACATTCCCAAAAACCATGGCATCACCAACTCACCCTGCGCAACAACGACTAGGGTTTAGGGTGACCGATGCCCCTTGATGAGAAATAACATGAAGGCGACTGCAGAGATTGCAAGGGAAGCCACACTACGCTTGAGGGAATCTTCCTTGTGCTATGGACGGCTCCTGCATATGATTGAAGGAATAGGCTAGGGCCCTTGTTGTATAATAGGCTTTTGTGCTGTATTCGAGCAGGTGACAAGGGGACTACGAGGGGTAGATATTACTCAGGCCCCTCTATCAAATATGGATATTCCATAATGACGAGTTACGAGTGTAAATTGGGCTCTGCGGGCATCCTCGACCCTACAAAAACCCGCAAGCTTTGGGGTTTGGGGTTTGGGGTATACTTGGAGGGTCAGGGGACTTAGTAAGTAAGGTTTTAAGTACCGTAATTGGAACTAATTGGAACCCTAAACCCTGAACCCTAATGATTAGGGATTAAGTATACTAGGATACCCAGTAACCTAAGAATAAAAAGGCCTCTCTTTATGGTATTGGGTAACTTTATAAGGAACCTAGGACTACAAAAAGGGAATAAGGGTACTACTGGGCATCCTAGATAAGTAAATGTAACAACACTTGCCTTATTCGTAACCCTGGTTGCTGGGTCGCAAGATCCTCCAAGTAGGGCAGCCTAGGGGCTGGGTTGGAGGTGAACTTCGCATCCTAAACCGTAGAGACCATGAACCCTAAACAGTAAACCCTAATCCCTAAACCCTACACCCTAAACTGCAATCCCTACACTCTAGGCCCTAAACCCTAATCCCTACACACTAATCCCTAATCCCGAAACCCTAAACCCTAAGCCCTAAGCCCTAAACCCTAAAGTTTAGCTGGGTTTTTTTAAAGCCCCGCACGATGGCTAAGTAGCCTGTGGCTCTTCTTTCATAGGAGCCTCAGAGTTGCGGGCTTCGGGTTCCGGGACTCCACAGCCTACAGTCGAATCCCAAAAGTTGGAAACCCCATAGCCTCAATCCTTAAGAGTAATGTATACCTGGACCCTAAGGAACCTACCTTTTTAGGGCTCCTTAATATGGTTTCTTTAAATAAGTCCTTAAAAAGGTAGGTTACCAGCACTATTAGCCCTTAATCCGGTTTCCAACTTTATGGGATTTACTGCAATATAGGGGCCTTAATTCTGTTTAAGGGTTCCTCTCAAAGGGGTCTATAAGGGTCACAAAAGGGGGGTTTAGTACAGGGCCTTAATATTTAGAGTAATAGAGGGGCCTTAATAATGAGAATAGGGTTCCGTTTAAGGGCTCCTTTCAAAGGGGTCTACAAGGATTGCTACAAGGAGCATTAAAGCTTAGTGTAGGGCCTTCATATTTAGAGTGGGGTTTTGGGGCCCGTTATAAGATAATTAAAATAAGGACCCCCCAAATTGCATTGGCAATTATTTGGGCCCCTGTAGTAAACTCCAAACACTCTTGCCGTAACCCTTGCATCACCCTTATACCGTGTAATGCCCCCTTCCTTCTGACAGCAATCTCACTGAAACAATCACCCTACACCCTAATCCCTAAACTTTAAAACCTTGCCGTAACCCTAAGAAGGGACCCAGCACCGGAAGCAGGTACCAGCCTGTAGATGCTGCATGATCTGAGCCTGGGGCAAGGCGGAGAGCAGGCTTTAAGGTTTAGGGTTTAGGGTTTGCAGGGTTAAGGGGTTAGTGTTTAAGCTTTAGGGTTTGCAGGGTTAAGGGGTGAGTGTTTAAGCTTTAGGGTTTGCAGGGTTAAGGGGTTAGGGTTTAAGGTTTAGGGTTTGCAGGGTCGATTAATGGGTTAGGGTTTAAGGTTTAGGGATGTAGGGTTTAGGGTTGTGGGGTTTAAGGTTTAAGGTTTAAGGTTTCTGTTTTGGTGCGATGGCTCCTTCTCTGCTCCGCACGACCAAGCAGGAAATTACCCGCCTCTCAAGGGGCCCACACCAAAGAAGGGAACGTTTAGGGTCCTGGGTTTAGGGCTTAATTTTCTTTTTAAGCTCCTTTGTCCGTCTGCAACATCCATGTCACCAACGGTTTAGGGTTTAGAGGCTTTTGGTAGCATCATCAAAATGAAGGTCCCTAAAGGGTTCCTTCAAAGATTCCTTGAAAGAGGTCCATGAGGGTTCTTTTCAAGAAATGGGGGTCTTGATAATTCGAGTGACGCTCATTAAAGGCTAGCTTTCAAGGGTTCCATGAGGGATTTATTTTGGATATCGCGGGCTCTTATGATTGGAGTTAGGTTTTGGGTGACATTATAGTACAAATAGAATAAGGAATGCTAAGGGGTAGAACAGACTCCCAAAAGCCCTTGCCTAAGTCTCCTGCACCTGCAAGTACTCACCGGAAAGACAACTCTTCCGGGGCGCTTGCGGCATTTCTACGTTTCGGGTTTTAAACCCCAAACCCCCGCAACCCTGCCTAAACTTTGGGGCTTAGGGGCTCAGCTTCGCAGTCTTTGTGAACAAGCTTCATAGTTGAGGCGAGAGCTCATGGGAGGTGGTACGGAACCCTCAACCTCGAATCTAGAAACTGATCTCAATGCGGCCCGGTTTGGGGTTTTGGGTTTCAGGGTCCCTTCAAGGGTTTTTGTAAAGTTTAGGGTAGAGAATGCAAATCAGGCATTGCTCAGCCGTGATGAGACTCAGATTGTTGGACTCTGATTCCTGCTTTGGCTCGGCTATAACGACGACATCTTTCCCAAAGGCTCCATGTACCCATATAGTAGGCACTTAGGCCGTAAAGTACCGAAATAGGGACCCCATTAAGGCCTAAGTACCTACTATATGGGTACATGGAGTGTTAGGGTTTCTTCAAACGAAGGCGCAGGGCTTCCTCGTGAAGCTTGCAGACATACTCCCGGCGGCCACCCCTAAACCCTAAACCCTAAACCGTACGGCCTCCGTGTCTCAAGAAGTCCTCTATCTGAATTTTGCCTTTTGCACCCTTGGTGTACTTGAAGGATCAGTGGACTTAGTAAGTAAGGGGCTCCTTAAAGGGATCTTTAGGGTTCCTTGAAGGGATCTATAGGGTTTAGTTTAAGGTTTAGGGTCTACTTGAAGGATCATGGGACTTAGTAATTAGGGCTGTAAATAGGGTAGCCATAGTTCTAATTACTTACAACTCCAATTAGGGTACTTCTAACCTTACGTACTAAGTCCCCTGATCCTCCAAGTGGTGTAATCCATAAACGGCGTGCGCTTGGCTCCACATCTTGCAAGATGAGCCTTGGATCCAAGGGGAAAAGGAGGGACCCTTTACAAGGACCCCTAGGTATATACCCTTCATATAACTATGATATACCCATTATACAGCCCATTATAGGGTAGGGGTCCCCATTAAGGGCCCCTCCTTTTCCCCTTTGATTGGAGTATATATGCGGAGCATAGTGGACGGCCTAGGGCGAAAGGTTGCCCCGGCGAGGTTCTCTCCACGGTTTAGGATTTAGGGCTCAGGGGAGCAAGCCGTCGGTATCTTGAAAGCAGCATTGTTTCCACCATTCCTGACCCTTGAACAGAAAGAGACACTCGTTACACTTGCTGAAAGCTTTCCGGACCTCACTACAACGACAGCTGCTTGTGCAAAATCCCTAGGTAGCATACAACGCCCAGGTGTAGCATGTGGAGCTTTCTTCAGTATCCGAATTGTACGGATCCAGGTGGCGACAGAAGCCTCTGCACACATTCTGCATCGGCGCGCTTGTATCCGTCTTTTTCTAGTTGGAACGCATTCATATCTATATCCGTTCATCTCCATGTAAAACTTTGAGAATTTTCGTCGTTGACTTTCATAAGATTATGTCCGTTGGTGTCAATCAAGAGTACGTTAGTTATGGGTGTGACGATTCAGGGCAACCCCCCAAATCCGAAACCCTACACCCTTACTACAAAACTCCTACACCCCAACCCTGAACCCTAAACCCCCAAACCCCTAAAGCTATAATCCTTATATGCTCTAAAACCTGATTCCTAGACCATGTAAAATTCCCAGCGAGGGCCGGACGCTATCTTCGGTCTCGCCGTCTGTCAGAAGCATGGTGTGGCAGAAGCTACCCTGACAAGAGGCAGGCCGTGGGCTTAGCCTTAAAGTACCAAACCCTACTTTTTTGTAGGTTCTTATTAGGAACCCTAATATGGGATTTATAGGTACCCTGCAAAAAGTATGTTTTGGTAGGTTCAGGAGGTGTATTGCAGGGGCCTTAATATTTAGAATAGGGTTTTGGGGTATATTATACTGTAATCATGATAAGGAACCCCCCAAAATAGTATAGGTCATTGCCTAGGCAGGCCCCTATACTAGGGTTTAGGGTTTACGGTTTGGGGTTTAGGGCAGAGGGTCGGGGATTAGGAAAATTAGGGATTAGGGTTATAGGTTTCAGGGTTGAGGGGTTGAGGGTGGCAGGCTTTTTGGGATGAGGGTTTAATAAGGTGGAGGTTTTAGGGTGGAGGGCTTGCAGGATGTACTGTTAATTGCGGTTCCTTAGGGTAAGTACAATATACCCAAAATCCTCTCGTAACTATCCAGGCCCCTGCAACATTGAAACACTTAGCAGCCCATGTAGTAGCCTTTCTCAAAATTGGAACGTTTAAAGGAACCCCATTCAGAGTTTGTTATATCGATTGCAATCTCACACCCTCAACTGGACTCCATGCTTGGGCTTTCCCTGCGACTGGTGTGGCGATGATTGGTGGTCGTCATCGAGGAGGTTGGAGTCGGCCTGCATGGACGATTTCACCAGGTGCTTCTTCAGCACCAGCTCTGGTCGCCCGCTGCGGTTGCACGTGGGTCTGCGATGAAGCGCAGCGCCTGTTTCCTAGATTCGTTCTAAGCAGAGACGGAATACTTTGAGGTTGCTGCTACGTGGGTTTGTGCAAAGGATTTCAGGTTTGGTTATGATCAAGGTTTTGGGATTTCGGGTCTCATTCGGGACAAGTTGCTTTGATACTTCTCGATCAGAGCAGCCTCCAGGAAAGCAGGGCCATGGGGCTCGTGGCTCCCGAACAGAACAATCATCCCAGACCAGCAGTCTCTAGCGTACTTGTACCCGTAGAGGCTATTGCTCCACCTCCAAATAGGATCGTGAGTCCATCCAAAATTGAAGATTAAGGGCTCTTCTTTGGAGAACAGAACGTCCATTCTTCGGACAGCATGCTGAAGCACGGCACCAGCTGAAAGGCTGTTCTTGGGCACGTTCAAATCGGACCGGACCGGCTTTAAAAGTATCGCAGCTCTTCAAATGGTTCCAAAAGCGCAGAGAAAGATTGCTTCGGTGTCAGGCCTGCAGCGACGGGTATTGAACACCGGCCACCGCTTAGAGTCAACGATAGAGTGAGTTCGAGCTTCGCCTGGCTGGCGACTTGGTCCGCCTGCTCTGTGCGGTGCCATCAAGCTGGCTTCAGGCGGTTTAGGCTTTCAGGTTTAAGGGCCCCTCTAGGGGATCTTAAGGGGTTTTTAGGGTTCAGGATACATGGAGGATCTCGGGACTTGGCACTGAACGGCATAAGTACTTCAACGCAGTGAAGATGTACATAACTATGACTGTAGTTTACTGATGTCTGACCCGAGTTACAAACACAAATCCTCCAAGCAGGGTGTAGGGTTTAGGTAGGGTGCAGATGAAGAAGGTATACGGTATACATGGCAGAAAGGTTGATGACGTTGTGAATTCGGGTCTCCTCTTCTCCGAAATTCCCATATAGCCTCAATCATCATGAAGATCCCTGTACGTTTTAGAGTTTAAAAACAACTCCCGAAACCCCATACCCCAAAACACAAACCCTAAACCTTACGTCCCTAGACCCTTTACGCGAAACTGCCAAGCATCAAGTCCTAAAGCCTAAATCGTAAATCGCCCCCAAAGAACCCAAACCCATGTCCTGCTATTCCCCTATACTCCCTATATCAGTAGATTCGATTATATGCCATAAACTCCATGCCATTCTAGATGTCTGAGTAGCCCCTTAATAATAAGTAAGGGAATCCCTTTTGCTCCTGTTTGGTCCGAATAAGGGAACTCAAGAAGACCAACCTACAAGAACCCCCCGTAAATCCCGTAAGAGTCCTTTTGAAGGTTTTTTTAAGGCTCCTTTAAAGGATTCCTAGTATAGGACCCTCTTTCAAGACAACGATCAAGTGGGTACGGCCCCCACTCAGTAATAGTTGAATAATATTCAATAGATATAGTAGGACCTTAATAGTAGCCCTATTGTACACTCTTACCGTATGGAGGCCGTACCTAAACGATCAAGAACCTATAGAAGCCTGGTCTTATGTTGTGGCCGCTACCGAGAGACAACTCCTTAAACATCCTACAAAGACAAAGACCGAAGGGTTCAGAATTTAAGGGTTGAGGATCTAAGGCCCATTGCTTAGGACAACTCCATAAAAAGCCTACAAGGCCATATAAAGCACGCTGTTCACACTATTACGTTCCTACTTTCGGGTAATAAGTATTCAATTTACTTATAATAACTTCAATTAACGTACCGTGATCCTCCAAGGAGGGTCCCTATTGTTCCCGGCTGGACCTCCCGCTGCTTGCTGTGGAGCTCACGGAAACCTCCGTGAGGGTTGCAAGCTTTTCTGGGCTGATGTATGTGGGGACCTGATTGAGAAACCCTGGGCCTATAGGCCTATAGCCCCCAAATAGTAGGGTTCATATCAGGAACCCTCTATAAAGGCCCAAGGTTGCTTAATCAGGTTCCTACATTATTATAGTACCCCTATAGATCCCTTATCGTAACCCTTCTAGACTCATAGCTCAGTTGGTTAGAGCGTACGGCCAATAACCGTACGGTCCGCGGTTCGAGCCCGCGTGGGACCACTATTGAATTAGAACGATGCCAACATCTGGTGCTGATTAGCACCCCTGTAAAGGAACCCCAATAAAGGCCCAAGGTCTCTTAATTAATGAGGTTCCTACATTATCCTTGTAGGGTAGACCCTAGACCCTAAACCCTAAACTCTACACCCCAAACCCTAAACCCCTGACCCCTAAACCCTAAACCCTAAACCCTATAAATCCTAAACCCTAAACCATTGGCCGCCCGCGCCCGGCGGCGGCCGGTACCACTGAACGCTACCGCTTCGAGATCTGCTTGCTTGGCCAAGCAGATCGAGTCTACCAGACCTGATTTGGCATTGCTAGCCACGGGGCACAATAGTAAAATCGGGTACCCTTATCTCCCAGCGCGAGAACCCTGGCGGGTATGGCGGGCGACTCTGGCGGGGACGGCTGACGACCCTGGTGGGGACTTGGTGGACGGACGACTTTGGCGGGGACGGCGCGCGAACCTGGCGGGGACGGCAGGCAACCGCGGGGACGGCGGACGACTCTGCTGTGACAGCAAAAGGGCCAAAAAACAGCTTGGCAGACGACTCTGGAGGGGGACGGCGGACGACCCTGGCGGACGACTCTGGCGGGGACTTGGCGACTCTGACAGGGACTGAAAAAGCCAAAAACAGCTTGGCAGACGACTCTGGAGGGGATGGCGCCTAATCTCCCAGCGCGAGAACCCTGGCTGGCGGGGCCTGGTAGAAAGAGCTTGACGAGCGACCCTGGCGGGGATGGCGAGTCCTGGCCGGGACGGCTGACGACCCTGGCGGGGACTTGGTGGACGGACGACTTTGGCGGGGACGGCGCGCGACCCTGGCGGGCAACCCTGGCGGGGACGGCGGACGACTCTGCTGTGACAGCAACTAAAAAGGCCAAAAACAGCTTGGCAGACGACTCTGGAGGGGGACGGCGGACGACCCTGGCGGGGACGGCGGACGACTCTGGCGGACTCTGGAGGGGATGGCGGACGGGACGGCTGTCCCTGCGGGAACGGCGGACAACTCTGGTGGGGACTTGGCGATGACTTTGACAGGCACGAAAAAGCCAAAAACAGTTTGGCAGACGGACGACCCTGGCGGGGACGGCGGGCAACCCTAACGGGGACGGCGGACACTAAAAAGGCCAAAAACAGCTTGGCAGGCCATTCTGGAAAACGGCGGACGACCCTGGCGGGGACGGCGGGCGATCGTGGCGGGGACGGCGGACGACCCTGGCAAGGACGGCGTAAGGACCTTGGCGGGGACGGCGACCCTGACCAAGCGACCCTGCCGGGGACAGCGGGGTGACCCTGCGGGGACCCAGTGACGGGACGTCCTAGAAAGAGCTTGGGGACAGTGGCCGACTCTGGCAAGGAGCTTGGAGTGCGAGTCTGGCGGCAAAGCTGGATGATCAGCACTCTTGGCCGGACTGGCACGGACAGCGGACGGCTGCAGACCACTTCTGGAGGCCTGGCACTGGGCCCTGACGGACGACTCTGACGACGGCTGACGGACGACTCTGGCGGCCGGCGAGGACGAGCGAGGGCGTCGCTGCTATTTTGTGACTACATCACTCGGATGTCCCTTTGACGTTCCGCAACATTGCAACGTCTTTTCGGCTAGTGCAGCACTCGAATAAGAAGAAGCAGAACACAAAACCCGTTCTAGTCCTGCTTCGGGTGGTTGTGGGTGGGTTCCACGTTACGAAGACGGCGCGACCCACGACCACTCCATGGGTGGGGCGCGCCGTGGCACTGTGACACACCCTAAACCCTAAACCCTAGACCCTAAACCCTAAACCCTAAACTCTAAACCCTAAACCTTGGAGCTCGGGGGCTCCGGGCTTGGCAGTGCGATCCCTGCAAAAGAGGTTTTAGGGCTTGCACGAGGGTTCAGATTAGGGTTTAGGGTTTAGGGTTTAAGGTTTATAGGGTTTAGGGTTTAAGGTTTAGGGTTTTAGGGTTTAGGGTTCAAGGTTTAGGGTTTTAGGGTTTAGGGTTTAAGGTTTTAGGGTTTAGGGTTTAAGGTCTAGGGTTTTAGGGTTTAGGGTTTAGGGTTTTTAAGGTCCTTGAAGTTCTCAAACGGTTCTATCAAGGTTCTAGGGTTCTAGGATGCCCAGTAACCTAGGAAAAGAAGGGGCTACCTTTTTGGTATTGGGCAACTTTATCGGGAACCTAGGACTACAAAAAGGGAACAAGGGTACTACTGAAAGGTTCGTGAAGGGTTTAAGGTTCGTCAAGAGGCTCGGCTTTGGTTGAGATTGGAGGGCTTGTAGGGTTTGGGGCTTTGGGGATAAAGTTGAAGGTGAAGAGTCTAGGAACTAGGATTCGAGGTTTGCGGTACTTGCGGTGGGCATCGATAGACGAATAGACAGATAGACACACAAGAACAACAACGGCATCAAAAAAACACGCACTTTCAACCCTTACCCCCAAAGCTTGTAAACTTGAATCCTGTAAACCCATTAACCCAGGAACCCTACCCAAAAGAAACTCCAGGCCGAAATGGGCGTTTCCGCATTTTGGGGTCCTTATAATACGGATCCTACTATTTAGGGTATTATATTAGGGTCCCCTATTTTCGGAAACTCCCAAATAGCCCTAAACCCCAAACCCCAAAACCCAAAACCCTAAACCCTAAACCGCTAAACCCTAAACCCCAAAACCCTAAACCCTAAACCGCTAAAGCCTCTACGGCAACCTCCAACCCGAAGAGCCTGCAGCCCTCGGCCACCAAATCCAAGAGCTATTATAGGATCCTTAAGCTTAGGGGGGGGGGGTTCTAGGGACCCTTAAGAGTCTATGTAGGGTTTAGGGTTTAGGGTTTAGGGTTTAGGGTTTAGGGTTTAGGGTTTAGGGTGACCCTTAATTGTAGGATCCTTAAGGGGGGGTGGTTCAAGGGGGGAGGGTACTAGGGAGCTTTGGGGAACCTTAGGGAAGCTTAGGGAGTATTGGGGAATAATGGGGATTACTAGGTTACCTACCCCCCTTGGACCACCCCCCCCTTAAGGACATCCTAAAGCTAAGCCCGAACCCTAAAACTTCTGTAAACGAAACCCTTCTAAAACATTTTTGAAAACACTAAAGTTTCTATAAACAAAACCCTTATAAAACATTCTTGAAAACACTAAAGCTTTTATAACCCAAAACCCTTATAAAACATGTTTGAAAACACTTATAACACGATCACATCTACCCAGTTCAACCATACAAAAACTTATCAAACCTACACAGCCCCCATCATGCCCTTACAAACCGCCTATAGAACCCTATACAACCCCGTAAGAGGGACCCTATTAAAGAACCACAGTACAGTACCTTTAAACGGGACCCTGTTTTTTAGAACCCTACTTGGAGGATCAGGGACTCAGTAACTAGGGTTACAAGTACCCTAATTGGGGTTATAAGTAATTATATACTGTAGTTACCCTATTTATAACCCTAACCCTTAGGCTCTAAGGACTCATATGTTAAGGCTTTTGGGCTCAAAGACCATACTATGTAATTAAGGCTTTTGGCCTATTTTGAGCCCTAGGGTAACTACTAAGCCCCATGATCCTCTAAGTAGACCCTAAACCCTAAACCCCATAGATACCTTTAAGGAATCCTTATGCATCCCCTTTAAGGAGCCCTTTAAAAGGAGCCATTTTAAAGTTACTAAGCCCCATGATCCTCTAAGTATACAACCCGATAAAAGGATTCCGGGAAGTTTCGAGGCCAGGGCTGGCGTTGAGACCCTGCCACAGCGCAGTGCCTTGAGGTCTGCGGTTGATGGTAGGTTTAGGGTTTCGGGGTTTAGGGTTTAGGGGTTTAGGAGTTTAGGGGTTTAGGGTTTAGGGGTTTAGGGGTTTAGGAGTCTAGGGTTTACGGGTGTAGGGTTTAGGGTGTAGGGTGTAGGGTTTAGGGTTTAGGGGTTTAGGGGTTAGGGGTTTAGGAGTTTAGGGGTGTTGGGGTTTTGGGGTTTAGAGGCTGAGGGTTTGGGGTTAGGGCATCTGGGAAATCTGTGTTGTCTCCCTTAAAGTGTCCTTTAAGTTGAGAATGTTCCTAGGGCCCCCAGGATGTATCTGCAAGGGTGCTTCTATGCAGTTTCGGGCTTGTTTATAGGCTTGGGGTTTCGGAGTTCATGCTTCTTGTTGCTTAGAGTTTGCAGATTATGTTTTGGAAGGCCATTTGGAGGTTAGTAAGAGTCCTTCACCCTAAGGGTATCCAAAACCGGAGCACCTAATTATTGGGTCCTTTGGACCAATAGGGTCAGGATTCAAGTAAGGATTCGCATAAGGGACATATGGACTGGATGGATTCGCCGTTTATGGTTGTTTGAATAGACCTGAACTTAGGGCTTTGAAGTTCAAGCCTAGGGTTGCATGTTTCGGGTTTAGGGTTTAGGGTTTCGTGCTTAGGGTCTCGGGTTTAGGGTTTGCGGTTTAGGGTTTATAGGGCTTCGTGTTTAGGGCTTGGGGTTTATACTGAACTTAGAACCCTAGCAAAAATTATAATCTTAGCTGTTACTTAGGGATTATAAGAACCAAAAATTAAAAAAAATCTAAGTACCCCTAAGGTTTGGGGTCTGGGGTTTCGGGTATATGAATATTATATTAGGGCCCTATTATATTCCTATTATACCACTATTACAGGGTGGGGGCAGCTGCTAAGGTCTGGGGTTTAGGGTCTCGGGTTGCATGTGTCGGGTTGTAGCAAGCTTCCGTGACGGCCGGCAGAGACAGGGTACATCAAAAAGCATGGTTAGGGTTTAGGGTTTAGGGTTTAGGGTTTAGGGTTTAGGGTTTAGGGTGTTACATCAAGCAAAACCAAAACCTGGGGTTCAGAACAGTTAAAATTTTGAACAAGAACATTAAAACCCGAGCTTCAAGACATTACCAAAAAAACTTTACAAAATCTGAAACCCTAAACCCTAAGCACTCTGACAAAACCTAAAACCCTAAAAACCCCCCTCCCAAACTACAAATCCCTCAGGCCAGGCAGCCGCTACCGAAGGTCATCTTCTCGAGGACCTGCTCCGCCCGAGCTTTGCCCTCCTGGGAGCTTTCAGGAGAGCCTTGATTAGGGTTTAGGGTTGAGGATATTAGGGTTTAGGGTTGAGGATTTCAGGGTTAACTTACTCGAACAGGGATCTTCAAAATCGTTCCTTGAAGGCGGCACATAGAGTTTCCGTATGGAGCCATCATGGATTCAACAGGCTTGGTTATGGGGCTCATGATATGAAGTTCATACATTAAAGCACCATCAAGAACAATATTGTTCATGACTCAGGACCAAATATTGCTAATTACGCAAGCCCACCAAAAACGTAAACCCGTCATTTAACACCGCGTTTCAATGCCGCATATTGGGATTCCGATTGCAATCCTTCTTGTGGGAGGGGTTTAATAATCACGAATATGCATTAACTGCAACTCCTTTTATGAGCTAAGCAACTAGATCAGGGAGGGTCTTTGACTGGGCTATACGGCATAGCCATGGTGCTGTCGTGCACCAAGGCGAAGTATCCAGATGTGTCTATAAGCACTGGGTCTCATAACACTTGCTTACGAGGCGTTCATGATGAGATGTAGGACAACGTCTCTTAAACAAAAAACCAGAAAACACCGCCACCAAACAATCTGAAGCCAATGCCATCAGCCCCCTTAAAAGCCTGTAAAAATGGACATCCGTAAACAGTCCAGCCTAAACCCTAGACTCTAACCTAAATCCTAAATCCCAGATGCTAAGCCCTAAATCCTAAACCCAAAACCGCAAACCCTAAAGCTTAAATCCTAAACCCTAAGTCCTAAACCCTAAACCCACAAACGCAATTGACAGTCAGGCCCGGGAAGGACTCAGTCCTCGTCCATTGGGAGAAGTGGAAGGACCTCGCCGCCGGGGCTTCCCAGACCCCTTCACTGTCTGGTTCTAAGCAGGGAATGGGGGAATGGATTATGGGCCTGTTATTGGGGATTATATAGGGGCTACTATAAGGATCCATTCCCTCATTCACTACTAAGCACCAGGGAGTTCAAAGACCTAAACATAGAACCCGCACATAGAGATCCTGTCACTGTCGTAATGACATAGGAAAGTAGAAGCCCAAAGCGGTATCCCACTGTTGTAGCGCGAAAAGGTACATGGAGGGGTTCTATCTTTCGATCTTCGATGGGGTCTGGGTTCAAATACGTTAAAGGCTCAGGATCGTCCTTTAAAATAAGACTGGGGCATTTGGGGATCTGGACGTTGAAAGAGGGTCTGACGGTGTAGGGGCAGGGCAACTTACAAGATCCCCCAACCTCAAACCTCCGAGACCCTCAATCCCTAAACCTGCTCTAGGATACCCAGTAACCTAAGAATAAAAAGGCCTCTCTTTTTGGTATTGGTTAACTTCATAAGGAACCTAGGACTATAAAAAGGAAATAAGGGTACTACTGGGCATCCTAGCCCCTAATTTTCGGAAACCCTAAACCCTTTATAGAACCCTTATAGATCCCTTTAAGGAACCCTTATAGATCCCTAAGGGTACTACTGGGCATCCTAGTGCTTGTTGAAGTTCGGGGTTCAAGCGTCCTGGCCTGGAGAACTTTCGCGCGGAGAGATGCCCCCCTAAAGGGTTTAGGGTTTAGGGTTTAGGGTTTAGGGTTTAGGGTTTAGGGTTTAGGGTTACCAGACCTCCTCACGACCCTTACGGATGCAGAATCTTCCGCTAGCAGTTTCAGAGACAGCGCAAATGGCGTAATTAGAAGCTTGCCGGATCGAAGTAACATTTTCCGGTCTACACTGTGCAATTTATGCATAGCTACACTACCCTGCGAAGCAACCTTCCCGAAAGATTTGCAGCATAAAATCCGTACAGAACGTCTGAGCGTCTACGCTCCGCACACATCAACGTGCAAACACCGTTTCAGAAACGGACGCTGGCGGGGTGAGGCTGTTCTTAAACTTCCCTGAGCCAGTCGGAATCGAAAAAATCAAGAAGCCAGCGAGAGGGCAAACATGCGTGAGCAAGGATACACAGAAGTTTGCCTAAGCACAAGCATCTGTCACGCTTCATAGACATGCACGTGAATCTTCGAAGACAAACTTGATTCAACGACATGGACTGACGCCTGGGACACAAAGACCACCCTCTTGGCTCCAAAAAACTTCTTGAGCCATACACTTGTCTGATGCTTTTCTTCGTTCCAAGCTTCTGATCCGTTTGGGAGTCCATGAACACTTCGGATAGTCCCACTTGCCACCCTGCTTGGCTACAACGGCAAGCAGGTATGTAATACTATGCAAACCGAGTATCATGGGACTTAGTAAGTGGGATGATAAATAAGGTAATGCAGTTATAAATACGTATCACCCCATTGAAGGTACTTATAACTTACGAGGTCCCATGATCCTCCAGGTAGACCCTAAACCTTAAACTAAACCCTATATATCCCTTTGAGGAACCCCTACAGATCCCTTTAAGGAACCCTATAAATTCTAAGCAAGACTCCCCAAGGCCCCATAACCGCTACGCACGCTTGAACCCGGAACCCTTATGTGACCGCTCCCTCTGCTCAGCATTAAACAATTCTTGCGGGCAAAACACCTTTCAAGAAGCACATCTTAAAAGCTCCATGAGCACTTGATGAAAACCCCTGCAAGAAACCCCAATAAAACCACTAAACCCCTGAACCCCTAAAGCCCTAAACCCTAAACCCCTAAAGCCCTAAAACCCTAAACCCTAAACCCCTAAAGCCTGAGACCACCAAGGCTCGGACAAGTTCAGCTTGTCTGCAGAAGGTGATGACGCAGAGACGGTCCTGCTGATGCCCCCAAACCCCGAAAAGGGCTTTGAGGTTTTAGGGTTTAGGGGTTTAGGATTAAGTTTACTATACTGAACTTAGAACCCTAGCAAAGATTATAATTTTAGCTGTTTCTTAGGGATTATAATAACCAAAAATTAAAATTAGTTCTAAGTACCCCTAAGTTTAGGGTTTCAGGCTTACCTGGTTCAGGGATTAGGTTTTTTCAACTCCTCTTAGCGCCTACCTGATCCTCCCAAGCACACTCAAGATGCATATGCACCAGGAGACCCATCGACCTTTCTCGACTTTAGGGCTTTGAGTTCTAGGGTTTAGGGGTGCAGGGTTTAGGGTTTAGGGGTTTAGGGTTTTAGGGTTTAGAGGTTACGGTTTTAGGCTTACCTGGCTTCAGGCTCAGGGTTTTACGGCCGAGGCTGGTTTTCTATTCCCCAACCAGCGTGGCAACTCTGCTGGGCCTTACTAGTTAGAGTAGGGTTTGGGGGGTATGTTATACTCTGATTATAATCATAAGGAACACTCCGAGTAGGAATGGTAATTATTAAACTTTTTAGACCCCCATATTATGGGGGTTCTATTGTTGGGAGTGGTGGGCTCCCACAGCAGCGCCAAACCCTAAACCCTAAACCCGTCCTGCTGTGAATCATCAACATGCTTCTTCCTTCGGCTGTTTCTTAATCAAAGTGTACTACCCTAGACGCTAAATCGCAAACCCCAAACCGTCAGCCCTAGGCCCTCTTCAAATCATACGGGGCCCATCTTTGGAGGAATCAATAGGTGGGATGAGCGGAGGCAGCATCTTGGATCCCCTACATGAGGGCTCCTATTTTCGGATTACCCCACCTACCTTCATCCCACCTTTTGACGCCTTTGATGGTTGACTTACTGAGTCCTTGGATCCATGCAGGTAGGTTGCAACCTTAAACCCTAAACCCCATCAATGCAGCAACCCACCGCGAGCCCCAAAGCCCCTTCATAGGGTTTAGGGTTTCGGGGTTTGGAGTTTCCGGTTTAGCGTCTAAGGTTTTCTTCTGGTTGAGGGTTTGGGGTTTAGGGATATCCTGTATTAGAGGGCTTCGTATTGAGGCATGATTAATTAAACCCTCATACCCTACATAACATGGCTACAGCCCTTAACATTCACGACAAGATCCTGCACCAAACCCTGACAAAAACTGTTTAATACAAGGGCCTTAAGAATCAGAATAGGGTTTTGGGCCCCATTATACTGAAATCATAACCAGGAGCCCCCAAAATAGTATAGGTACTTATTCAGGCCCCTATATTAGGAACTCTTAGTCGTCCTGTGAATCGAGCGTCTGGATCACCGTTCGCACCGCATGCTTGGCAATGTCCTCGAGCGTGCCGGGAAAAGGGCTTCGAGGCTTTGAATATACTTGGAGGATCATGGGACTTACAGTAATAACTAGGATTGCATTACACATAAAATGACTACGTTTTGTTACGTTTACCCATAACTCCAATTAAAGTACATAAAACCTTCCTTCCCAGACCCCCGGGAGGATCTAGAAAGTAGATCCCCTAATTTGGGGCCCTATACTACTAAGGGTACCTTTATAGGAACCCCCATTAAGGGATCTACTTTTTGGATCCTCCAAAGGGGGTCTGGGTATAGATCCCTTAACCCTAAACCTAAACCCTAAACCCTAAGCCCTAAACCCCTAAACCCTAAACCCCTAAAACAGGTTATAAGGGAACCTGAACCCTAAAAAAGGGAATAAGGGCCTACTCTGGGTCCTCGTTCCTTACCAAGTCCCATGATCAACCCTAAACCCTAAACCCTAAACCCTAAACCCTAAACCCTATGATCGTCCATCTGAAGCGAGGAGGACTACCGGCTTCTTCCTCGCTCCTTTCTCGGATACCTCAAAAGGTGGGATGAAGGTAGGTGTGATATTCCCAAATATGAGTCCTTATATAAGGGATCCTCAATCCTACCTACCTTCATCCCACCTTTTGAGGCCTCCGACTTTCGAAATGTACAATTATTTTCTAGGATACCCAGTAACCTAAGAATAAAAAGGCCTCTCTTTTTGGTATTGGGTAACTTCATAAGGAACCTAGGACTACAAAAAGGAAATAAGGGTACTACTGGGCATTCTAGTTTTCCGCCAAAGCCCTATCCGAGTTGTTAAGGCCCCTATATTACATGGAAGTTTCCCAAAATGGGGGGACCCTATTTCAGTACCCTACATAGTAGGATGCTTACTAGAGGACCCAAAATAACGAACCCCTCATTTTCGGAAACTCCCACATGGGCCTTAGATTAGAAGAATGCTTTCTGAACCCTGAAGATGCTCTTGTCATTGGGTCTGGGGCTTGGTTGTTTAGGGCTTTACCTATAGTCTCCATTGTAATTCCTTTTGGTTAACCAAAAGCCGCATTTTAGGATCCCAACCATAAAACTGGTTAACAAAAAGACAGGAACTACAATGGAGACTATAGGTAGTATGGATCACACATTGGCTTGGCTGGTTGCAAAGCGGTTGCGTTAGAGTATTTACTTCTCTACTTGCTTAAACCCTTAACCCTAAGCCCTGGTTTAGGTCTTTCTGGCTCTACGAGCCCCGCCCACCTTCCTAGCGGGAGTTGCCGAGTTGAGGTTTGAGGTCAACTGGGGACTTGAAGGTTTGTCTGCGGGAAGCCTGTAAGCCTTCGAAAGCTAAACCCTCGCTCAGGGCGATATCAGAGTACGATAGGTTCTTTGGGTTCAAATTCTTCTTTTTTTAAAGTGTGACGGACTTTCAGATCCTTTAGGGGGAAGCCCTATAAATTTTCAAGTGAAGCATAGTCCTTGATGGCAGGTGCGAGACAGGTCTCCTACCGTGATCTTCAAAGTTCTCCAGACTAAGCTGCATGATAATAGCTATGGAACCAACACATCCCAAGCCTCAAACCCCTAAACCCTAAATCCTAAACGCGGTTCTGCAAGATTTAGGGTCTAGCGGTTTTAGGCGGGCTTGGGGGATCTGTAACCTGTCTTAGTTTAAGGATGAAAGTAAACTCAAAGGGCTTACTTCAGGTTCAGATACCAAATAAGAACTCATGGCATAAGCGTACGGTATAGGGCCCTTACTGTTGAGCGTCATTTGGTCCTAAAGGCAGGGAACTGAACATAGAAACCTCCCAAATAATCAGATCCTTCATGGAACGAACTTCTTGAAAGAGTGCGCCAGAGAGCCCCCAATACCCCTTTATGCAAAAACAGACTCTTGGATTTAGGGTTTAGGGTTTAGAGGATATCTCTCTGGGCCCCCCGCGAGCATTGAAAGGCCGTTGCTCTCCACCGCACCCGAGGCCGCCTGCTGTCAAGGCATGGGGGGCTTCGGTGCCTGTTTCTACGGGTTCCTTTGAGGGGATTCCACAGAGGTGTTGCAAGGGGTGGCGTGCAAGGCACATATAATTCGCACGTGCAGTTGGGGAGTGGGTATTTAAGGTAGGGTGCGCAAAGAGAAGGCGGTTGCACAAAATCAAGTCAAGAACAAAACCTGTGTGCGCCGCCAGTTACACGGAACCCCCCAAACCCTAAACCGTGAACTTTAAACTGAAGCCTAAACCCTCAACCCAAACCCCAAACCTAAACCTGAACCCGAAACCCTAGACTCAAGTCTGAAGTCTGAAGCAACCGCGACAATGTCCCAAACTGGTGCCTTCACGCTTGCCTCCATGCTCATGGACCATGACCTGGGCAACATGGGGGCCATGATAAACTTGAATAAGAAAAATATTTTGGTAGGTTCCTCAAAAAAGGGGTGTATATATATATATATATATATATATATATATATATACATACATATCTTATCTTTATTTATGGGTCTAACTCGGATTTGACGAGGCTGCGAGGTTCTGTAGGCTTCAGGGTTTGGGGGTGAGGAAGATTTAGAGGTTAGGATTCACAGGGTTTAGCGCTGAGCATTCCGGATTTAGCTTCAAAGCATTAGGAACTCCATCGGCATCCAATTCACATCGGGGCTGCAATCACTGTAATGGTGAAAATCGGGAACTGGTGTATATCGTGGTCGAGTACCCCAAAGGAATACTGTTGCCAATTATTTGAGGCCATTACCCGGTGCTTGGGGAATCTCTCTATGTAGGAACGAGTATTGCGATTATGCAGAGCCCCACGTTGCTAAGACTGTAAATGCTTCTTCTCATGGTGTATTGAAAGCTCGCTAAATTTCCGTGGCAGGGACGGCTGGTGACGGAATGCCGGAAAGCTTGACAGATCTTGGCAAGGTACGCATTGCGGATTTTTCACACACTGTTGCAGCAAGACTATATATGCACCGCCAAGACTTCAAAACCTAAACCCTGAAACCCGTCTGCCCTAAACCCTGAACCCTGAACCCAAAACCCTAAACCCTCAACCCCGTCTAAAACTTCCAGACCGAATCGTTTGGACTCTTAGCGGCAGAGGACGAAAGGGCCAATAAACACATATTACATTCCTTTAAGGGATCCATACTTGGAGGATCAAGGGACTTAGTAAGTAAGGTTCTAAGTACCTTAATTGGGGTTATAAGTAATTCTAAGTATAGCTACCCTATTTATAACCCTGGTTACTAAGTCCCATGAACCTTTAAGTAAGGGATCCTTCAAGGAATCTATAATTCATACTTTATAAGAATCCTTTACGGGCTGAAGCCGTTCGCTGAAGCCCCTCACCCCCTTTGAAGTGCCTGGAGCCTGCTAGGGAACCCTGCCCTAAACCCTATTTAAAGTATCACGGGACTTAGTAACTAGGGGTATATATAAGGTAACTATACTTATAAGTACTTATAACCCCAAATAGGGGACTTATAACCTTACTTACTAAGTCCGCTGATCCTCCAAGTAAACCCGAAACCGTTGACAAGACCCTTGTAAGCGCCGCATCCCGACGTCTCAGGTGCGGGCACATCGATCACGCAGCTGATATCTGATGGCCTCACTTGCCCGGGACCCCAAAACGTCGCTGTTTAGGGTCGCGCCCCACTTGGTGGAGGGAACTTTAGGACAATACTGCAGACCCGAAACCCTGGACCCCCAAACCCTAGACCCTAAACCCTAAACCCTGAGCCCTACATCCTAAACCCTGAACCCCCAAGCCCTAGACCCTAAACCCTAAACCCTAGACCCTAAACCCTACATGATTCGTAGTACCACTCCTGGGGGCTAAGGGATCTCTAGGAATCCGTTAAAGGATCCTTTAAGGGATCCATTGCTAATTTTTATGAAACCCCAAGAACTACGAAATGAGGTATGTTCTGGAATGAAGCGGTTTTTGAAGTTTCTGGGCTTATCCCCAGAGCTAAGGCCTAGAGTCTTTAGCTACTGGTTAGGTTTTAGGGCTGGTAGGGTTCATGGTTTAGGGTGCAAGGTAGTTAGAATAAGCTTTTTGGGAGGCGTTCGTTACGGTGTGATTAAATCGGAAGCACTAAGGGTTGGTGCCATACCAATACACAGGGCTGCTATGCTAGGGCTTGCGAGAGAGCCAGATTCCTGTCAATTCCGGACCTTCAATTACAATCAAGTTGTGAAGCATATTTCGTGTTCAACGCAAGCCATAACATCGGCAACGAATGCCCTACTACTAGCTACTGGCTTGCCAGTTCCACTATAACACCTACAGCCCAACATTCCGCATAAACGCGTTAAAAACGAATCATCTGTCGGATCTCTCGACCTAAACCCTCGGTCCTAAATCCAACATCCTCAACCCTAAACCTGAGCCCAACGACGCCGTGGCAACCCGCATGTTGTCCCCCAAACCCCTAAGCCCTTGAACCCTATGCTTTCAACCCGAACACCTGCACATATATACATATGTACACATGTACATGTATATGAAAATCAATATACATATACGTATATCTGTATGCATATACATATACATATATATATATAGTATGTATGTATGTATGTAGATAGGTAGGCAGGTCGGTATGTTGGTATGTTGGTACGTAGGTCTGTAAGTATGTAGGTAGGAATGTAGGAATGTAGGTATGTAGGTATCTATGTATGTATGTACCCTGAGCCCGTAAACCCACAACTCTTAAACCCTAAGCCTAAGCCCGTAAATATTTAAACCTGAAAGCCCTAAATCCCACACCCGCAACCCGCAAACCCTAAACCCTTCGGACACTCATATTTTCTTATGGAACCCATTAGAGGAAGCCGTTTTCTGAGAATGTAGGGTTTCTATCTATCTATCTATATATATATATATATATATATATATACACCAGGAATTACTATTATGATTTAGGGAAGTATACCCCATAAAAGTACCTAGGACCTCTTGGGTCAAAGCATCCCTAGAACCCAAAACCCAAAAAGCTAATCCCTAGACCCTGGAACCCTAGAAGCATAAACCTTAGAACGCTAGAGGCTAGAGCCCTAAACCCCAACCCTATTCCCAAGACCCTAGTACCTTAGAAGCCTACACCCCAGAACCCTACTAGCTGAACCCCAAACCCAAAACCCTAATCCCTGGACCCTAGAACCTTAAAAGCCAAAACCCCGGAACCCTAGAACCCTAAATCTAATGTAGGGGCGTTAATAATTAGAATAGAGTTTGGGGCCCATTATACTATAAGTATAATAAGGAACCCACAAAATAGTATAGGTCATTGTTAAAGCCCCTATACTACTCTTACATAAACGCTTTAGAATCCTTTGCAGACCCCTTTAACGAACCCCAACAGGGACCCTATAGTACCCTAGAGCCCTAAATCCTAATGCTGCGGACCGGAAGCGTCCGATGTTTCCCCTCCGCCGGCCGCACGGAAACCAGGATCGGCTTCCCCAGCCGCGCACCTTCGCATGTTCGGGTTTCGGGTATAAGGTTTAGGGTTTGGGGATTTGGAGTGTTAGGGTTTAGGGTTGAGTGTCTAGGGTTTAGGGGGATCTATAGGGCTTCTGTAAGTTCCTTTCCACGAGATCCTGTAAGGATTTCTATACGGGATCTGCAAGGGTTCTAGAATGTGGATTTTATACGGGTTCATAGGCTGGAACGAGGTTGAATTTCATGATCATTTTGTAGGAGTGCCAACAAAATAAGAATAGGGTTTGAGGGTAGGTTACTACACATGAAAAGACTCGTATATGTACACGTATATGTTCGTATACACATGCGTGTCGGCTCTGGGCTTGTGGGTCAAGTTTGGATTTAGGGTTTAGAGTTGTGGTCTCGCCTTGGGTCTAGGTTTTAGGCTCGCCGGGTCTAGTCTCAAGTCGATTTGAGTAGCTCGGGTCCAAAATGAGGCTGCCGTACGATTGTAGAAGACCTAAGACAAAGGGATCCTCATAGAGAGAACGACCCATTTTAGCTCAGGTCCAGGAGTCTAGTGTAGGATCTAAGGTTTGGCCTAACACCTTAAACCCTCAACCCTAAACCCTGAACACTACATCCCTGCAGCCTAAACCCTCAACTTAACTCTGTCCAAATAAGCCGCTGGGCTCGGTGCCTAAACCCTAAACCCGAATTTGGTTGGGCTTTAAGCTTCAAGGCTTATGGCTTAAGGATCTTAAGGTCCCAGACCCCCGGGAGGACCCAAAAAGTAGATGCCTTAATGGGGGGTTCCTATAAAGTACCCTTAGTAGTATAGGGCCCCAAATTAGGGGGATTTACTTTCCCTTATAGATCCCTGAACCCTAAACCCTACAGGATCCCATGAAGGAGCCCGTCAAGGAACCCTACTAAGTCTATTTTCTAGATCCTCCCGGAATTCTGGGGTGCTTACGTATACATAGGCTTTGCATCGGTGTTCGAGGATGCTTGTGGGTCAATTCTTCCCACTTGTCGAGTATATGGGAGTTTCCGAAAATAGGGGACCCTATATATAGTACCCCAAATAGTAGGATCCTTATTATAAGGACCCCAAAACAATGTACCCCTAGTTTTCGGAAACTCCCATATCATGGGGAACTAGAGGTTAACCTTTTTTGCTCTACAAGGATTCTTTAGGGAGTATACTACCCAGAAAAGGTTAAAGGTAACCTACTCGTGCTACTAGGTCTTTTATCAGACTCCGGAGTTGGAGGGTGTAGGGGTGTAGGGGTTGAGGTTTAGGGTCTAGGAGTTCGGGGTTAGGGTTTGGGGTTTAGGGTCTAAGGGTTTAGGATTCAGGGGTTTAGCATAGGGGCCTTAATTAGAATGGGGCTTGGGGTAGTAATATCAGGGACGATGAGAGGACGCTGTGAAATGTTGTTCCGACTCCTGTCATTGGCATCGTCCCAGCGCCATATAGGGGTTTGAGCAGTTAGAATACGGCTCCGGGTACGGTGCACTGGCCCCTTATGTTCGGTCTTCCTAAACCCTAGAGCCCAAAGTAAAATAGTCTGCCATTTCTTGAGGCCCGCTAGACTAAACCCCTATCTATATAATCTCACGGCCCTCATAGATCTTTGATTTCTGGCTTATCACCAGACAGGTCACCAGAGTCCAGCCCTAAACCCCTAAACCCCTGAACCCCTAAACCCCTAAACCCCTGAACCCCTAAACCCCTAAACCCCTAAGCCCTCCGCCTTCACCCACGTCCCCTGCCCCCATCTTCAGCTCAAAAGCCATGGCCTGCAGCGCGGTTTGAGCCGAGCTTCGGACCGATTAGGGTTTAGGGTTTAGGCTTTAGGCTTTAGGGTTTAGGCTTTTAGGCTTTAGGGTTTAGGGTTTAGGCTTTAGGGATTAACCCTAAGGGTCCAAAAGACCCAAGAATTAGGTACTCGGTGGTTGGGATAGATATGCAGGTTAGGATGTCGGAGGGTATATGATTGGTAGCTACTTGGGCCCTTGGGGTAAGGCTCACAATTTGGGGTTCCTGTAAGGGTATATATAAGGTTCCGAAAAGGGATCTATGAGGGTTTAGGGCTCACTAAGGGTTTAGGGTTTTGAGGCTAAGAGGTAGTTGGGGGGGTCTAGGTAGGGCTTACGATTTGGGATTTAGGGGTTTGGGGTTTGGACATTTGGGGTTCAGGGGTTTAGGGCTCTAGGGTTTAGGATTTTAGGGTTTTCGGGTTTTGGGGTTGAAGTCTTAGTGCTAGTCTTTAGGGCCCCTGGACATCACAACACTATAAGCCCTGGTCCGATAGTTGAGATTCTTTGAGGGTTTAGGATTCTGGCCCTATTTAGGAATTTAGGACTTTAGGATTCAGGGTTCAAGGCAAGGGTTCGGGCTCTGGGTATTGAAAATAAGTTTAGGGAAGTGGGTGGTCGTCAAGATTACTGTCCCTTTTTGGGGCACCCTAAATATTAGGTACCATACTATATAAGGGACCCATAAAAAGGGACCATAATTTTGACAACCACCCAAGTGATTTGTACCATGCCTGACTTACCAGAACACACCTGGGGCAGGAGGCGCGAAAAGTCTCGATATAGTACCCAGAGTCAACATGCAGAATGAAAGGCTCTGATGGTCTAAGGTGTAGCAGAAAACCCTCCCTGGACCCTAAACACCCTAAAGCCTCAACCCCTAAACCCGAAACCCCTGACCCTAAACCCTGAAACCTTGACTAATGTGGTGCTCCTATAACACTCTCTGAAACCCTAAATCCCTAATTAGATCCTAAGCCCCGAAACGCCCAAACCCCAAGCACCATATATGTCGCAACAAAACCACGGCTTAGCAGAAGTTAAGCATCAGATGCGCGCGTACAGATTACAATCCTTGGCTGACTTCTGAACCCCTCCTAAAAGTTGAACTTTTGGCCTCCTTATTATAGTTCATATAGAAACCCAAAAAGTCAAAGTCTAAAGATCCAAGCAGAAGAACCCCAAGAATCTAAAGGCTCGGGGTCTCGGAATCCTTCGAGGTTTAAGGCAAAAGCCAGAAAGTTGGAATATGATTATCCTAAACCCTTCGTGGTAAATTATAGGGTATCCTACCCTGAAACCATATTCCAACTTTCTGGAGTTCCCTTTAGGGGTTTAGAGTTTCGAGCACCAAGGCTTCAGGGATTTAGGGTTTACCTATAGTCTCCATTGTCGTTCCTTTTTGGGGTAACCTTATAGAACCCTAGTTATAGAATTGGTTCAGCCAAAAACAGGAACTACAATGGAGACTATAGGTAGGGTTTACGAGTTTAGTGGTTGGGGTTTAGCGGTTTAGGGCTTTGGCTTTGCATTGCTTCTCCAGGCTCTGGTGCTTCTTAGCTCCACCGACATCCAGGACCCCAAGCCCTAAACCCTAAACACGACTTCAAGCCCAAAGCCGGAACCCCATGATCTCTGCGTCGCAAACCTCGGATCCCGGCCCTGAACCCTGAAAGCCGAAAGCCTCCAAAACCTAAAACCCTCCAAACCCTAAGCCCTCTAAAGCACTATACCTTCTAAAAGTTAATATGTAAACCCTCTAAACCCAAACCGTGAATCCTTCAGATCCAAACTCCAAAGCATCCAAAACCCTGCGATCCTAAACCGCCACCCAGAGAGCCCAATACCCCTTAATTAAGGAATCTAGCTTAAATCATAATATGAAGCCCTATATAACTTAAGCCATACTCCTTAATTAAGGGGTATTGGGCTCTCTGGCCAGCCCTCACCCCGCCTCCGTGGGAAGGCGCCAAGCGACTCGATGGCAGAACTTTCCGACCCCCGAGACCCTAAACACGACTGAAAGAACAGCAATGAAACTCGAAGATGCCCAGGGCCTTGAACCCTAAACCCTATAAACCCTAAACCCTAAACCTACAGCTAAGCCCTAAACCCTAAGCCTTAGAAGCCTAAGGCCTACCTGAGCCTTTCCATCTCAAGGCGTGGCTTCATGTTTTGCTTCTTGCAGGTTTAGGGCTTATGGGGCTTATCCACAACAGGTATCTATCTAGATATATACATACATATACATATGTATATATATATATATATATAGATTATTAAGATATACATATATAGATATACATATACATTTTCCAGAGGTCCTATAGTTTATGGGTACCTCCATGGGCACTACTGACTGAATACCCTAGAATCCTTGGGCCGTGAAGCCCTCCGGCTGCTGCAGCGCGCTCTCTGCAGCTGGAGCCGCAGCGCAGCCGGGAAGCGGGCAAAAATCGATCAGAGCTTTGCGGGTTTGGGGCTTAGGGTTTGGGGCTTAGGGTTTAGGGTCTAGGGTTTAGGATTTAGGGTTTAGGATTTAGGGTTTAGGTTTTAAGGTTTAGGGTTTAGGGTTTGGGGTTTAGGTTTTAGGGTTTATCGGAATGTCAGCCTGTGCTTTCAGGGCTTTATAGGTGGACACTAGCAACAACACTGACGGCTAACTGCAACCCCACACCTCGACTAGGAGACTTAGCAAGTCGGTTCCAAGTAGAACCCGAAGTGCAGTCACCAACATCCGGCGTAGATCTCTTGTCAGCTTCTTCCTAAGTCACTTGCTTAGATTCAGAAAAAGCTCGGACACTGACGCGAAAATCCCTCAAAAAGCCTTCCAAAAATCTCTGAGAAATCCGAAAATATCTGAACCCTAAACCCTAAACAGGGCCCCACAGGGGAGAACAGCCCTGTACCTTAGACCTTAGAGTCGTCTATAACTATTCTATAGTATATATGTCTAAGGCCCCTATGCTAAACCCCCACAAGTCCCGTACAAAAGCCTATAATGACTCATATAGCCTTGGCAACCCCCTGCAAAACCATTGACAAACCCCATACAAACCCTGTGTTAAAATATGTTTAGAAGACCAAACAAAACCCTGAACCCGAAACCACAAACCTTAATCCCCTAGACTCCACCAAATAACTACAAGAGTGAAAACTAAACCCCCTAAACCTTGTTAAGGCTTATCATATGAAATCCGGAATGGGCAACCTGAAAAGGAAGGTTTTGTATGGTCCAGGCCAGGAAAACCCTGAACCCGCGAAGACCTTGGAAGCTACATCGGAAGATCTCCCATAAACCCTAAACCCTAGACCCCAACCCCTAAACCCCCAAATCCCCTAACCCCTAAAAACCCTAAACCCCGAAACACTAAGTCCTTGTAGAACCCTGAATTCAGCTTAATTCGGAAGTCCGGCTACACCTTAAGGACTCCTTACAGATCCCTTTAAAGGAACCCTATAGAACCCCTATAGAAAGGACCCCCTACATCGAACACCCTGTGGAAACTCCTTGGGTGGCGGGGTCCCAATGGCCGACCCTGGCGGCGCCGCGCGCTTCGGCCCGGAATCGAAGTTCGAGCCCCTCGCCGGGGTTCAGGGTTTAAGGTCCAGGGTTTGTGGCTAAGGCTTTTTTTTGGGGGGTTTAGGGTTTAGGATTCAGGGTCTGGGGGTTTTAAGAGTTCGGGGTTTAGGGATGAGGGTTTCGGGTTTAAGGTTTAGGATGTAGGGTGTAGGGGTTTTAGGGTCGAGGGCTCTCTTCAATGCGTCCAGACCAGGCTCATGAGTGCATCCTTCCGAGATTGCCTTCGCACCAATCTCCAGCACATCCACGAAACGTTCCCGGCTGAACTCCGTCGTGGCCACATCGTGGTATGGAGGGTCAAAGACCCAACCGCACACCCTCTTGATGCGAAGCAGATAGCCATCGGTGGAATCACGAGGAAACAACGACACTCTTAATATGAGAGCATACTGACACGTGAATCCTTGACCTCTTCTACTGCATCTGTGTTACTCATGCCAGCCATGTAGCAATGTATGCGAAAACAACTCAACGAGCCCACTAATTGGGGGTAGTACTTACAATTATAGTTGCCTTACTTATAACGCGATTTACTAAATCCCATGATCCTCCAAGTAAATCCTAAACACCGACCCTTTCGGGGTTTAGCCTATACGTATTCTTAAATCGGGAGCCTATACACACCCCATTCAAACCTTTCGTGTGAACGCCCTTACAACTCGTGCCAATGCCAAGCTGCGACTGTTGAGGATTTCCATGAGAAACAACGTTCTACACCATCTTCACACATCAACTTCCCAACAGTCCAACTTGTCTGGTAAATCAAAAAAGAATCAACGAACAAGTTCTCCCAATGTAGCAACGCTGAGAGCAGTCATACCTAGGGGAAGAGCAGTCTGGTAATAGCTAGCCACTTAAGAACTGAAAAAACAGAGCTGCCAAGATCAGAGACAATCGAAATATGGAAGACGATGATCAAAGCCATGTGAATGACAAGACACGCCACGACAACTCCCTCAGCACTAAACCTTAAATTCTAATTCCGAAAACCCCTGAACGCTAAAACTCTAAGTCCCTAAACTCTAAACCCGTAAACCCAGCACGAAACCCTAAAAATCTACACGCCTGGACTTCACGGGAACCGGCGAGGGACGCCGGCGGTCGCGGCTACGACTCTTTGATCGGTCCTGTCTGCTTCTTCGGAGAATGTACATAACTTGTACAACCTACCAAAACCTACAAAAAGCAGGGTCCCTATAAATTCCATACTAGGGTTTATAATAAGAACCTACAAAAGGTAGGGTTTGGTAGGTTAAGGTAGGGATCTTCAGAAATAGAGTAGGGTTTAGGGCTTAGGGTTTGAGGTTTACGGTGTAGGGTTTAGGGTTTGGGGTTTAGAGTTTAGTAAGGGCATTACTTGGAGAGTCGGGAAACATAGTAAGTATTCATTGTTTAAAGTTTTAAAGGATTAAGCAGCAGAAGCCCAACTAGGATCCTACATAGACCACTCCTATCTCTACTAAGTCTCCCGACCTTGAAAGCAAGAGTTACAACAGGGATTGGAAGAAGGTGTTCTATAAAGGATACTACAGTACGTACCGTATGTAATAAGGTATTAGTATAGGAGGCCTTGACAATTAGACTCGGGTTTTGGGTATATTATGGTAGACTGACCTGAGTCTGGAAACCCAAGGAAAACACTGGAAAACATTATGCTTGGTAGATTATTGGTGTTGAATTCTGGGATTCCAATTTTCTGTAAGGCTTAGGACAAGTTAGGATTTAGTTCTTAAGGTGGTCGAGTTTATGCATGACTTCCTGAGAGCTGAGTGTTGGGGCTAGCGTTCAGGGTGTAGGGCTGAGCCCCTTTTGGTGGGCGTTCTCCCTTTTTTGCTGCATCTTCCCTCCTTCCCTCCTCTCCGCCTGCAACTTATGATTCAGACCTCATTGGGATATTGGAGGTGTACTAGGTGTCGATGTCAACAGTCCAGGCTTCTATATTAAACAATGAGGGAAAGTAACAATAGTCCCAAATCGATACGGGGGTTTCTCAAAATAGGGGACCCTGATATAGCACCCTAAATAGTAGCATCATTATTATAAGGACACCAAAATAGGGTACCCCGAAGTTCCGGAAACTCCCATACCTGGTCTGCGATCGCACCTCCTCAGCCTCTTGAGTCCAAGACCCGGGTATGGTATGTCTCTTAAACCTGGGTTTAGAACCCTAAACCCTAAACCCCTAAACTTAAGGCCGAGGAAATGGGCTACCCTACCTGGAGCCTCCAACACCTCCCACTTATCAAGCAAGGTATCTTCAGATGTGCAGGGATGCCGAACTGGATTTTAAAGCCCTGAACCCAAGCCCTACGCGGAGGATCATGGGACTTAGTAAGTATGGTTATAATTACAATAATTGGGGTCATCGGCTAAAAGTGGTTATAACTATAGTTACCTTATCTGTAATCCTAGTTACCATGCAGAACAGGGCTTATGTTGTAGGGAGGAGGGAAAAGGGTTCTAGGGTTTAGAGTTTATAGTCTCAGACCTGCTAAATGCTGCAAAAGCTTCACGAGCCAAGCCCTCCCTGAAAAGGATGCCTTCTTGTCTTTCCATGGTCGTCGGCGGCTTGCACTGCGACTGGCCTCCCGCTTGCTGAGCAGCAAAAGCGCTTCGGGATTGGGTGAAATACAAAAGCCTAAAGACTTTTACTAACCCCTAAACCCCTAAACCCCTAAACCCCTGAACCCCTGAACCCCTAAACCCCTAACCCTAAACCCTAAACCCCTAAACCCTAAACCCTAAAGGCTTTTAATGCCCTTGCACAAAGAAGCCTTCAGCATGGGGTTGCAGAATTGTGTAGGTAGCTGCGACCGTACAATCCCCAAGGTACGTCAGTTTTGTAAAACCCACATGGAACCCTCACGAGAATCCTTTACGTCATTACGAAACTCTTGTAGAGGCGCTAAACAGATCCCAAGATGATCCAATAAACGGAACTGGGTTTTATAACTTGTTATGGTCGGCATCCCATAACAAGACCCTGCAAGGATTATGTAAAATCGAGGAAAAACATTCCAATACCAAATTCAAGATGCCAGAAACCCCTGTCAGGCACCAAGACACCCATAAGAACCCTTAGATCTTTTAAGTGGCCCCTATAAAAGAACCTCAGAGTACCCTTAATTTCTTAGGGAGACCCGTAAAACCCTGAATCCTACACCCTTAAAGGAGCCCTTATATCGACCCTTATTGCCCTAAACCCTACACCCCTAAAGGAGCCCTGAAGGGGAGGTGTTGGTTTTGACGCGTCGACCCAGAGGGCCCAATACCCTTTAATTAAGGAACTAGGATACCCAGTAACCTAAGAATAAAAACGCCTCTCTTTTTGGTATTGGGTAACTTTATAAGGAACCTAGGACTACAAAAAGGGAATAAGGGTACTACTGGGCATCCTAGGAATGTATGGCTTAAATTATATATGGCTTCAGATTATGACGTAAGCTATATTCCTTAATTAAGGGGTATTAGAACCCCTTAAACCCTAAACCCTATAGATCCCTTAAAGGAACCCTTAAGGATCCCTTTAAAGGAACCCTAGGAATATTCCTTGGAGTCTCTAGGGGTATTGGGCTATCTGGGGATCCTTTCGCCTCAGCAGCTGCGTGGCCGTCTCGCTCGGGAGACTCGCTTGGCGCGTTGCGGCCGTTCTCGCGCTGGCCTCCGGAGAAGAAAAGGCCCGGGTCGGTTTAGGGCTTCGGGTTTGGGGTTTGGGGTTTAGGGTTTCGGGTTTGGGGTTTCGGGCTTAGGGATTGGGTTTACCGTGTCGATTTCAAGGCTTCGAGGTTGCGAGATTTCGTCATATAGCAACACAACATGTCATGAACCATCGTATCATCGCATACATTTTGCCCTACCATGGAATATGTCATGAGACATCCCTAAACCCTAAACCCTAAACCCTAAACCCTAAACCCTAAACCCTAAACCCTAAACCCTATCACACTGTCTCATCTAACATCACTGATGTCGGGGTCTATGGGGGCTTCTGGGGTGTGTGGAGATCTCACAGAGCAGATCTCGTGCGCAGAGGGCTCGGAGAGCGAAACCCCTTAAGGGAACAGACCTTCAGGGCTCAGGGTTTAGGGTTTAGGGTTTAGGGTTTAGGGTTTAGGGTTTAGGGTTTAGGTAATATGGCTCATTTCCGGTTCTATCTATAACCTTAACCCTGAAGAACCTACCTTTTTAGGGCTCCCTACTAAGATTTCCTTATAGAAGTCCTTAAAAAGGTAGGTTCTTCAGGGTTACGAGGCTGTATGGCAGCCCTTAGTTCAGGAATAGAATCGGATCCTAATCCTAACTCATAACATCAAGCCCATTCCAGTTGAAGGTATGGTTAGACGGCCAGGGTCTCTTAATCAGGCTCCTACATTACTAGACCGGGTACTCTATAAAAAGGATACTACAAAGGTTACTACAAGACTACAGTAAGGGTACTACAAGACAAGGGTTGCTACAAGGGTAGACAATCCTTTACCAGCAGCATGGCCTGCCGGAGTCATGAGACCAAACCCTATAAAGGGAACTCCAGAAAGTCGGATGATGGTTTCAGGGTAGGAGACCCTATAATTTACCATAAAGGGTTTAGGATAATCATATTCCAACTTTCTGGCTTTTACTGTAAACCCTAAACACATGAGACCATGGCCAACATCCAAAGCCCACGACTTTGACTTTGAGACCTCGACTCTACATCCCCAATCGGGAAAAGCTTAATCCCCAAAAAACAACCCGGCCTCCCCTCCATGCTGGCAGCCGGCTCAGGAATGTCTCGAGCGCATCCTCCCCCGAGATTGGGTCTTGACTGAGCTTATAAGCTATGGGGGTTAATATAGGGACCTTAATAACTCCATTATACTATATTTGCAATAAGGAACCCCCAAAATACTGTAGGTAATCATTATGGCCGCGATATTAAGGGGTTGAGGGGTTCAGGGGTTCAGGGATTTGGGGATTAGGGTCATGTTTTGGGGTCCAGGGTTTAGGGTTCGAGTGTAATGGGGTGTATTGGGTGTTTAAACAGCATTACTACTGTTTGCTTAAGAACCCCCAAAAAATAAAAAATATATTCCTTATGGGGGTAATATAGGGATTATTATTTTTATTTTTTGGGGGTTTCTTAAGCAAATAGTAGATTATAAATCCATGATGGTTTTTGTAGTGATGGTTGATGGATTCGGGTGTATGGCCAGGGCGTAGGGTTGAGGTTTGCAGGTTGCGGAGTCTAGGATTTGGGGAAGAAATGGGTAGTTGTCAAAACTGTGGTCCCTTTTTGGGGTACCCTAAATATTTTGTGCCGTATTATAATAAGGACCCCAAAAGGGACCATAATTTTGACAACCACCCATATGCGTCTAGAAAGTGGAAACTCGATTTTGGCTTCCTTTACTACTATCGTCGAGGAAGTCGCTCAAGGCAATTACTTCCTAGGTATGGGAGTTTCCGAAAATAAGGGACACCACTACAGTACCCTTAACCAGCAGGATCCTTATTATAGGGACCCCGCTATAAGGTACCCCGAATCTTCGGAAACCCCATATTCGTTTAGGATAATTTGTTCGAGGTTTTTGGGCTGGAGCCTTCAAGGCCTTCTAGAGCTCAGGGTTTAGGGTTAAGAGGGTTTAGGGGTTTAGGGTTTAGGGTTAAGAGAGGGGACTTCATTACGGGTCAAGGCTCTAGGTTAAGCGAGTGGACGTCATTACGGTTCAGGGCTATAGTTCGCTTTGTTGAGCACAACGTGTAAGGATCCAAACCCCCAAGTAAAGGGTTTAGGGTTTGGGGCCGAACCGCCGTATCTTCCCCTGTGGATAACCCTCTGCTGACGCCTCGAGCCGCAAGCGCGGGGCCAATCCTCAAAGGAGGTCGTTGAGGCTTTGTTTAGAGTTTAGGGTTAAGGGTTTTGGGTGGCGGGGAGGTCGTTGAGGCTTTGTTTAGGGCTTAGGGCTGACTTGAGCGGTTTAGGGGCTTGGGGGGTTTAGGGATTGAGACTATAAGGGGTTTAGTCGGTTTAGGAGTTTAGGGGTTTAAGAACCTTTAGGCGGTTTAGAGTGTGCCTTGGCTCAGCGCGTGACTGAGGACTTCGGGGCTGTGCAACTTTGGGCTCCTACACTTGGAGGATCAGGGGACTTAGTAAGTAAGGTTATAAGTACCCTAATTGGGGTTATAAGTAATTATAAGTATAGTTACCGTATTTATAAGCCTAGTTACTAATTCCCATGATCCTTCAAGCACCGGCCTCTGCCTATCTGGGAGTTTCCGAAATCAGCGGGTACCTTATTTTGGGGGTCTTTATAATCAGGATCCTGCTATTAAGGGTACTATATTAGTTATTAAGGTCTATTTTGGGAAACTCCCATCTGGGCTTCGGGTTTAGGGTTCAGGATTCAGGGTTTAGCGACTCTCAAGACTAAAATATGCGGTGTTCGCAAGGTCCTACATGGCATGCATACTGCCTTTTCATGAACGGAATCTGAATTCAAACAGGTCTTCTCGTGCTGGTTTCAGATTCTACGGCTTAGGATTCAGAGGATAAGTTCCAGCACAGCACCAGATTCCTTGGGGTTTCCGACTGGCCTGTGAAGGTATATGCTACCAAAAACCTCGGGGACGCTACAGTAAACCCCATAAAGTTGGAAACCGGATTAAGGCCAAATAGTGCTGGGATTCCCTATACATTACTCTTTGGGATCGAGGCTATGGAATTGGGTTTCCAACTTTTGGGCTTCTACTGTAGGCTCCTAGTCCGGCCTGAACAGTCTCCGACCTTACATGGGAGTTCCCGAAAATTAGGGGTACCGCACTCTGGCTCCTTAAAAGCAGGATCCTACTGTCTAGGATACTGTGTTACTGAGTTGCTGAGTTCATAAGCCCCAAAATGCGCACACTTTTGGTTTATAGTGGGTAATATTATCCCAAAAAGTGTAAAGTGTATCCACTCAGCTACTAAGATTAGGTTCCCCCATCTTCGGAAACTCCCACATTGTGGCTTTTGTTGCTGAATCTCCACGGCTCCGTTATCTCGACCCAGACCTCCTTGAACCTGCCACCTTCAGACTTGAAGGACAGCCTGGATGCTAAACATCGCTAATTAAACACTAAGTCCTACGCGCGTGTCATCCAAAACCCGCAATCGCCACAACCCTCACAACACCCTAGGATGCGGCGAAACAGCGCTGGCTGTAGGTTCGGGTTTTGGATTTGAGCGGTGCCTTCAAGTTCAGTTCTTTGTTGAAGGGGGGGTGTAAGTGGGTCCTAGTTGCTTACGTTACACGCAGGCCCCTCAAAGGAGTTCCTATAAAGTGCCCTTAGTAGCATGGCGTCCCAAACTAAGAATCAATATAGAGGGCCTTCATACCTAGAATAGGGTTCTGGGGTCCAATGTACTATAATTATAGTAAGGAACCCCCAAAATAGTATTGGCCATTATTTAGGACCCTATATGACTATGTTACTTTGTAGCTCTGGATATTTTCTAAACCCCGAACTCCGAGCCCGAGCCGCAAGCACAAAATGCGTGCATGCCATTCTGACACTCAAGGCTAGGTGCTCTTAAAGGACCCTTACGGGTCTCTTTAAGGGTCCCTTTAAGGGTTCAGGGTTACGGTCTAGGGTTTAGGGTTTAGGTGCACTATAAAGGTTTAGGGTTTGGGGCTACTTGGATGACCAGGGGACTCAGTAGGTGAGGTTACAAGGACCCATCCAGGGTTATGAGTAATTACAAGTATAGATACCTTAGTTACAGCCTCAGTTTCAAAGTTCCATGATGCCCAACCCTGGGCTCCTAACTCTAAATCCGCGGCCCTGGATTCCTGGATACCAGACCTTGAACCCCCATTTTCATTGGCCGTGAGCCCTACACCCGAAACCCCTAAACCTCCAAGCCCCTAGCTCTAGACCCAAACCCCTCCTAAAGCCTTGAAGATCTACCAAAAGTCTCATCGAAAAAAAGGGAAAAACAGAACCTGGGACACTGCCCAACAGAATCCCGAATCTAGAACTAGGAGCCTATTTCTCTCTAACAAGAACGCGGAACCGGAACCATCAATTCTCACAATTCCCGGAACTTTTTGAGCGTGGAAGGGCACACTAGGGTACCTGGAGGATCATGGGCTTAATGCAAAATTGTCTTTTTAGGTGTTTTAAAGGGGTTTCTTGAGGTACTATGCAGGGTTTTAGAGGGTTCTTCGGGTTTATGGGTACCAAATAGGGTTTGGGGGTTGGAACCTAGAAGGACGTCAGGTTTGGGGCCTAAGGCCGAGAGCTTCTATCGTTTCGGGGGGGACTTTAGAAAGCAAGGGAGCAACTGCACCAACAAACATCGAAGCCCTAAGCCCTCGACCGAACAAACCCTACGCCGAACACAAATTAAAAAAAAAACTATCCCATCGAGGCAGTGGCCGTCGGCTGTTTGCCTAAGCGACTGAAGGCTTGCTGGTGGCATGCCTATATACGCTCGGCTTAGATAGACGTACATACATACATGTAATGTATGTGTATATATATATATATATATATATATGTATGTGTGTGTGTAGAGTTGAGATAGGATAGGATAGGTAGTTAGCTAGACATGTATGTGTGTGTATATGTATGTGTATATATTTATACATACATGCGTGTCTATGTGCATAAACAGTTACATCGTCAGCAATTTCGTTGGTTGTGCCTGCAGCGCTTTGCCGTGACCGCAAGTTCTGCGTCGCACTTGGCTTATAGGGCACGCATAGGGTTTAGGACGTGGGCGAATCGCGAAGCCCGCAGCAGCTACGGATAGGCTGTCAACCCCCGCCCTCTCTTCTGAGCATTATCCGACCCTAGACCCTAAACCCTAAACCCCTAAACCCTAAACCCTAAACCCCTAAACCCTAAACCCTAAACCCCTAAACCCTAAACCCTAAACCCCTAAACCCTAAACCCTAAACCCTAAACCCTAAACCCTAAACCCCTAAACCCTAAACCCTAAACCCTACAATCCTAAACCCCTGAAGCCCCAGGCTCCAGACCCTTAAACGCCCCTTGCAACAACCGAATGGCAGGCCTATGCAAGCCCTCAGAAGCGTCCAAAACAACGCTTGCAAATAAACATAAAGAAAAACTCCTAATAAAAATGAAGAATAACTCTAAGACCCCAAATGTAACTTCCCAAAAGCGCCCCTGAGGCATCCGCAAAGACGATGGGTCGGTAAAGTCCATGAAAAGCTTGGCAGCCTGGCAAAGGTTGAGTTAACGGCGTAGGGTTTAGGGCTTAAGGTCTGGGGTGTCAAGGATTTAGGGCTTGAGGGTTTGGGGGAAACAAGTGCGTGGGCACGCGCTTTAGAATCTTCGTTGTCTTGTTGTTGAAGGCTCTACTTGGAGGTTCATGGGTAGTTATAAGTAGGGTTATAAGTAGGATAACTGTACTTACAACCCATATTAGGGGACTTATAACCCATATTGGGTGACTTATAACCCTACTTATAACTGCCCATGAACCTCCAAGTAAGGCTTCGGGCCTTTCGGCTGTCTCGGATAGAAGTCTCCTCTGTTCGGGCGGTTCGGGTCTGCTTAGAGGATCCTGAGACTTAGCAACTCAGGCAATGAATGAGGTAGATATAGCTGCTATTATGTGTTACCCCAACCAAAGTACGTATGACCCTCCAAGTACGGGTGTCTTTGAGGGTTCTGCGTAAGTGTTTAGTTCAGATATACAAGACTTCGCAGGGTTGTACATATAGACCGTTGCAAGAACCTATCATACAGGATCCTACTCCCTCTACCCTAAAGCCTAAGCGCTGCACCCTAATCTAAGCCAGGGATTTGCCTGGAAGCCTTACGTGGAGGTTCATGGGTAGTTATAAGTAGGGTTATAAATCCTCCCAAATGGGTTATAAGTATAGATATCCTACTTATAACCCTGCTTATAACTACCCATGAACCTCCAAGCAACTAACCCCAAGAGTTGAGGTAACCATCTGGTATGAACTATGACCCTAAAGTACCTATATGGGAGCTTCCGAAAATTAACGGTACCTTACTTTGGGGTCCTGATAATCAGGATCCTACTATTTAGGGAGGGTCCCCTATAATCGGAAACTCCCATCTACGAACCACTGACAAACAAATAATCAACCACTTTGATACAAGGGCATAGGGACTGCAATACTACAAGGTAGTTTGAGCATCAGCTATCTAAACCCTCCTTCTAGAAACCCTACTGAAATCCCCCACCCTTGCCTGAGCACCAGATCCTCTAAACCATACCTTCCACAAACTGCTTAAGAAAGGCGCTTACAGGAACTTGTAGAACCCCTACAAAGAAGCCTCATAGAACCCTCAACGGAACCCTCACGAACCCTTGCAGGAACCCTTCACTGTAATCCGTACTGTAGCAGTTGCCTTGGTAGCGTCCACAGCTGCCATCGGCACCCCCCAAGGCCCCACTTGGGCAATGAAGGCTGTGGAAATTCCGCTGCCGTGTTGCACGGTTGAGGGTTTAGGGTTCTTCCAGGGTTTACCCGAACTTGCGGGTTCAGGGCTGACCTATGCCCTAAAATCCCCCACCACACACAAACACCCAAACAGCGAAACACCTTACTCCCAAACCCACACATCCCTAAAACCTTTTGCCACAAATCCCAAACCCTAAACCCTCTTACTTCCAAACCCCCCTGAAACCAAGCGGTTCTGGACCTTATGGGAACCACACAAGCATATAGCCGTCTGCAATAGCACTCCGGTTAAGGGTGTTCCTTTCTACGCTTTTTTGAGGGGTAGGGTTTACGGTTTCTTTTAAGAAAACCAACGAGCTAGACATACCGCCCAAAAGCGTAATTCCTGAGCCCCTACCCCTTAAACCCTCAACCCCTAAAGCTCTAAATCCCAAAGTCTCGCACCGAAAAGCCTAAAACCTAAACTCCTGTAGCAGTTTATATCCCAAAAGCTTTCGCTTTCAGGAACGGCTTTGTCTTAATTGGGTTCATAAGTAAGTTTCTCTACAGTTGCCGTATATTCATAACCCTAGTCTAGTTGCTACGTCTCATGATAGTTGAAGACACCCTCACAACCCCTTTTAGGGAACTCCACAACCCCAGTTACTACGTCTCATGATCCTCAAAGTCCTCCAAGTACGTAGAGGATCATGGGACTTAGGAGCTAGGGTTATAAGTACCCTATAAGTAGTTATTGTATAGTTACCTTTTGCAACCTTCGTTACTACGTCTCATGATCCTCCAAGTAGGGATTCAGATCTCCATATTCACAAGGTTGAGGGTTTAGGGTATTAGGGTTTTAGGGTTTAGGGTTTAGGGTTTTAGGGTTTTGGGGTTTTAGTGTTCAGGGTTTGGGGTGAGAGGTATTTTGTCTGGTTGGCAAGTTATTTACTATAGATCCCTATGATGGTAACTTACATTAAATTCATTATCCTTAACCTTAAACCCTAAGCCCTATCAAGTTCCTTAACAGGAACCCAAAAACTTCGTCAGTCGTTCGCGTGATGTCTTCATGCGATTCGCCAAAGCACGGGTTTGAGATCAGGGTTTTCAAAAGGAGGTCTTCTGGGGTTCCTTTAGGGGTTTCGGTAACGGATCGTTTAAGGGTTCCTTTAAGGGTATAAGGTTTAGGAGTTTAGGTATTGGGGCTTAGAAGTTTCGGGCTTTGGGTTTAGGGCTGAAGATTGGGGCTTAGGATTTAAGAGTTTAGGGCTTAGGAGGGTTTAGGAGTTTAGGGCTTAGGGTTCTGGGTTTAGGGCCTATGCATACGGTTTAAGGGGTTGCGGTTTAGAGTTCAGGGTGATCCCAGGTTTCACGGCAATTCGATCCTCCATTTAGGCGGTTTGCCTTGTTGGTACTGGCCTCGGTGCAATCACCTCAGCGCTTGAAACGGTGCTCTCGTGGATATTCCGGCGGATAGCGGAGACCAGGGAGCAGAAACGATCTGTACAGGCAAGCACGGTATTTTCGCGCTGGCATGGCATGCACGGGCTTTATACTATACAGGTCTTTATCAATCGAAAATGCCGATGACTGTTGGGGTACAGTGTACTGTCTATATAGCAGTCATAGGGAAAATCACTAGTAGTTATTCAGACCCCTATATTACGCAGCTATCGCGTGACGCCGAAACCGAAACTTTGGAGTTGTTGTTCCAAGACTCGCCTTTTGCTGCAATTCTCAGGCACGTCAGATGACGGAATGCAGCAGGAAAGGCCCGAAGTCTTCTGAGCCCAATAGTTTAGGGGCCGAAGTAATTAGCCTAGAAATTGGTGGAGTACGTTAGTAAACCTATCGCAGGGAACGCTGAGGCAGAAACTAGGTAGGTTATTCAGGGTCAAGGTAAGGTTTGGGGTTGAAGGTTTTTTTTTAGGGTCTGTGGGTTAAGAGTTTAGGGTTTAGGGGTTGAAGGGCGATGAAAGTCTCGGGGATCTGAAGCTGCAGATATACTCTGCAAGCCGACGCCGGGAGCTCCAAGCGTCGGTGTCCAGAGTTTTGGGACTTAGGATTAGGAGTTTTAGGGTTTTGGCAGTTCGACAAAGGCTTAGAAGCTTAGATTTTTGCAAGTTTTTCGAGTGTTGAGTTTTAGGGATCAGATCTAAAATTAAGGGTGTAGGGTTTAGGGTTCGGCGTTTCAAGGTTTGGGTGGCTTCGGGTTTCGCAGGATTCGGGGTTTCAAGGCGTTTGGGGTTTCTTCAGGGCTTTGGGTCTAGGCGGTCTAGGATTCAGGATGTAAAGAACGGTATCGGGCCAGGGGTGTCATGGCATAGAATTGAGGGTTGCGCGCCTAGGGTGTGGGGACTACGGTGGAGTAGCGAGAGCTTCGCTAGAGCTCCGTGTCGTCATCCTCAAATTCCAAAAGCTCGTCCTCACACGTGTCATCGTCCTTTTCACACCGCGGATCTTGCAAGAACGCGCCCTCCTTTCAGGGCACTTGAGCAAGAGACTTGGAAAGTAGGCTATGAGTAGATGTATGGACCGGCTTAGTTATCTAAGTTGTCGTAGCCATACTTCTACAATCACTGACAGCTTTCTTTTCGGTTTAGGTACAAGCCGCATATAAGTCTTCTAAACCCCTACACAAATGCACGCAGACCCATTAGATGATGGTAGGAGCGCAGGTATTCCCTGCTTAATGGAAGGGAACCTAGGACCTGTTTATCCGATAACAAGTTCTACAGAAGCTCCTTTAGGGGTTGTCTACAAATTCCTTGAAGGGCTCCTTCAAGCGTTCTATGTGGCGTTTAGGGCGTAGGCTCTTGTTGACGGACTAAGGCTTGAGCTTGGGTTGATGAACACTGAGGATACAGGGCTGACTGTCTGCAGGATTTCGGGTTGAGGTTTGAGGGTGTGGATCCTATATTTCAATATAGCTACAGTATAACGTACCCCAAAACCCTGTTCTAATTGTTAAGCCACCTATCTTCAACCCTCGCCTTATAGAGACTCTTGAAGACCCCCTTATAGAACCTGTTCTGTTTATTACGGCCCCTAAATCTATATGGGAGTTTCCGAAAGTTAGGGTACCGCATTTTGGGGTCCTCATAATAAGGATCCTACTATCTAGGATACTATATTAGGGTCCCCTATTTTCGGAAACTCCCATATCAAAACCTGGGCCCTTGTCGGCTCCTCCGTGTCATCGAAGTCGTCTTCGTCGTCTTCGATCTCCAGGGCAGATCCGTAGTAAGAGTTGTAGTTGTACCTGGTTTAGATTTTTTTAAAGTTGAGGTGCACCCTTTCTCCAAAGAAGCGCTGGCATTTTGCCCTCAACTAGTGAAACTTACTCCACCCCACAGTTGCTAGGGCTTAGGGTCTAGGGTTTCGGAGACTCCAACACCCCAAGCAGTCTTTAAAAGGGCTTCTTGTAGCAGTCTCCTGGGGTCGTCATAAGGGTTTTGGGGCTTAGGGCTTTAGGGTGTTTAGCGTAAGGTCTTGTTCTTGTTCTTAAGGGCCTCCTTTTCGATCTGCATAATGCGTAACGAAAGCCTACCGTTTCGGGTTTCGGCTTTCGGGGTTTAGGGTCCGGGGGTTGAGGGTTTACTGTTTGGGGCTGAGGCGCGTAGGGTTCTCAGATCATACCAAAAACTGAAACTCCATAGTATAGGGGCCTTAATAATTAGAATAGGGTTTTGCGGCCCATTATACTATACCGATAGTAAGGAACCCCAAAAATAGTATGGGTAACTATTGAGGCAACTTCCAAGAATGGCCGGGGCACGGGTTCCTGTGCCTCCGACGACGCCGCAAGTATCTTTTGCGTCTGCAACACGTGTGAACATCGCAGCCCTCGGGCTTGCAGTGCCTTTGTGCTGGGTAGGGTCTCTGCCTGAATCCTGAAGGGCACCGGAAATCTGCGCAAGTGAGGCCAGGTGCCGTGGTGGTGGTCGCCGGCGCAGCTGTGGTGGTGGTTGCAGGTGCAGCTGTAGTTGTGGTCGTAGGCGCAGCTGTGGTGGTGGTCGTGGGTGCGGCTGTGGTGGTTGAAGTGGTGATTGCGGCCGTGGTAGTGGTCGTAGGCAATGCTGTGGTGGATGTTGTGCCCGCGGCTGTGGTAGTGGTCGTGGGTGCTGGTGTGGTGGTGGTTGTAGGTGCAGCTGTAGTGGTGGTCGTAGGCGCAGCTGTGGTGGTGGTCGTGGGTGCGGCTGTGGTGGTTGAAGTGGTGATTGCGGCCGTGGTAGTGGTCGTAGGCAATGCTGTGGTGGATGTTGTGCCGGCGGTTGTGGTAGTGGTTGTGGGTGCTGGCGTGGTGGTGGTTGTAGGTGCAGCTGTAGTGGTGGTCGTAGGCGCAGCTGTGGTGGTGGTCGTGGGTGCGGCTGTGGTGGTTGAAGTGGTGATTGCGGCCGTGGTAGTGGATGTTGTGCCGGCGGCTGTGGTAGTGGTCGTGGGTGCTGGTGTGGTGCTGGTTGTAGGTGCAGCCGTAGTGGTGGTCGTAGGTGCAGCTGTGGTTGCAGTATTGGTCGTTGCTGTGGTTGTGGTGGTGGTCGTTTCACAACAGGTGCTATCAGTGCAACCACTTTCAGAGCAGGGAATTGCCGACGCATTAGGCCGCAACTGTCCGATAGTGCATGAAAAGTTTGCACAGGAAATCAAGCCTCAGCTCTTTTTCAGGGTTTAGGGTTTAGGTTTAGGGTTCAAATTCAATTACAACCGGATTGCCGTAGTAGCAGGGTCCTGCTTAAGGGCCTGACAAGGGCTCGCTGTGGGGGTTAACTTTCGGCAAGATAACTTGCGCTACCATAACCAAAATATTATGTTTGCGTAGTTTCTGTAAATGTACACACATTTACATGTCACTATACATATATATATATATATATATATAATCTGAATACACTAAGCAATCGCATCTTCTCTTCATGAAAAAAATCAAGGCGATGCTCCTCAACACGAGCCCAGAAGCAGGTGGAGTTCGGTGAGGTGCTGCAGAACTCTCCGTTCGTGCACACCGCCCCTCCGATCCCGCCGCAGAGACACGGATAGTTGGAAGGAGCCTGGATTCTTCTCCCAGATCCCCCGGAGGATCCAAAAAGTAGGTACCCTTAATGGGGGTTCCTACAAAGTGCCCTCATTAGTATAGGGCCCCAAATTACGGATTTTTCTAGATTAGGGTTTAGGGTTTAGGGCTTAGGGTTAAGGCGGTTAAGGGTTCAATTTTTAGGGCTTCGTGCTTGAAATTTTGTCTTAAGGAAGCTGACGCTTTCAGTGTCCATGAGGGAAGCCGTTGCAAACTCTACTCTTTCCTGATATTGGTAACTGAAACCAAATTCCTCAAGAGTGTCGGGTTTAGGATTTAGGGTTTCGGGACTAGCCCTGAACCCTAAACCCTAGACTCTAAACTCTAAAAAAGAAGTTCCCAAACAAGGACCGGTGATCCTCCAGCTGCGCTCCGTCGGTGCCTTGGCACCTTACTTCCCAATAAGCCACATTAAAGAAAAGGGTTTTTATAGGGTTTAGGATTTCCGATTGCTATTAAACTAGAAGCACCCAAAAGGTTTGAAGGAACTTAAGAGCCCAAAAGTTTTGAAGAAACTTAAGAGCCCGAAAGTTTCGAGGGTAGGGTACTGGAGAACTGAGGCGCTGATTTGGCGGAATGACTGGATCTTGCTCCTGCGTGATCTCGACAATAGCAGCTCGGTCCTGCTTCAGGGTTTAGGGTTTGGGGCTTAGCGTTTAGGGGATCCAACAGTTACATCAATCTCTTGAGGGGTTTTCGGTAAAGTACCCTGTAGTAGTAGTAGTAGTAGTCGTCGTCGTCGTAGTAGTAGTAGTAGTAGTGGTTGTTGTTGTTGTTGTTGTAATATAGGGCCCTAACTAGGACAGTAGATCCTCTCAGCGGCCTCGGTTGAAAATGCCAAAGGCCGAGTTTCAGGGCAGAGCTACAGGAGTTTAGGGGGCTTTAGGGTTTTAGGTTTGCGGTTTAGACGGTTTAGTGTTTAGGGGTTGCGCTAAAGATTTAAGGTTTAGGTAGGCTTAATTATTTGGGTTTAGGGGGATGAACGGGCCACAACAAGACATGGCTTCAGAGTCTATCGTAGGGCACCCTGCACGCATGCCTGCACCATCTATTCATATGATTTAGCAACAATGAAGCCCTTGACAAGAGCGGAGATTGTAAAACAACCACAACCTTATTCAGATGCCTTGCCGGGCTTCTCTGGCCGGACTATGAAATACAATCGTGTGTTCCTCTAGACCCCACGTGATTAGTAGTATTCGTAGGAACATTAATATTGGTATCAATACCATAAGCGTATTAGCTGGAGTAACAAGTGGTACCCAGACCCCGGGAGGATCTAGAAAGTAGATCCCCTAATTTGGGGCCCTACACTTCTAAGGGTACTTTATAGGAACCCCCACTAAGGGATCTACATTTCGGAGCTTCCAAAGGGGGTCTGGGTAATACTTTAGAAGCTGCCCCCACCCTGTAGTAGTGACTATAAGGATTATATTGGGGCCCTATTATATTCCTATTATACCACTATTACAGGGTGTGGGCCCCTTCTCAGTAATACTGGGATCCGGCTCCCTTTTGTCAGACATGCCGTATCTCAGTCCGGTCCGCAGCACCCCCCTCCCACGACCGAAAGCTCCTCCACCCCTAAACCCTACACACCCGTAAACCATCCCTAAACCCTAAACCCTGACCCCCAAACCCTAAACCCTGAATCCCAAACCCCGAAAGCCCAGATGTCCCAAAACCGAAACCCTAGCCCGGATACCCCCAGAAAGTTCTACGTTTAAGGTCATGTACCTGGTCCAAGGTCTAGATTTTCGAGTTCAGCATTTAAGGCTTAGGGTCTGAGGGTTCTAGGGGTTCGGGGTTTTGAGTTTTGGTTTTCAGAGCTTAGGGTTGAAGGTTTAGGGTTTATGGTGTAGAGATTGTATCTTGTAGAGCCCTCAAGCAGCCTTTGAACAAGCCTCATATTAAAAAAACGCTGTTTACACCGTAATATCATAAACACCCTAAAGCCTTAAACCCCAAAACCCTAAAACCACAAACACAGCAAACCCTAATCCCCACAACTTAAGGAACCACCTGCGCCACAATTACTCACAGCATCCCCATCTCGAGCCGGGATCTGCACTATACGGGGTATCCAAAAGGGGTCACAGTTGGGTTGAGGGTTTAGGCTTGAGGGTTTAGGTATTGTCTCCTCCGGCTCGGCGAAGACCCAGTCAGCGACGCAGCTTAGCACGTTGAACTGCTCCACGGTCAAAGTGATCGATGTGTTCGACAAGTTCGCCGGGAGCACCCTTGGGGCTTAAGGGTTTTAGGATTCGAGGCTGTCTCACCCTTGGTTTTTTGAGCGTCCAGGACTCAGGTACAGCTGCGGGGCTCTTCCCAATAACATCCCCCTAAAACGCGAGTGCTGTGGCGCTTTGATCTCGTCAAGCTCGGTTGCTTCAACCCTAATCTCTGGACTGCGCAAGCCCCAAAACTGCAACCTCTACACCCCAAATCTCACACCCTAGCATGCACAGTCACATCCTTAACCTGACTATCCTAGCCTTCCAACCCTCAGCCACAAACCCTAAAACCCTAAATTCTAAACCCTAAACCCTCAACCACAGAAACACAATAACCCTAAACCCTCAACCACAGAAGCACAAAAACCCTAAACACTGAAGAACTTACAGAATCCCAGAAGAAGCTGAAAGGAACCATTACAGCAATCATCTTAACACGTACAAAACCCCATACAGCCCTGTAAAAACGGGACGGTTTGGGGTTTAGGGTTTGAGGCTTAAGGGTTTAAGGTGTTTTTAAGGTTTCTTAATTATAACACATATAAACCCCAATACAGCCCTGAATCCCTGTACCACCCTTGAAAAGCAACTTTGAAAGGCAAAACCCTGAACCTTAAAACCCCAACGAACCCTAAAACCCCAGACCTGCAAACCCGAACCTTAAAAACCTAGGAACCCGTAAACCCTAAACCCCCCAAAACTTTTAAGAACCCCTGAACCCCAAAACCCTAAACCTTAAAACCTCCATAAACCCCTCAACCCTAAACCCTGAAAAACCCCTCAGAGCCCTGCAGCTCGCCAAAATACTCTGATTAGTGCCTTATATTACACTCCCCCCAAAAAAATCCTTACAGTAATCTGCATAATCCTCATAGACCCCTTTCAATGAGAAGCCTTAGTACCCTACTTGAAGGATCATGGGACTTAGTAATTAGGGTTCTAAACAGGGAGACTCTAGTTACAATTACGTATGACCCCAATTAGGCTACTTCTAACCCCACTTACTAAGTCCCACGATCCTCCAAGTAGTACCCTAGGAGCCCCCTGGTTTTAAAAGTCGATTGTGTCGAACAAACCCTGTGGATCTAAACCTTGTGGTTCTGGTTCGGTGCAAACGGTCAATGACTGTAGCTCGCCAAAGGTCACTCCCTCCAGCCATCCGGTGCTGCAGTTGCCCACAGCATCTTCGAAGTTGATATTAGGGTCTGCCTGGCTTCAGCGCGCTTGAGCGATCTATGAGGGATCCACTTGGGGTTTAGGTGTTCAGGGGGGCCTAGGGTTTGCCTTCAGGGCGCGTTAAAAGGGGGATTGTAAAGCTTCTTTCAGGAGTTTTAGGTGGAATTTTTCATAGTCTTTAAATCAGTCTAGGGGTTTAGTGGTTCAGGAGTTTTAGGTTGATTTTTTCATGGTCTCTAGATCATTCTAGGGGTTTTTTGTCGGTTTCTGAGATCCGGGTTTTAGCCTGAACGGGTTTAGGGTTTAAGGATAGGGTTCCTTAGGGTTCCTTGGGGTTCCTTGGGGGGTTCCTTAGGGTTCCTTATAGAGGTTCGGGCTGAGGGCGTATGGGGTTTAGGATCTAAAGATTCGGGCTGAAAAGTTTAGGGTTTAGGGATCCGCGATTGGGGCTGAGGGTTTACTTTAAGGGATCCACGATTTGGGTTGAGGGCTTACTTAGAGGATCATGGGACTTAGTAGCTCGGGCTATAAATAAGGTGACTATAATAAGAGTTACTTATAACCCCAGTTAGGGTACTTATGACCTTACAGACTTCGTCTCTCTGCATACTCAGATGCAGGGAAAAAACCACTTGTGGGAGAAAAGCCCTGCATCCCGGAAACAAAACGGTAGAGACTTACCTTACCTACCAAGTCCCATGATCCTCCAAGTAGGGTTCGGGTCTGCCCGGCTTCAGGATGCCCAGAGATTACCCTTAGCCGAAAAGGGTTTAGGGATTTCGGTTTAGGGGTTAGGGGTTTAGGGCTTAGGGTTTAGGGCTTAGGGTTTAGGGGTTTCGGGTTTAGAGGTTTATAGGGAACTCCAGAAAGTTGGAATATGGAACAATGGCAGGATCCCCTGTAATTTACCTTAAACGGGGTATGATAATGATATTCCAACTTTCTGGCTTCTACTGTACCTGCTTAGGGTTACTTATTGGTATGGTTTCTATATATATATATATATATAAAGCTCTTCAACAAGGTAGGTCGTGTTGCCACAGGTATAGAGGGGTTTGAGTTTCGGGTTTAGGGGTCCTGACAAGAGCTCCATCAAGGGATCATTTGAAGGTTCTTTTGACGGATAGGCTGAGGTTTAGGGTTCAGGGGTCAAGCTGCAGGGCTGAGGGTTCGCGGCCCTAAGCCCTAAACCCTAAACCCTGTGAACGGATTTTGGGCTGGTGACCAAAACCTAGCTTTGGTCCCGAACTCGGAGCCCTAAAGCCCCAGAGCCACAGGTGCCTGCAGGGTGTACTTGGAGGATCCTGGGATTTAGTAAGTAAGGTTATAAGTACCCTAATTGGGGTTATAAGTAATATATAACTACAGTTACCCTATTTATAACCCCAATTACTAAGTCCCATGATTCCAAGTAGAGTTTAGGGCCTAAGCCCTGCAAGCCAACGGCTGGGCCCTTGGTAAGGAACTCAACCCTAGGGCTGATACGGCGTATGGTTTACAGTAGAAGCCAGAAAGTTGGAATATCATTATCATACTCCCTTTAAGGTAGATTATAGGGGATCCTGCCATTATTCCATATTCCAACTTTCTGGAGTTCCTTTTATGGTTACCATCAAAACAAACAAGGCTTTACCGCAAAGTACAAGGGTTCCAAACTACACCCTGAAAGTCCAAGTACTCCCTATTATAGGACTTTGGGTCCAGTTTGGGTACCAAAAGCCATAAACAAGGCATACTTGGACCCTTAGGGCCAGGAGCTTAAGCGAAGTTCCCTTTTATAGGGTAACTATAACTATAACCTCTTATACCCCCAACTAGGGTACTTATAACCTTACTTACCAAGTCGCCTGATCCTCCAAGTAGGAGGAGCCCATTACGATGATCCCGGGCCTTCCTTCAGAGGCCCAAGCAAAAGCACCCAAAAAAACCCAAGTGCCCACGGTGTAGGGTTTAGGGTTATTTAGGGTTTAGGTGTTTAGGGTTTGGGTGCCCCAAAACAATCCGGAGCTCCAAACCCTAAAAACGTTCTGAGAAACTGAAGAGAACAAAACTGCATAAAGAAATACTGACAGTCACTGTTACAGAAACACTAACAGTTGCTGGCACTAAGATTCACCCTAAACCCTAAACCCTAAGAAAAAAAAGGGGAAATTCAGGCCTGCGCAGCTGCCGCGATGTCTTGGATGCTCTCGCCGGCGTTTGGGATGAAATCCTCCAGGAGTTTCCGGCTCAGGGTCTTAAGGGCTTTCGGTGTTGGGTCTACTTGGAGGATCATGGGGCTTAGCAATTAGGGTTATAAATAGGGTGACTATAGCTATAATTACTTACAACCCCAATTAGGGTTTTTATAACCCTACTTACTGTGTCCTCCCTCGGGCCTTGGAGCCCGCTGCCAGACTTTTGCCGATGCGCATGCCGCGCGTGGTGTCTGTAGAAGCATGGGTGACACATGTGAGCATTGGAGCGGTCCAGGGTTCTCACAGCATAGACTTGAAAGCGATGTCAAAGGAGCTGATGAGAAAAACTCTAGTCTCCACTTGCCGAGGTGGTGGGGATGGAGGATGGTTGAGCATGAACTTCTGAAGCAGCGGGATACGTCAGCTGATTGGCCCGTTGACACATCCTTCACTTCACAGGCTCCGTAATTCCATGTGTCCTCCCTCGGGCCTTGGAGCCCGCTGCCAGACTTTTGCCGATGCGCATGCCGCGCGTGGTGTCTGTAGAAGCATGGGTGACACATGTGAGCATTGGAGCGGTCCAGGGTTCTCACAGCATAGACTTGAAAGCGATGTCAAAGGAGCTGATGAGAAAAACTCTAGTCTCCACTTGCCCCCATATCCGACCTCGCAGTCTTCTGGCACTGGAGGAAAGCACTGGCACAGCCAAGAGATTTCCTGCATGGCGTACTATATGCCCTACCGCGGCGACGCGCTGGCCGCAAGCAAAGTCAGTGCGCGGCTGCCATGCCAACTTTGCTGCAAGGTCCGCTGACGGGCCTCACATAGAGAGGCCGCATAAACCCAGAGCCTTGGCTTTGAGGAGCTTCGGCGCTGCCAGAGCTCGAGACTTGATATTGCCAGGCAACTTCTCGAAGTATTGCGCCACCAGCGCGTGCTGCTCGTAACGGCGGACACTTGAGTCCGCCTGCCAGCGGCCTCGAAGTTTGACCTCCAGCGTGTCGCGGTAGTTGCGGTAACGGTCCCAGCTCGCCCCCGAATGTCGAAGCTGGTGAAGAACTGCTTTGTCTTTCAACGCCAGCTTTTGCTGTGCCGACATCCAGGCGTGCTGCACGTTCTGGTAGCTGCTGGGGATGAGAGGACCTTCTGACAAGCTTGTCAGACATCCTAGGACTGGGCCCAACCAAGGAATCTCCTGACTGTTGAGAAGGATCGTTTCGTTGGTTACTCCAACTTTTGACTCCTCCAGATTTTCTGCAGGGTGAAGGTTTACTGCCCAGTCCATCCCCAACGCGCGACTGCCGACCAGGTCCTTTCTGCGGATAGTAAAAATTTCCCCTGGCCTCGCGTAGGTCACGAACATAAGGAGGACCGCCATGGCCTCCACAAGGCACTCGGCTTCCAGCATGATGAGAGTGATCAATGCAATCAAAGGCCAGGGTACCGGGGGGCGCGTGGCCCCTGGATCGAGATTTTTCCAGCCTTGAAGGGACCTTCGACTGCGCGGCAGTTGGTGTTTTGACAGGTCTGGTCGCCAGTCCATCACAGCAGCTAAACACTTGTTTCCTTCCGCGATGGACCAGCCCTCGAGGAATGACTGATTCAGAAACTGGGTCAAGGCATAGTCGATGTCGGAAGGCTTTAGCAGCCTCAACTTCTGGACACGACAGTAGGATTGGAACAACCTCAGTTTGTGCAGATACTCTTCGCCCGTACGGGGCGCCACTGCCGCTGCCTCCAACAATGTCTGCGCTGACCCTCTGCTGACAATCACTTCCTTCTCGGCTAACGCTTTGCGCTTGCCAGCCCTCGTCAATTCGTCCTTGCCCTGAATGGACTGCCTCAGCTCCTTTTTGGACGGAGCTGCCTTCGTTCTCCGAGGAGGGACATCCTTCTTCAGTTGAGCCAAAAGCCCCGTCGATGAACTCCCTGATCTGGCCTTGGATCCTCTTGCTCTTGCTGTTGGGGTAGCAGAAGCCTTCTTGCACTTCTTTGCACTTCCGCTTGCTCGCGAACTGGGGCGCTTTTCCTTCCCACCTCCTGGACTCACCGTCCGCGGCATTCCACTCGGATGGGACCCATCGATGTGTGAAGGCACAATTGCCCGCCACACAATATGCTGCAGCTCTTCTACAGCATATCAATAAAGGAATGGATTTTGCCCGCCCTCTGTCAAAAGCAAGTGTCATGCCCAGATTGTCCCCCAAATGCAAATGTTTGAATCCGAAATTCCGTGAAGTGCGGAGCTTGTGACGAATGGCTTGCAAAGTACCCCGCCCCTCGAGTAGCGTAATGTGCTCATGATGTCGCATGCGAGTGGCAAACTGAGGAACCCAATCACCAGAGCAAGCAACTCTCTCAGGCACATGTTGAAACTCGGAGTTGATTTGAAACGGGTCCTCGTTTTCCTTGGTCACTGGCTTCACGGTGGAAACATCTGCAAAAGGATCAAGATTAAGAACAGCGTCCCGTGCACGGCTCAAGGGGTCCTTGGACTTAAACCTCCACATCTCACGGCACTGGCCAATCTCCTGAGCAGTGTTCGGATCTAACTGCAAAGCGGCCACAGCGGTGCCTGATAAGCATGCGTCAGAAACTGTGATATCACCACTCCATGGCAATCTCAAGTCACTCTTGCACACTAATAACATCGCCGCGGCCCACTTGCACTCTCTTGCAGCTGACGCCCATAATTTCACCGGCTTCTTGTAATGTGCTGTCTTGAAGTCGTAAACGGACCTAAAAATGGATAACAATTCGCGCCTCAGCATAAACATATGAATAGTGTGCCCAATGACCCGCTCAATAGCACGACCAGTGATTCTGGGACGAGTTGCCAGCCACAACAGCACTAGGCGGAGCTTATCCCGCTTTTTGGGGATCGGTCTGACCTCACCCCGCTCACCATCGAGGATGAAGCCCAGAGCCTGGACAACAGAACTTGCATCCTCTTCCTCGTGTACACGAAACCCAACTGACCGGAGCTGCTGCACGACTTTATTCTTAGCAGACTGCACCTTGCTGCTGTCAATACCACATACGTTGAGATTGTCGGCGTACGGAATGATCACAGGCTCGCCTGAGCCTAGTGGAGGCGGAGGCCGACCATCCACAAGCACCTGAGTTGGCGAAATATCTAGAGCCACACATGCCTGGTGCTGGTGAATACGTTGTGCGACCCACATAGCCCAACTCCAACCCATGGGAACCACACGCATGCTTGGATACACGTTCTCAACATTCTCCGAAAAGGACTGTCGGCTGAAACGTTTTGCATCATCCAAAGGAATAGGAGGCATACAAAAGTAGCCGCGCAAACCCTCCGGGAGACCAATAGAGTAGAAGTAATCCTTGACATCACTCTGGGCCGTGTACATCACACTTTCGCCAACCTCCAGCTGCCCGAAGGTGTAGCCAGCAGCCAGGGCAATATCTGGCGGTGGAGCGAAATGTTGATTCGACGCCCGGCAGTCCAAGACCAAGCGCAGCTTCCCGTTCTTTTTTGTTACAAAGAATGGTGTGATGATGGATTTCGCATGCTCTCTGAACTCAATCATCCCTCTGTCATACAAGTCGTTGATAAACGTCAAATATTTGTCAGGATGCTTCTGAAACACCTCGTCGAGATATGGTTTGACGTGCTTCTGCGACTCATATAAGTTCCCCAACGCCTCATCCGAAGCAATCATGGTCTCCTCGAACCGCTCCAAAACTTCTCGGCCTCGCTCGTCAATCAGTTCAGTGGCATCACGTGGTTGAGCGCCACATTCCGGTAACGAGACAAGACACGGATCAAAAGGGTGTACTGTGCTTCGTACCACTTCTTCCGACATGTACTCAGATGAAGGGCTAAGATGCAGAAGCTCATGAATAGCCTCACGCATACGAGGTCTATCGGCACATCTAGGAAGGCTTGCCATAGACTTCATCAAAACTGTCTGTGCTTCACGCTGCGCCTTGAACGCAGGCTTCGACGAAGGGGCTGAGAATCCTGCCATCTCATTAACAGCTTGGATCACCTCATTGACTTTTGAAACGTTGTCATCCCTCCGTATGCGGTTCCTCTTAGAACTGACAGACTCAAAATTTCTAAACCCACAAGATTGATTATCGCGGGAAGGCGCAGGCCTGAATAAAGGCAGCGGCAAGAGATCTCGCCATCGACCGTCTCCAGACATGACAAAGAACACTTCAAAAAGCAAAGCCCCCCTGCACGAAGAGGAGCTAAGAGCCACGAGGGAAAATTGTAGGAGGGCACCAGCACGTGGCACACTAGCACCCCCACACTGAAGATCACGCTCCTGTCGAGCCAGCTCCTCCCCCCTTGGGGTTTTGCCGGCTCTTTGCTCTGGCATTCATCTCTTCTTTGGCCTTTCTCGCCTCCTTGGCGATTGCAGCCTGATCCTTGAGCTCCTCCGCCACATACCTTGCCAGGGGCTGATGCATGCCATCTCCTCTTCGGTACGACCAACCCATGACGATGTCTGCTGCACTGTAGTCCGGGGCTCCAGGGGAGATGCGATGAGCCTCCCGAATCACCTGCCATCGTCTCATAAGGAGCTCCGTCCCGACAAGGTTCGGGACGTTCACCTGGTCAATCATGATAAAGGCCTCCATGACACGAGTGATCACTTCCATCTCGTACACGGACCGGTCACCCTTCGAGATGTCGCAGGTCCGAACCCAACGCTCGTGATCCGTCACCGGAGTGAGCCCTCTAGTAACCATACTCTTCAAGACCCCCAAACACGATAATGGACCATCAAGTTGAAGACCGCCGCCCGGCATCGAGTCCTGCGACATCCTCGCCACAGCGTCGGCGAACTCCATCCGACGGCTGCCTTGGGAGTCAAAGGTTGGATCCAGGATGCGGAGGTCTCTGCTTTCCATGGTTCCCACTTGTGTTTGGAGGATGCGCTTTAAGCAAATGGAGTTGCCGGCATCGTCGGGGATGATCGCTCGGTCTCCCAACTGAACTGCCCCAGGAGGAAGAGCTTGACCAGTCCCAAATACGACGGACCCCCTCTTAATGGCGCCTCGGCTTTCAAGGGCAACCCACACCGTTGGTGCTGCCGGTACGGCGGCGACAGGAGCTGCGGCGACAGGTGCTGCAGCAGCCCCAATCACTGGCAGCCCAAGCGCAGTCCTCAAGCCGTTGGCGTAAGTACGCCCTTGTTGCATCAGCCTTTGATATTCTATGGCCGTCATAGCCCTGAAGCCATACACCCGTGCAGGATTCACCCCAATGGGGGGTCGCGCCCCCAATCCGGGGCCACCATAGAAGTAACCGACCACATCGGGATTGAGGTTGGAAAGCTGCTCCTCATACACGTCGTAGTCCGGGGTTACGATGACATACACATCATTCTGAACATGCCCTGCCACCAAACGAGAGTGCACAACCTGAGGAACCTCCCCATAATCAAGGAAAACAAGATCCCCTTCGTTGATCATGTTAGAGTAAGGGCAGCTTGGCCTCCAAGAATACCCTTCCCTTTGCCCTTGCTCTCACGCCCAGCTGTTGTCGAGGTCTTCAGCCAGCAAAAGATCGAAAGGGCAACAATAACCAACCACTGAAAGATGATAATCCAATGATATACGGCACAGCTCCCTGCAGGCACTCCCTCACTGGAACACTCACACTGGCAGATGCACGGAATTGCAGGAGTCTTGGGAGACAGCACACTGTTCCACGAAGTTCCCACGGATGCACCCAGCAACACAAGAGATCCAGCGAATGGCCAGTCCATGCACTAAACTAGCAATCCCTGACTTTGAGCATGAACTTCTGAAGCAGCGGGATACGTCAGCTGATTGGCCCGTTGACACATCCTTCACTTCACAGGCTCCGTAATTCCATAAGTCCCCTGATCCTCCAAGTAAGGGTTGGGACGCTGTGCAGAGCGCATGAAGTTGCAGCTACAGTTGTTGGTGTCATGTGGTGGATTCTCTGGCTTGCTTAAGAGCCTTGTTTTAGCTTTTGCAGATCCCGTAAAGCTTTATCCTCGTGCCTTCACAAGCCCTTTAGGAAAAGTGTATCAATTCCACTAAAGAATGCATATATGATCCCGGTTCTCGGTTCACCGACCCCCCCCCCCCAATGGTATCCCCCCCACGCTCCCCAAGCCTTTCCACACGAGGGCTCACACGCCAAGCAGACCCACGCAGGAAACCCAAACCACACCACACCACAGGGGGGAGTGGGGTAGCCAGCCTAAGCAGACCCACTCCCTAAGCACACCACACCACAGGGAGGGGGAAGCAACCCACAACCACACCACACCACAGCGGGGGAGGAGGAACCATTGGGGGGCGAGGGGGGAGGGGGGAGGGGCCGGCCGAACCGGGATCATATATACTGTAGTTATGCTATCCCTCGGGGTCCTGGTTGATGTTGCAGGCACAGATGGCCTCACCGACGGGCTCGGAATCACAGTCAGCAAAGTCGCTGGTCGCCGTAGCACAGCTTCCTGAGGCACCTCTGTGAAGCATGTTGCTTACCTTACAGGCTGGGTATCCTAGCCCAAAAAAGGCAAACCTTCTCATTATATAAACCCCAAATGGTTAAAGGTTACCTACTGGGCTACTAAGTTACGCTCTTGCGGTGTGCTTTTGATCATGTTGGCAGTGCTGCTTTTCGGGGCATATAGGGCTCCTTCAGAATTGGAACTAACTTTTATTCATCTCGGACTTTACAGGGGCTTGAACCGGAGAGAGCGGTTCATGTCACATAGGAGCCAGGGTCTTGTGTTTGGAGTTTTGGGATTTGGGGTCTACCGGCTCATGGGCCTTACTTGAAGGATCATGGGACTTAGCAATTAGGGTTATGAATAGGGTGACTAAAGTTACAACTACTTCTAACCCCAGCTAGGCTACTTCTATCCTTACTGAGTCCCACGATCCTCCAAGCACTCAGGGTTCACTTTGGGTTTTCGGGTTTCCGGAGGCGCCTACTCCGACCCGCCCCAGGAAATTGTTGCAAGTGGTCCCAAGCAAGCTGCAGACGGCGTTGCAACTCCTGAGCTCGCGTTTAGGATTAACTGGTCACAAGCTTAGGGATCACCATAAGAAGGTTCTTTCGCACATGATATGCTTCCCTGATGCTTGTAACTAAAACCTAAGAGTTCCTCAACAAGATCTCAGGGTCTTGATGCCGCTGCTTGAGTCGAAGTAGAAGACACACACGTCATCGAAGCTCGAAAGGTTTGCAGTGGGCTGCTTCTGCACATACTCATCGAACGGTGATGTTCCGCTGCTGATCTGGCACTCCTCCGCGATGCTTCTTGGAACCACAACCCAGACCCCCGGGAGGATCCAGAAAGTAGATCCCCCAAATTGGGGGCCCTATACTACTAAGGGTACTTCATAGGAACCCCCATAAAGGGATCTACTTTTTGGATCCTCCCGGGGGTCTGGGAAGCCCTGAACCCTCCCGCCCGACACTATCAACACCTCAGGGGCCTCAAAAGATGGGATGAAGGTAGGTGGGGTAATTCCAAAATAAGAGTCCTTATATAAGGGATCCTTAATCCGACCTACCTTCATCCCACCTTTTGACGCTTCCGAACACCACAGCCTCAAACCGAAACCCACATGCGTGACGCCAAACCCCAAAACCCCCAACATCCGAGACATACCCAAAAGCCCGATTTAACTACTTACAGCCCCTATGCTACAACAGCACGTAAAATTTAAAAACTGGTAACTAAGCCCGAAAAACCTAAACCCCAAATTAAAAACCATACTCTCAAACCCTAAACCCTAACAAGAAAACAAGACTCCTACTGTTGATGGACAAAATCCTGCATCACCCATTATAAGGAATACCCCATAATTCCCATACTTTAGGGTCCTTGGGGTCATGCAGGATTTTGTCCATCAACAGTATGTTAAACCCTCCCTCGCTCCTCCAGGATGCTTAGGGTGCCAGGGATGTTTGCATTCACGCCTGGCCGCGCAAAGCCTGGTTTCCGGTCTCAGAATCTTGCGTCTTAGGGCTTGGAGTCTAGGGGTTTAGGGTCTTACGGATCTCATGTTGAGCTAGCATAATGGTGATATTCAGTAAAAAAGGTATGGCTTCGTGGTTATGGTAACCTAAACTAGAAGAAGGGTCTGTAAATCGTGCAAGCAATCCAGTTTCCGCATTATGACAACCGTCTCTAAGCCCAATGACCCCATCGGCTTGTCTTTACAGAACATGAAAACTGCTCTCTAAACCCGACAACCTTAAACCGTGAGCCCTAAACCCCTAAGCCCTACATCCTACTTGACCACCCCCCAATATGGTTTTTGGGACCTATAATTCCATAATAGTAGTGTATATGTGGACCCTCTTTGTTACGATAGCAAGAGCCCACAACCCTAAACCCTAAAGCCCTACATCCTACTTGGCAGTTTCCGAAAATAGGGAACCCTTATATAGTACCCTAAATAGTAGGATCCTTATTCTACGGACCCCAGAATAAGGTACCCCTAATTCTCGGAAACCCTAAACCCTAAACCCTTTATGGAACCCTTATAGATCCCTTAAAGGAACCCCCTTTAAAGGTATCCCTACTTAACAAGAGCCCAGGGACTGCACCGGTCGCTGAGAGCCACCGGCACCGAAGTGGTCGTGGTGACGCCGGGACACCCAGGGGAGCCGGTACCTTTAAGGGCCTTAGGGCTTAGAGTTTAGGGTTTGGGGTTTAGGGTTTAGGGTTAAGGATTTAGGATTTAGGGTTTAGGGCTTAGGGTTTAGAGTTTAGGGATTAGCGTTGGTTTGGTGTTTAGGGTTTAGGGTTTAGAGTTTAGAGTTTAAGGTTGGTTTAGGGTTTCGAGTTTAGGGTTAATTTAGGGTTTAGAGTTTAGGGTCCCTCTGAGGAGTCTTTTGAGGACGCCCTAAGGCAGTGATAGTTGTGGGTAAAAGTTCTTGTGAGGATCCCTTTTGAGGTTCCTTTAAGCCTGGCTGTGGTTTCTATAAAAGGTTTTAAGACTTTTGGGATTAAGGGTTGAGCATTTCTTTAAGGGTTCCTGTCGGGACTGATTCGAAGATTTAGGCTTCCCGGTTTTAGGGCTGAGAGTGCAGGCTTGAGTGTTGAGGGTTGGCGGTTTAGGGCTCCGGTTGTCAAAAATCATGAAAGCCTTGGTCCACATCCGGTAACATGTGTACCCTACACGTTGCACCCTAAATCCCAAACCCCCAACAACCTCAACTCCAACCACTTAACCTAAAGTCCCTCAACCCCAACACCCCCAACCCAAAACAGACAGAATCTTCGCGAGGCATCGGTGGGGCACCTCCGAAGGATTCGCAGTGGTTGCACATGTCTACGAACTCCTCGTCTGTGAAGAGGTAGTCGGCGGAATCCTTGTGTTTTTCGCTTATGTTAGGATTTAAGATTTACGGCTTATGGTTTAGGGTTTAGGGTTTGCTGCTCTGCATGGGACTATCCTTGAACTATATAGGTGTTAGTATTTGATATCAGGAAGAGAGAAATATTCCTGAATTGGTCGCAGCTGTCTCTCGGGTGGCAAAGTACAACCCACGCAGCAGTAGGCTCGGTGTGGATCTCACTTTAGGTTTGGGATTAATTGATAAGCTTACAGCTTTCAGGGTTTATGGCTTCGGAGATTGAAAAATAAGGTTTGATGTGGGAAGGTCGTGCAGGTACATACAGGACACTTCTACGTACCTTCACGTTTGCGAGATCTGCAAAACAAGTCGCTACAAAGCTCAAAAGCTTCCTGCTTCTTCGCCTGCAGTTTCATAAGAGAACTCAAAATCAAACAGGGACAAAGGGTACTACGCGAACCTGGAAAAAGCCCTGATCAAACCCTCGAAGGATCCTTGAGAAGCCCTCCACTGTCCACATAAAGCCATCCCAAAGGCCCTTGAACAAAAACATCGAACAATCCTCCCTGAGCAAGGCTCGCTGACAAAGGTGGAGACCAAGAACTCGGCTCCACAAATACCCTGTGGGGCGTCCACCTCCTCGTGCGCCCGGATCTGCGCGTTCCTTGGGGATCGAGGGCTGGAGGCTTTACTTGGAGGATTATGGGCCTTGGGGTCCTATAATGGCTCCATTTAGGGTCCCTTTAAAGGCTTCTATATGGGCTTCGGCTTTAGTTTCTACTTGTAGTAACTAAGCTTACAAGTACCCTAACCGGGGTCATAAGTAGTTATAGCCATAATTAGCTAGTTACCTTATGTATAACCCTGGTTGATAAGTCAGGATTTGGGGTTTGGGGTCTAGGGTTCCAGGTCCTGTCTTCTGCTGGATGTAAAATCCAGAGTTGCGCAGTTTTGGCTCAAAGGTGCGTCTGAGCGCATTGACTCGGCTTTGGCAAGGAGACAGGGACTGGCTCTTTCGCCCCAGCTGATTCAAAAACTTCACGTTGGCATTCAGCAGCATGATGGCTGGGCTTTGGGAGTGGCGGTTGGAGGCTTCTCAAGTCCCGCCGTTTGCTTCGACTCTGGCACCATCGTGCAGGTGTGCCCCTTCTGCGGCTCAGCCGTTGTTCCTTCGCTCCAGCATGTGAGCTGGGCATGCTCGCGCTTCAGCGACCTGAGGGTCCTTAGCGCGCCTGCTTCCCCTCTGGCTGCCAGGTTGGGGTGGGATGCGTCGGGCATACACCATTCGGTGTTGGCTCAGCTGGGCAACATTCGGAGGCGAGTGCTCGCGCTTACAAAGGACAAGTGGAAGATGGCCGCCAGCCGTCGACTTCAGAAGCCCCGTCAGGGGCAAGGCTGATCTCAGCCTCAGCTAAGGACCTGCACAGGTCCTCCTCCTCTTTGGCTTCGCCACGTGGTAGGGTGCAAGCCGTTGACTACTACTTGGCTCAAAGGTGCTATTTTCGAACTGGGCTCCTAGAAGGGCTTTAGAAAGCCCCTGTAAAAAGTTTCAAAACCTTTCATACGCCGAAGTGCTACCGAAGCCGCTTCTGACGAAAACCTATGAAACACCACCACAGCTTCCCTGACCAAACCCTGCCAAACCGATTTGTCTTTATGCAGAGGTTCAAGATGTACCCAGGCTTCCCACGAATGCGCACCCCGTTGATGCTTGCGAAGTTGCAGCTATCACCTCCGGATCCCGGTTTGGGGCTCTGCACACTGAACGCTAACAGGTTTTGAAGCAGGCACCTACCTGAGTAGTTAAATTTGGGCTTTGGGGTAAGGGCCGATGGCTTACAGACCATGAACGATCAGACGTGCTACCTTCACCTGTTACGTCTGCCAGGACAACACAAGAAGACCATCGACGAGGGGTTTTGGGTTTATGGTTTTCGCTTTTCAAGGACTTGGGCAGGTACGTATCAGGTGGGACAGAGTTTGACAAACCTCTTAGTCTTTTTTGAAGGGCACAGAAGGCTTTCGATGCCATCAAAAAACCTTACCAAGCCGACAGGTGAGCGGCAGGACGAATCTGGACAAAAAACGAAGGAAAGAACTGCAAAAAAACGCAAAGGAAACAAAGAAAGACAGCTAGGAACAACAAACCAGGACGATCCAGAATGCAAGAAAGACACGACGAACGAATGAAATAAAGAAAAGAAGAAAGAAGGAAATTAGGTTGTGCTCCAAACCCTTCTTGCAAAACACCTCCTGAGAAAAGCCGGAAGACATTTCAAGGCCCCCTGGTGTCGGACGCATACTGCACAGTCATGCCGCTGACCGCAAGCACTCCAATTCCAACATTTCCGAAAGTGCTGTGGCATGCCGCAAGCATTTTCAACTCATAACGTCACGTACGAGACCCGCCCGTGGATGCGATGCCCAAGTTGACAATCCGTGGTGTTGCCACACACTCTGAACTTGCATTGCCTTGGCCGCCTGGCAGAACTGTGGCACACGCCAGCACAAGTAGGAGAGATGGTGATGACTACGTTCCCGCAGCTGATGTCCCGTGGGCACAGGCGGTTCACGTTCTGATGTTGCATGTAACAGCGTCTCCCATGACAGGACCCCTTTGCTTTCGGGCGTAGTGCCCAGAACTTCAGCACGGGACTGAGTAAGTAGTCAAACAGCAGGGTTGTAAGTAGGGTGACCCCAAGTAGGACTGCGGTGCTATTTTAGAGGGTTCCGGGTTTACCGTACTTACAACTCTACCTGCGACCTATGCACGAAGTGCCCCGACACTGTCCAACTAACCTGAAAAAATCTAGAACCCTAGACACTCCCAGCCCTAAAACCCTAAACAAAACGCTCTGAAGGAACCCTTAAAGGAACTCCTTAAGGTTTATTTAAAGGGCTCCTTTAAAGGGTCCCTGCGAGGGTTCTTTCTAAGGGTGGTTCCTTTAAAAAACAAACCTACACCCTAAACCGACAAGTTTAGGGGTGGCAGGATCTAAGGCTGCAGGATTGGAGGGGGTCGAGGCCCAGGCATTCATTAGGACGCTTAGGTTGCAGGGTCCTGTCACGCCGAGTAGCCTTAGGACTTTTAGGGTTCAGAATTCAGGGCTTCGGGTTTAGTGTTAGGGTTTAAGGGTTTAGGGCTTAGGGCCCTGGGAAGCCTATGAAACACAAGACAGATTCAATAAAACGCCTGTGCATGGATAAAGCCCTGCTATTCTTTGTGAATTCTTGCACTTCGTGCGCGTGCAAAGTAGGGCTTGCACAAGCGTGCGTCAGATACTGGGGGGATCACGGTCCTCGTAACTTCGATCAAGGTACTTGTAGCCTTTCTTACTAAGTCCCACGATCCGCAATAGTACCCATATAGATCCCTTAAACGCACTTCAAGCCCTTGCTTACTAAGTGCCGTGGTCCCCGCCGGAAATCCCCAACCCGACGGAACCCGCATGAACTCTAGATTAATTAAGATTGCATGCAACTACCCTAACTAGGGCTATATGTAGCTACAACTACAGTGACCTCAACGATGGCCCTAGTTGCCATGTCCCACCTATTCCACCTGTGAGAAAAACCTGGAAAAGAGCGCTACACCTTAAAAAACCACCCGGTGCTCTGCTCTCGCATTCCCCCGTAAGCCATAAAACCCTGAACCTTCAGCTTAAACCGTAAACCCCAAACCCAATATCCTCAAGCCGCCACACTGTTCGGCTCAATCCACCAATATTTAGGTCCAGGTACTTGATCAGTATAGTTCTGTAGAGTAGGGCCTGGGTAGGGTTCAAAGAGAGTCCGAAACCCTAAGCAGTGTTTCTGGGGTTTCTTGTAGCAGTCTTCCAGGGTCTTGACAGGGTTAAGCTTTGGGATTTGTCCATTGACCCAAAACCCAAAACCCTAAACGGTAAACCCTAAATCGCGCGTGCTCCTTCGCTGAGCGGTTTCGGCGTATCTGGGGTCAGGATTTCTTTTGAAACTGCCTCCAACCCGAAAACTTTGAGCTGGGGCGAAACTGTCGGGTTCCTTCAAGGGCTCCTTTGGGGGTTCCGTCAAGGTCCTTTAAGGGTTCCTGTCAGGGTTTTAATATGGTTTGATAGGTTTGATGGGGTTTCAGTATTTAAGCCTGGAAAATTGGAATACTGTCTCAAGGTCTCTTTTAGTCAAGGTGCATTCGGACCGTAAGGGTATACTCTTCTAAAGACTCAAACCCAGCGACTCCAACACAGACCTAAACCCTAAACCCTAAAACTTGAACCTAAAGCTTCTAGGCTCTATAACAGCCACTGCATAACATCGTCGAACAAGTGCTCTGAAACCAGTCAAAACCAACAGAATCTCAAATCAGATACTAAACGAGAAAGATCGGCCCCCTCCAACCAGACCCTGAACGCAAGAATTGATAAGACTTCTTGAACGGGCCCCACAATGCAATCTTGAAAAGTTCCCACCTGTCTGGATGTCCACGCCGCTGCTGAGCTGGGCGTTGGTGAGGGGTCCGCTCACTGTCACGCGACCCTCGCCGCCTGGTGGGGTCTTGAAAATCATTCTAAGGCACCTTACTTGGAGGGAGGATCATGGGACTTAGTAGCGAGGATCTCGAATAGGGTACCTTGAGGGGCTCTATAAGGAGTATAGAAGGCATTTAGATGTAGGTTGGTTTTAGGGGCTGCAAAGGGATTGTACGGCAACTTAAGGGCTAAGGCTACTGTTAAGACACCCCGAGTTTCTGGTGCAGGTGTTAGCTCTCTGTAGCTGCGTAGATCGTGCAAGCCCTGAAGCCGCACCCTGCTCCTTAAACTTTGGATCAATGGTTCAGGGTTCAGGGTAGGGTTTTAGCGCTTGGGGTCTCGGGCCTAACAGGAATCACTACAGTAGCAGCCATAAAAGTACTCCTGAGAATCCGGCATGAAGATTCCATGCGCTTACAATAATATGGTATATGAGGGTTTAGGGTTATATACATACACTACGCCCGAAACCCTTAGTTGGGATTACCCTCTTCATGATCTTGCTTACAATCTGGTCTTCAGGTCTTCTAGCACAGCCATTAACCCCTCCTAAAACCCAAACCCTACACCCTTAACCCGAAAACCCCCCAACCCCAAAACACTGAAGGAAACACAAGACTCCACTGTTGTGAGATCAACCCTCTTACCATTGGTGAAATCGACCCTTTTACCGCTGGCCTGGCGTCACGGAGACGAAAGAGTCGTTCATGAAAACACGAGTGTTGTTGTCCTTATAGCTCATGGGGGTCTTCTAACGATCAAAAAACACAATTCCAAAAAGTGGACCTAGCTTAAGAAAAAAGATATTTACCAAAAACTTCCCAAACCCACGTAAATGTAAAGTTGACAAACTCAACGACAGAGTGTCGAGCAGGAACGCCACGCCAAGTGTCACAGCATTCGAGGTCCTTCGGTACTGGCAATGGAATGCCTGCCTGAGGTGGGGATTTAGGGCGCAGGGTTTGTTCCGGTTTTGGGCTTTGGGATTGCGGGGCTTATGGTTGAGTGCTTTATGGTTTTGGGGGGGTAGTAGTTTCGGGTAGAGGGTACAGCTTGAGGATCAACGTTTCGGGGTTGTGTTTTGAAGCCTCAGGGGCAGGGGGGATTGCTTCTATACTTAGAGGAACATGGGACTTGGTACGTCGGCTTAGACGTGCCCTAATTGGGGTTATAAGTAACTATAACCTATAGTTGCGTATTTTTACCCTAGCTGCTAAGTCTCGTGATCCCTCATAGAACCTTGTAATTTAAGGAAACCTATACTAGGAACCCTCGCTACTAAGTCCCATGATTCTCCAAGTGCCGACGGAGAATAAGGCTGTCCTTGCCAGTCTCTGACTCGTGGGTTGTGCGCCATATGCTCGGTCGCCGATGCTTCCCGCTGCCCTCCGTTGCATGCCGAAGCAATCACGGGACGATAGACCACAGGCGACGCCATGCGGTACGCAGCATTCGCTCAGAGACGCTGCTCCCCGCCACGTCAAGCCTGTGTGAAAGCTGGCTGATAAGCTTTACGCGTTTATCAAGTAAGGTCTGATGACAACACAGGCAGCCTCGCCTAAGCGGAATTCTTCTTCGCGCTGCTCGACGGCTGCAAGTCGACGTTCAGAAACCACTCCGGAACTCCGGAATGCATGGAGTAGAATTCCTGCTGCAAGTTCTTGCATGCACAGTCCAGGCAGCATGCGTCTGCTGGCTTTCATGGCAGCACACTGCCAGAGTGCTCAACGCTGCTGCTTGGCCTTGTTGCTACATCAGACGGACTCTTGACCGACGCCTTCTTGACCTTTCCTTGGATCCCGACCGCTGCTTGAATTGCCTCCGTGCTCCATCCTGCGTTGGCCCAGCGGTATTCGTCGAGCACCACCTGAGCACTCTAAACTCCTTATGATGCGACTCGTGCCCGGTCGCTTGGCGCGAGGCGGTTCCCAAAAAGCCATGCTGCGTTGGTCGTGAAGGCTTAAATTATGGAAGCAGGTCTTTTGACCGATCTTCCAGACTGAAAATGCAAAGACAAAAGAAATGCCAAGCCAGGTAGAACGGACAGCAGAGGCAGCACTCAATGAGGTCGGCAGCGTGGTGGCGCTGAAAGCGCTTGGAGTCTGTCGTCGTCGGAATCTCCTGCAGATGATGGAGATCTGCACTCCTCCTCGTCCATAGCTGCTTGACACTTTTTGATACGTTGGTAACCAGAGAATCTGCGAATGCCGCTATTCAAGACAAGAACAGGTGAGCGCCGCCGTTCTGACGGCATCGCCGTCGGCAACTGGTACGAAGAGACACTTGACGCTGGCAATATGGTCCACCCTCGAGGTGAAGGCCACGGTGCATGATTTGGTATGATGTACAACAAGAGACTGTACCAGAAGAGCTGTGCGACGTGTGTCGAAGCACCTGTGCACAGAGCGGCCTTGCAGCAGTGTGCTTCCCCGGACATCGTCCGGATGCAGACGGGTCACAGCCTGGCGGTTTCGAAGCCAGCGTTCCTATAAAACCAACAGCACACCAGCGTCCATTCGGCCAGTCTTTCGCAACACCACCCTCAAGAGCCTCTCGAAACTCCAACCCAGGGTTTTAGGGTTTTAGGGGTTAGGGTCTTAGGGTCTGGGTTTCTGGTTTCAGGGTTTAAGCTTTAGGGTGTTGGGTTTAGGGCTTTAGCGTTTTAGGCTTCAGGTTTAGGGCTTTAGGGTTTAAGGTTTAAGGCCCTCAGATCGTTTGGGAATTTTTAGGGTACAGCACCCACCCCACATCCTTACCAGGCGCCACACCACACGGTTTAGAGGTCCTAATCCGGCGTCTACTTAGAAGATCATGGGACTTAGTAAGTAAGGTTATAAGTACCCTAATTGGGGTTATAAGTAATTACAACTATAGTTACATTACTTATAACCCTAGTTACTAAGTCCCATGATCCTCCAAGTACCATCCGCGAGGAAGCGGCTCGAAACCCCTTCCACAGGATTTAAGGGTTTAGGATTCAGGGTGGTTATGATGATAGCACAACTTCATGACCCCTGAACCCTAAAAACTAGAAGCCGCAACATCCTAAAACTTTAAAACTCTGTAAACCCTTCAGGATACCTAAACTCCAATTAAACTCCAACCACCAACCCCCACACGAAACAAAAAACAATTGCCAGGCTGACATCGCAGATCTGAAACCCCAACTGACATGGAGATTTTAGGGGCTTAGGGGTTTAATGCTTAAGGGGTTCAGAGCTTAAGGCATTCACGGCGTTTTACGGTTTACGGACTCTAGGGTTTAATGATAGCTGAATGCTTTAGGTTTTACGCCAGTAAGGTATAAGTGGAGTTCTACCTACCCATCTCAATGACTACCCTAAATTCGCTGATTTTCGACGGAGCTTGGCCAGATACACTGATTGCCCTACAAAATAAATTCCAGACTCTAATCTTGACCAAACCCTAAACTCTACACCCTAAACCCCGACAGTTCTGACTCGCCCCTGGATCCTGGAGCCGAAAAGACCTCCCTTTTTAGGGTCCGTTATTATGGTTTCTACATATAGTTCCTTAGGGGGTGAGCCTTTTGGGCCACAGGTGACTCAGGCACCCCTGAAGCCCTAAGATTTAAACCCTGAATCCTAACACCTAAAGAAACTCACCCGTAAACCCAAAAACCCTAACGAAGCTGACAAGGCGCATCCGGAAGCTCTGGCAGCTCTGGCTGTTGTTCACCACCTACACTTGGAGGATCATGGGATTTAGTAGCTTTGGGTTTAAGGTCTCTTTCAAAGGATCTGAAGGCTCCGTGTAAAGGGTCCTATATGGTTTATAGTTTAAGGGCTACTTGGAGGATCAGGGGACTTAGTAACTTTAAGGGATCTATAGGGGTACTTTAAGCGTTTAGGGTTTAGGGTTTAGAGTACTTGGAGGATCATGGGACTTAGTATCGTGGGTGGGTTCTAAACGGGGTGACTATATCTAGTTGTAAATACTTATGGCCCAAGTTAGGGTACTTATAACCCTACTTATTCGTAAACTTCTAGTAATCTAGTATAGGGATGATGGAGAAGACCGGCGAGGTTAGGAAGCTTGGGGCTCAGGGCGTAGTATCCCTTTGACATTCCTTTCAAGCATATGGTTCTTATGGTAAAAAGTTTAAGACTGAGATGGGCTTTGGGCTTAAGGTTCAGGGTGTAATATGCCGTGTTCAACCCTCACATGGAACCAACCCTCTTAAGCAAAAAGTACTGAAATCGTTCTTAGTATGCCCAACACTCCAAGTTTTCGAACCCTTCAGAACAGCTTAAACCCCAAACCCGTGCAGAACCGGTTGAAAACCAAAACCCTCGTTCACCACCTGGGTAGTTCTCCAAGTTAGCGCACCATTGACGTAAAAACAAATCTTCTTTAATAAGGGTGCCGTGCTATTTTGGGGACATACAAAGGGACCCTAAGTCATGGAACTGCCCACCTCGTGGACACCGAGGCCCTGATAGTCGAATCGGCCATGCGGACCCCAGCTCGCAGTGTAGTGCGGATCGCCCCAGTAGTTACACCTTTGAAACTTTAGGGCTTGGGGGTTGAAGGTTTAAGGTGTAATGGTTTAAGGTTTATGGTCTAATCATCTGAAGGCTTTGAAACTAGGGTCTGAAACTAGGTCACGTGCTGATAAAACACCTGGTGTTTTCAGGCTTCCATGCGAGATCGTAGAGGCCAAGTCTACAGTAAATTACGGTATGCCTGATCTTAGGTTGCATTGCCCGTCTACATGGGCACACACGTCAAATCTCGTTTTGCTACCTCAACTTGCCCAGCTCCTTCTTCAAGTCTACGTCGACAGGGAGATGATACTTCCAAACGAAGGCATGCATGCACCGGGTCAAGTTCTCATTCCATGCACGTATAGAGCTTGGACTTCCCCATGTCGCTGGACCCCTACTTCAACAGCAGTACAGGGATGAGCACATGCTGCAGCATGTACATATGTATGTATATATGTATGTATATATGTTTATATATATATACATATACATATACATATACATACCTATACATACATAAATAAGTATATGCATAAATATGTACTACAAGTATACATATACAAGGTACGTAATTAGACGGATAGTAAAGGCATGAAGACTATCACCAGGTTTTCATGAACACTCCTCCTGAAACTAGGGGGGGTTTCTGGCCTTTATAGGGTTTCAGAACCATTTTAACCCGGTTCCGTAGGGTTGTTATTCAAACGTGTCTGCCAGGCTTGTAGAAAAAATGGGCTTCAACCAACTGCAACAAGGTCTTGGTGCACGCAGTAGTCTGTTTACACGGGGGCTGGCGCTGTGCAAGGAATAATTTCATGGCGCATGTTACCATAACTTATGGGGTTTCACAGCCTGTTTTGGCAGGTCTTGTTGTTATTTCACAAAAGTGTTGTTTGCAAGGTCTTATTCGGGCAAGAAATCACCTTAATATGCAGAACCAGGGATAATACATACTTTATTCATGAGGGACCTTGAGGGAGATTGTATTGAATTAGCAGCAAGCAATGATCATTGACCGTTTGCACCGAACCAGAACCACAAGACTTAGATCCACAGGGTTTGTTCGACATAACCGACAAATACAAACAAATAAAAACAATCATGGACAAATAAAGACAAGCTAAAACTTTTGCAGACAATTAAAGACCAATGAAAAGAAATGAAGATAATTAATGACAAATGAAAACAATTAAAAACTTGTAAAGGCAATTAAATACTTTTAAAGACAAACAAACAAGTGCAAGTTGAATCACTATAATTATGATTCAACTAGCACGTATTCCGACCTCCACCGTCGCTACCGTATGATTAGAGCTTTTTCGGAAGTTACGTAACCTCGTATACACGGTCTTATAAGCTTTTTGTACAAGCGCCTTTTGCAAGGGTTATTACGGGGTCTACCGTGCTTTATGGGGTGTTATGAGGCCCGAATAAGGCCTTCAAAATTAATGTATCTTTGACCGCACAAGAGGTTTAATTTTTACCAAATAGTTAAGTTTACCACCAAAACCGAACCAAGACGCTGACACAAAACTGTAAATCCTCAAGCCCGACAAAGCCCTCATCCAACCCTCGTGAAAGAACTTCTGCAACCGCTAAAACATCCTGAGCCCTATAAACCTGAAGCCTCAAGCCCTAACTTCTTGAGCCCAAAAACAAACGCCAAACCCGAAACTCCCAAACCCTGTGCAAAATCCGAAAACAATACAACCCTGCACAACCACCGTAACCCCGTCGCACGAAACCCTATGAGCCCAAACGGTCGAAAAGTTTGCAAAAGGAGGCCCAGGCACCGTCGGAATTGAGGACCATTCCTCCAACAAAAGCAAACCCCAGTGAGCGGGTTCAGGGTGTAAGCAGACGTAAATCATCAGGGGCATATAAAGAGGTTACTAGTCTCCTACAAAGGCTAGCATTGTAACCTGATTAAGAAACTTTGCTTTTTATTAGGGTGCTACTGATAGTATGGTGGGGTTCTACGGCCAGGGTTTCTTAATCAGGTTCCTGCAAATGCTAACCGTAACCCTAAACCCGACTTACAACCTCCTTGCAGAGGTTTGCACCTCTAGAGCCGGGGAGATGTGGTGCAGCTTGGAGTTCGCGGTTGGAGGGTTTAGGGCTAAGGTAGGGTTGGGTTTAGAGTCTAGAGTGTGTATACAGTATACAGTGTGCGCGCCGTGAGTGCGCCTTTTGCTGTAGGAATATTGGCACACCCGCTTGTCGCACGCTTGCGTCAGCATGTAGTCCCACCCTAACCACCCCAACTAGGCTTGGTGAATAGGTGCAAAAGACAGCCAAAGAGCACCAACCGAAGAACGGAGAGCGATCTTCTTGCCAAAGATGTACTGGTCTTCACTCAACCCCGACGTATAGTAGCTCGACAAACCTTGTTCTTGCGTCGAAAACAAGCGTGGTCTCCCTTGGCCTCGATACGCAAGTTCTTGACTATGGTCCGCCTAAGGCGCGCGCCACGCTCTTTGCGCCTTCGCGCACCTCACGCCTTCGCGCGCTTTGCACCTTAGCACTTACACGCACTCTCGACGACTCGACGACCTTTTCTCTAACACCGCCTTTGGAAAGCATGCAGCTGTCGATGTCGAACCCTTTCGTGGGGGCGCTGCTGCCCCCTTCAAAGTGGGATCGACTTTGGTGTATCTTCTCAATCTTGATGCGAACTCTCTGGTTGCAATCTTGGGTTCACCGCGAAAAAGGATGTTCTGCATGACTTCACGATCCTTCACCCAAGATAAACGAGTGCCAGCTTGTCTGCACACTGGCTCCATCAATGCCAAATCCTCGGTTCATACCGATGGCTGCCGTCGCCGGGGTTGGAAATTTTCCTCCGCGATCTTCCAGGCTGCCCGCATTTCCTGTGAAACCAAAGCCAAGCAATGCAGAAGTCATGGTACAACATGTGTGTCCATTAGAAAGAAAACCTTGCAGCGGAAACACAAATCAAAGCTTTGCCATGCAGCTATGGACCCTGTAGGCATGGCTGCAATTGCAGCGGCAACAAATGATTAGGCGGAGCTGGAGCTGCAGGCAAAGTAAGGGGGCTACGAACACGGTAGCCAAGCATGATTAGCTACATCAACTAAGCAAGCCAAGCAACCAGGTCGGCAGGGCGCAAGTGGGTGTTGATGCTGACTTTGAAAATGGAAAGCGGAGCACTTTTTTGCGTTAGCCTGAGCTTTCACGATCCGAAAGCCCGCGTGCATTGAGCGGTGAAGCACGAATTAGAGCTACACCACAAGAAAAATATGGACCAATGCCAAGGCGAGTTACCAGGCCGGAAATGCAAACTGCGAACATGTGCCTAGTTGAGTACGAGCGCACTCAGTGACCGGGGACAGTGATCTCCAAGACGATAATCCCGAGATCGGGACAGAGCATGAGGATCGGAAGCATGTTCGTCGTCACCGTCGCTTGCTTGGCATTCGGAGCAGCTTCTGCTGCAGTGCCAGTTGACATCTACTGCGGGCATCCATTGCCCCGGATCAGAGCTGGCACGGCCCGAAAGAGGTGTCGTCGGGCCAGGAGACATCTGACAGTCCACATCGTCTGGGGCGGGAAGCTTCGGAGTGGGAAAAGGGCAGCAAAGGAAGTGTTTGCCAACAGGCAAGCTCTCTACAGTAGAAGCCCAAAAGTTGGAAACCCAATGGCCGCTATCCTTAAGAGCAATATATAAGGAATCTCAGCACTATTTGACCTTAATCCGGTTTCCAACTTTATGGGGCTTACTGTAAGAAGACTGTCTGTATCGGCAGCACGTTGCTCCATGGCGTAATGACGCAGAACAAGTGACTGAAGCCGCACCGAAAAAGCCCTAGTACGTCCTAGTAAACGCAAACTCTCAGATTTCTTCTTCCGTCGGAGCCGCAGAAGCGGTAGGTGATTTCCGGCACAAGACCGCGGGAAGCCAAACGGCTCAACCTGTCCTTCACATGAAAGGCTGTCTGCAAGAACATGGTAATGAGAGACGAGCTGCAAAGCTTCAATTCTGCTTCAGCGACGCCCTCCGTCACTGTACTCCGTCACTGCTGCACCTTGCTACTTCAAGAGATAATGGCTCGTCAAAACGTCAACCAAGTTCCGATAGTCTGACTGGCAGGGTCCAACGAGCAGGGTTTCCAATCAAAGCCGGAGGCTCGAAAAGAAGTGTTAGGCAGGGGCACCGGCAGCTTCGGAAGCAGAACTGGAGGATGAGTAGGATGAGCCAGACTCTCCATCAGGACCAGTTGACCCGGACCCAGAGCGGGGACGGCGAGTGCCAGGCCAGTGCTGTCTGGTAGGTAGGTAGGGTTCGACCTGCAGCAGTAGCCGCGGCCTCCACCACTCTTCCCCGCCCAGCATCTCGGGGGGCCTCCGCAAGCGTCATCGGCCCCCTCCGCGGGAGGTTCCAGAGGGGGCTTGAACTAGAGTCTGGACTATAAGTGGAAACGAAGGCCGAGACCGGCACGGACTGGTCCCGAAAGAAATGGGGAGCCTGAAACCCGCCGGAAGTGGCCCAAGTCTGGGTTATCAGCCCGGAAAGGGGGTTTGGGCCAGAAGAGGGGGGGGGCGACGCAAAGTGGGTAACTGGAGAAGGGGAAGGACGATGCACTCGCGGACGCGTAGAGGCGGGGGGCCCAGCTGAGCCGGACTCGAAACCGAGGCCTGGCATGTAATGGTAAGAATCGGGGTAGCGGCTACGGCTTCACGAGAAACGTACATTCTCGGAGCGAGACTATACGGCCTTGGCGAGAAGCGGTGTCTGGAACGACGTGAGGAGCGATGCGTACTGCGACAGAAAGAAGCGGAGCTACTGCCGTGCGCGGGTCGTTTACCCAGGTCCCCGATCTGGGAGCTAGAAGCGGGTCTGGAACGACTTGGGGAGCGCTGTGTGGTGGACGCGATGGAAGAAGCGGAGCTACGGCCGGGATTTAACAAACCGGGGAGAGAAGGGGGGACTGGGACGACACGAGGGGCGCTGCTTGGTGGACGAAATGGAAAGAGGCGGAACTACGGCCTTACACGGGTCGTTTACCAAGACCCGCCACCTCGGGGTGGGAAGGGGGGTCTGGAACGACAGGTGGCCGAAATGGAATGAAGTGGAGCTACGGCCTGACGCAGGTCGTTTAAGACCCGCCACCTCGGGGTGGGAAGGGGGGTCTGGGACGACATGAGGGGCGCTGCTTGGTGGACGAAATGGAAAGAGGCGGAATTACGGCCTTACACGGGTCGTTTACCAAGACCCGCCACCTCGGGGTGGGAAGGGGGGTCTGGAACGACAGGTGGCCGAAATGGAATGAAGTGGAGCTACGGCCTGACGCAGGTCGTTTACCAAGACTAAGACCCGCCACCTCGGGGTGGGAAGGGGGGTCTGGGACGACATGAGGAGCTGCGTGGTGGACTAAATGCGAAGAAGCGGAACTACAGCCTTATGCGGGTCGTTTACCAAGACCCGCCGCCTCGGGGTGGGAAGGGGGGTATGGAGCGACATGAGGACCTGCGTGGTGGCCGAAATTGAAAGAAGCGGAACTACGGCCATACGCGGGTCGTTTACCAAGACCCGCCACCTCGGGGTGGGAAGGGGCGTCTGGAACGACATGATGAGCTGCGCGGTGGACGAAATGGAAAGAAGCGGAGCTACGGCCTGACGAGGGTCGTTTTCCAAGACCTGCCACTTCGGGGTGGGAAGGGGGGTCTGGAACGACATGAGGACCTGCGTGGTGGACGAAATGAAAGAAGCGGAACTACGGCCATACGCAGGTCGTTTACCAAGACCCGCCACCTCGTGGGTGGGAAGGGGGTCTGGAACGACATGAGGAGCTGCGTGGTGGACGAAATGAAAAAAGAAGCGGGGCTATGGCCTTACGCGGGTCGTTTACCAAGACCCGCCACGAACGACACGAGGAGCTGCGTGGTGGACAATTTGTGGCAACAAGCCGAACTACGGCCTTACGCGGGTCGTTTACCAAGACCCGCCACCTCGGGGTGGGAAGGGGGGTCTGGAACGACATGAGGAGCAGCGTGGTGGACGAAATGGAAAGAAGCGGAGCTACGGCCTAACGCGGGTCGTTCACCAAGACCCGCCACCTCGGGGTGGGAAGGGAGGTCTGGAACGACATGAGGAGCTGCGTGGTGGAGGAAACGGAAAGAAGCGGAGCTACGGCCTTATACGCGGGCCGTTTACCAAGACCCGCCACCTCGGGGTGAGAAGAGGGGTCTGGAACGACATGAAGAGCTGCGTGGTGGAGGAAACGGAAACAAGCGGAGCTACGGCCATACGCGGGTCGTTTACCAAGACCCGCCACCTCGTGGGGTGGGAAGGTGGGTCTGGAACGACGTAGGAGCTGCGTGGTGGACGAAATGGAAAGAAGCGGAGCTACGGCCATACGCGGGTCGTTTACCAAGACCCGCCACCTCGGGGTGGGAAGGGGCGTCTGGAACGACATGAGGAGCTGCGTGGTGGACGAAATGGAATGAAGCGGAACTACGGCCATACGCAGGTCGTTTACCCAGACCCGCCACCTCGGGGTGGGAAGGGCGTCTGGAACGACATGAGGAGCTGCGTGGTGGACGAAATGGAATGAAGCGGAACGACGTCCATACGCAGGTCGTTTAACCTACAGAAGTCGGTTACCCAGAACCCTGTGTGTGACTGGAGGGGGTGACTTGGTAAGCACGCGTCGAGGAGGTGCCGAACCTAAGGGGCCTGTTACTAAAGAATCGGATGCCCAGACTCCCAGGAACCGCGAGAGGGGCCGACTGGGATGACACAGGATTCTACTCGAGGGAGTGGATGCGAAGGTGAGATAACGCAAACACTCCTCGAGGAAGTGGAGGCGAACCTAAGTAACCTGCAGAGGTCGGTTGACCAGACCCCCGTGAGTCGGCGCGAGGGGGAGTGGGCTGTGCATGAGCATGTCAGGGAGCAGCGGTGATGAGGTCTTATACGGCCAAGGTGAGCGGTGAAGTTGTCCAGTGTAGGGTCCATGCTTGTGAGCAATGAGCCACACGTCCAACCCGTGGAGCGCGGAGAAGTGCCTGCGAAGCTCAGGTCGCAGCTGAAGTTGCGCAGTGAGGGAGGAAGGCCATCCGGTAGGCAATCGAGGCGGTCAACGAAGGCCCTTGCGACCAGCAGGTGATCATGTCCGCCAGCTCGGTGGTGATGCGAGGGAAGAGAGGCATACCGGATTGCGACAAAGGAGCGAAACGCAGAATGAATACACGCAAGTAGGTAGACACTACATGTGAGCGAATGGCGGAAACTAGGGAGGCGGCTGAACGGATGGATGAGCGCGGACTGGCAAGAAGATGGGCGAGGAGGCCTGGAATTTAAGGAGCCAATGGAGGGGGCACTGTCACCCCGCCACAGCTGACGATACAAGGTGTGGGTGCTCGTCGGGCCTGGAAGGCAGCCCTTAGTGCCGCCCCAGGGGTCCACACACCTTAAGAGGAGGGGAATCGTCAGAAGGCTGCGACGGGCCCCGGGGCAGTGCTGTCTCCACTAGCATGGCTAGCGTCATGGTCGCCGAAGGCCATAGCTGCTGCATACGCGCAGCCCAGCTTCAGCATCTGGCAATTACGCTCATCGACCAAGAGTTCCATTGATTCATCTTCCGAGTCATGGGCTTGAAGCGGACAAGCCAGCTACTACTAGGGCTACTACGACGACTACTACGACTACTACGACTACGACGACGACGACTACTACTACTACTACTACTACGACTACGACTACGACTACTACTACTACTACTACTGCTACTACTACTACTACTACTACTACTACTATTACTACTACTACTACTACTACTACTACTACTACTACTACTACTACTACTACTACTACTACTACTACTACTACTACTACTGCGACTACCACTACCACTACCACTACCACTACGACTTCGACTACGACTACGACTACGACTACGACTACGACTACGACTACTACTACTACTACTACTACTACTACTACTACTACTACTACTACTTCTACTACTACTACTACTACTACTACTACTACTACTACTACTACTACTACTACTACTACTACTTCTACTCCTGGTCATACTCCGACTGCTACTCCTCGTACTCCTATACTCCTACTATCCGTTACTATCCTACTTCTGTTGATACTCCTTCGCAGCGTAGTTCGAGCCTGGTTTTGCGCCTTGCCGTCTTCTTGTTGCTTCGGACCTGCTTGTCGCGCCTTGCTTCGCGTCTTGCTTCGCGCTTGCTTCACGGCGCTGCTGCATGCCACCTGTGTCGCGTTGCTTCGCGCGTTCGCGCTTCGCGTCTCAGCGCTTTCGCGTCTCCTCGCCTTCGCGCTTCGAGTGCTTGGCACCTGCGTGTTGCGGGCCCCTGGGCGAACCATTGTGCAGTTCTTCCCTTCGCAGTTCTACATGACATTTCCACACTTCCAACAAACCACAACTTAGATGGATTGGTGTCGGGTTGTGGGTTCTGGGGCCTTGCCGGCGGCTCAACTCGTGCAGGCGCAAGCAAAGCAAGACAGGTTCCCGAAATTAAAGCGCCTGGCAAAAGCCTTTTGGGAACATGGCGGGTCGCTTTTTGGACCGGTCCAGCAGGGCCCGGGTCCTGTAAAGGTCCCCTGGGAGGCCAAGGCCTGTGAGAGGTTTGAGGCCCAAAATTCGTATGTTGTGTTGCGGCGTTCCGTGGAATCTGCCAGCCCGGGGTCCCAGACCCCCTCCCCCCCCCCCCCCGCACATTCCCAAGACCAGTTTCAGTGCTTGCCGTCACGCACAAGGTCATGAGCGGGGCGTCGTCACTACAGTTACAGCCTCGAGAAATTAAAATGGGCGGTGCTGCCGGCAGTTTTAAGGTTTAGGGTTTAGGGTTTGGAGCTGGCTTAAGGGTTTAGGGGTTTAGGGGTGGAGGGCGGTAGACTAAGTTGAAACGGTCGCTGCTGCCACCAAGGCACACAGGGATGTTCTGACAGTTGCAGTCAAAAGGATATACCAGGGTGCTTTCTCCCACCTGCTTTCAGATCAGGGGTGTCTTATACCGTTGGGGTTTAGGACATAGGGTTTAGGGAACAGGGGTGTCTATCTTAAGGATCTATGCAATGTAAGGGCCTGAACTCAAAAAATGTTCTAAGATACATTCTACCACAATTACAGGCATACGACTAATTTCTCGTTATTCCCACGCCTATGTTTCTGAAACTCCGTCCTCTGCGAAAGAGTGAAGTATATACCCGTCGAGCGATGTCACGTTGCCTCCGATCAAGATTGGCTCGGGACTCCGGTATCGCAGCACCTTAGCTCCCCATTACATAACCATACCAGGTGACCCAAAAAGGTAGTACAGTTACTACAGCCTAGCAATTAGGGTCCTAACCACAACTTTGAAAAAAGTAAGGATGCGCTGTTCCTGGCGTTCAGTCTTATTGATAGCCGCACCCTAAACCGTAAAGCGCTTTACTCTTGGGCGAGCGACTTAGTTGCTGAGTTCATAAGTCCCAGAAAGTGTACACTTTTGGGTTTCTAGTGGGTCATATTATCCCCAAAAAATGTACACGTTGAGCTTTATAGTGGGTCATATAATCCCAAAAAGGTGTAAAGTGTATCCACTCATAGGAACCTTAACGGAGCCCTTAGAGATCCCTCTAAATGAACCCTACAAACCCAAATAGAACCACAAACAGCTACTAAGGCGAGGTGCAACAAGGCCAGAACCACCGTCCCCTGCCTCGGTACATTCGGGATCTGTGCCACCACCTGGGGAGATCTTCCGAAAATTCGGGGGTAGCTTGTTTTTTTGGGGGGGTCCCTATAATTATGATAAGGATCCTACTATTTAGGGTGCTCTATTAGGATACGGATCAATATAATTTAGGGTACTATATTGGAGTCCCGCTGTTTGCGGAAACCCCCAGGTGGGTAGTTGTGAAAAGTAAGGTCCATTTTGGGGTACCCAAGATATTAGGTGCCGTGCTATATTACATCATATGGGTAATTGTCAAAGTTCTGGTCCCTGTTGGGGTACCCTAAATAGTAGGTGCCATATTATAGTAAGGACCCGAAAAGGTACCCTAATTTGGACAACCACCCACCTCCACCGCCGGTGCCATTCACTCCAGATCCGCCATTGAAGCCTGGGTTCTCGCAGTTACGGCTACCAGGGTTTTTGTTTAGGGCTTGAGGCTTAGGGGGTTAGGCCTTAAGGTTTAGGGGTTTAGGGTTTAGGGGTTTAGGAATTCCGGGTCTTTTAAGGTTTAGGGAAGGTTAAAGTGCCAGAACAGGACAAGCAACAATAGGTTGTTTACGATGGATCACTTCCAAAGGAAACTTAAGATAAGTTTCTTTAAAAGATCCAGAAACATCCTTCTTGAGGCACGCCTACCGGAATGCCGAAGCTGCTTCCGTTTCCTCCCCCTCCCATGCCCCCAATGCCGCCACCATTCGGGACCACTTGGCCATTGTTCTGGTTGACACCTCCGCCCCCTCCCCCACCGAACCACTGCACCGTCCCAGTGATATTGGACTCTACACCATCTCCTCCATTTCCGCCCAGGTGAATTGCAGGAGCATTGGATCCAGCTTGTCCAGCTCCGCCTCCACCGCCGCCTGCCCCGAAGCTGTCTGTGTCGGAAATGCCACCATCGTTGCCTTGCCCAGGCGTGCCGCGACCTGAGCGCTCTCTCAAGCGAAGAATAGCTAAGGCATCCCTGCTACAACATAGCCATTCGTAGTCTTGTAGTCATGCTTGTTGTTTACTTGTGTGCTCACGTCTTATGATTGGCCGTGTATTTAAGAAAACAGGACCCTGCATGCCCCCGCCTGGATTGATGTTGGGACGGTCAAAGCCACCGCCTCCGCCGGAGCCACCATTACCTGAGACCCGAGCTGTCTTACAGAGCCATATGAACAAACCCTTGCAAACACCTAGAAAAAACCCTGTGAAATAACACCTGACAAAACCCAATAGAACCCGCCTTAGAAGCCGAAATGGAACCCGTTTAGAACACCTCTTCGAACCCTCAAAACCCTACTCCCCATCAGCCCTAAACCCTAAACCTTGTAATCCCAAAACCCTAAACCTTATAAACCCTCAGCACCCCAAAACACCCTAAAATCATAGAGACCCTTAGGGGGGTAGGGGGAGGGGGGGGTAGGGGGCCTCAATGCTCAGAAAGACCCTAATAAGGCCTTTTTTAAGGAAAGTATAGTGCCCTACCCCTCTACCCCTCTAAGGGTCCCTATGACGAAAACCCCGGAGCCCTTAAGCGCTGAGCAGGCACATCATCACCCAGCACTCTAAGGGTCCCTATGATGAACCCCTACTTAAAGGATCACGGGACTTAGTAACTAAGGTTATTATTAGGGTAACTATACTTATAAGTACTTGTAACCCCAATTGAGGCGCTTACAACCATACTTAGCAAGTCCTATGATCCTCGAAGTAGTAGACCCTATACCCTAAACCCTTATACTACCCCTTAGATCCCTTTAAAGAGCCCTTTAAGAACCCTTACTAAGTCCCATGAACCCCCTAAAGGATACCCCGCCGGGGCGGGCCTGGGACTCGCGTGACTCCGGCACCGAATCCGCCACCAAAGGAAACGATCGGTCCTCAGCTCGCCAGTCCCCCCAAAACATCCAGAAAGTAGATTTTATAGGGTTCCTTTAATGGCTCCTTTAAGGGATCCCTTAGGGTCGAAGGTTTAGGGATCTATAAGGGAAAGTAGATCCCCTAATTTGGGATCATGGGACTTAGTAGGGTTCCTCAATGGGCTCCTTTGTGGGGATCCTTTCGGGTTTCCTCAGCTCTGCAGTCCCGTGACCCATGATCCTCTAGGGTTTTAGGGTTTGGGGTTTAGGGTTTAAGGGTTTAGATGATCCATGATCCTCTACGGCTTAGGGTTTGGGGTTCAGGGTTTAGGGTTTAGGGTTTGGGGTTACGGTTTATTAGGGTTTAGGGTTACGGATTGTTTTTTTCAGCACCTTTTTCCGCCTGCCCAATCTGTCTTGAGCGAAGCAGAAGGCCGCGAGCGACCAGGCGATTGGCAGTTTCGGGTTCAGGGGTTAGGGGTGAGGGGTTTAGGGTAGGGTTTAGGGCTTAGGGAACCTTAAACCTCCAGGAATCCCTTGTACCCTCATGGAACCCTATGAAGAACCTCAGTTACCAAGTCCCATGACCCTTGAAGCCCTGAAACCCCGATTATGGAACCCATGTATACAATCATTTAAAGTGAGGTCTGGATGGAGGTTGTTTTGGTTTTGGCCCATGGACGCGGGATAACGTGACGGTTGACCCATGGATGATCTGGGAAAAGGTGGGACAACGTCACGGTTGACCCATGGATATCCATGGATGCTCTGGGGAAAGGATGGGGAGGGATGATGTCTGGGTGGACGTTCACATGGCTTTGGCCCATGGATGCACTGGGGAACGGATGAGGTCTGGGTGCACGCTATCACGGGTTTTGGCCCATGGATGCGTTGCGGAACGGATGAGGTCTGGGTAGAGTTACATGGCTTTCCCATGGATATTAGGAACCCTAACTCCTCAGTCCCATGATCCTTGCCAAGCGCGTAGCTCTCTGAATTAAGGTCCCTTTTTGGGGATCATTTTTACAAGGGTGCCGAACTATTTTGGGGACTTAAAAAGGGACCGTTATTTAGAAAGCTACCCAAGTACAGAGGGCTGAAAGCGGGGGGGCGGTGCAGGGCGCGGGGGGGCGGGGCTACTTATGAGGGATGTATAGTGAGGGATGTATAGGGGATCTATTCAAGGTTTAAGTGTTTAGGCTTTAGGGCTTTAGGGCTTTGGGGTTTAGGGTGTAGGGGTTTAGGGTTTAGGGCTATGAGGGATCTTTAAGGGGTTAGGGCTCATGGCGCGCAGCGTCTGGGAACTTGGCTAAGTAGGTAGGATAGCCAGCTTAAGGTACTGACTCTACTTTTTCTCCCTCAAACCTAAACCCTGCTTAAACCCTTAACCTTCCTCACTTACTCTATAACTATGTATAATATGCTCCCAAACCCTATTCTCAGGACCAGGACACTTAAACCCTAAACTGGCCGTAAGCCTGACCCACATAAACAATTGCAAGAAGAACTAAACTCATAAGGCCATCAAGAAATGAGAAAACTGAACCCGGCCCTAAAACTAAACTCATAAGGTCATAAATTCATAAAGAAATGAGAAAACTGAAGTGCAGGGTTCCCAAGACGGAATTCCCTCCGCTTGTAGACTGCACCGGGTTCGGAGGCACCAGCCCGAACGGAGAGCCTCGGCACTTAACGGGTCAGGGGGGCCCGTGCCTACTTCGATTGATGATATAAAACCCTATAGGGTTCCTTGAAAGGGATCTATAAGGGTACCTTTAAGGGGTTCCTTTAAGGGATCTATAGGGTTTTAGGGTTTAGGGTTGATGATATAAATCCTGCATTACCCATAATAAGGAATATACCATAATTCCCATAGTTTAGGGTCCTTAAGGTAATGCAGGATTTATACCATCAACCGTTACAGTAGGGTTTAGGGTTTTGGGTTTAGCCAGAAAGTTGGAACATCATTCTCCTCATGGTCTTAAGGTAAATTATAAGGGATCCTAGCACGAATCCTCCTAAAGCCATGTTCCAACTAAACCCAAGGGCCCCTTCTAAGACCAAGAGTCGTGTAGAAACTGCAAAAAAACGTATCAATGCTATTTTTAGAGAATGTATAGAGGCCCATACAAGCCCTACGGCAAGCACTACGAGACCCTCCACTGCACAACCCAACAAAACCTGCTTCCAACAAGAACGACCCGGAGCCTCCGTAGCCTCCGATGCCACCGGCCCCCACCACCACCTCCCACACCGAGCCAGGAAGGATTTCGACCTTGGCGAGTGATCATGCTGTATAGTTTGTTCTGTCGCCGTGCTGTTAGGGTATAGGGTGTATGGTTTAGGCTTCAAAATTTAGGGTTGTTCTTGGGGTGAGTGGCCGGATCCTGTTGGGATTGCCGGTTTGGTTGAATCTCGCAGACGAGTTATCATCGTAAAGGCAAAGACAAACGCAATGTACAGATATCAATAATACGAATATTCAGACTGACACGGAGAGTAAAATGAGTAAGCAAAACAAACTGAGATGCATGACAAAAGTAAGATGTGTCATACAAGTAGCAGGAATATCGAGATAACAGCAGGCTTAATGAAGGTCTGCTCATGACCCTCTTCGCCTTCAACGTAATTTTTTCGCACCATCACTGCCACCAAAACACCGGTAATCATCTGGCGCTCAGAGATCCTGCTTTTCTGTTTCACTATTTGGAGGATCATGGGACTTAGTCACTAGGGTTATAAGTAGCGTACCTATAGTTATAATTACTTATAACCCCAGTTAGGGTACCTATAACCTTACTTAAGTCCCATGATCCTCTATAAGTATTTCACTATGACAAGACCAAAGAGTACCACACCAACAAGTGCTGGAACCTCACTCAGCTATCACATTGCGAGCTTTTGCCACTCTAGGTGGCACTCGTCGTTCGCAACATGACGCGTAGTTGTCGCTTGTCGCCGTGGTCTTTCGTTGTCGTCGCAGCGGTGGGAGGAGCGGTAGCAGAGGTTCCAGTCGCCCCCTTAAACCCCACAGTTCAAACCTGCACCCTAAACCCCTATAGACCCCTTATAGAACCCTTTAAGGAATCCTCTTAAGTTATTAAATCCCTATAGACTCCTTATAGAACCCTGAAAGGAACCCTCTTAAGTTCCTAAACCCCTATAGCAAACCCTAAAGGGCGAGCCTCAGGGTCGGGGCAATTTCACTGCGCTTGAGAGCCCAATGCGTTTTGATCAAGCAAGATACCTTCAATCGTGATATGGGAGTTTCCGAAGATTGGTGGTACCTCATATTTGGGGTTCCTATAATAAGCATCCTACTATTTGAGTACTATATTAGGGTCCCCTACTTTCGGAAACTCCCATATGAAGCCCCATGTCATTTAAGCCGCTTTCCTGAATTAAGGGGTATTGAGCTCTCTTTCGCAGAATGCAAGCATACATGACCAGCAAGCAACAGGAATCGCGGTTCTGCGAATACACGCAACCCTACAAATAAACCCGAAGCTACAGAACCCTAGACAAAACGCATCAACCGTCAACCCCTGTACCCAAAGCCCCGAAAATCCCTAACCCCAAACCCTCATTTACCCTTTTGAACCAAGCTGTTTAAAGAAATCTTATAGATCCCTCAAAGGAGCCCTTAAACAAACCCTTAGAGGAAAACGTACAGGAACCCTAAAAGGAGCCCTTAAAGGAGGGAGCCCTTAAAGGAACCCTTAAAGGAGACCCTAAGGAACCCTTAAAGGAGACTTAAAGGAGCCCTTGAAGGAGACCTTACAGGAACCCCTTTAGGAACCCTAAGGAGCCCTTCAAGGAAGCCCTTAAAGGAGACATTAAAGGAAGCCCTAAAGGAGACCTTAAAGGAAGCCCTAAAGCAGACCCGAAGGAGGAGCCTTAAAGGAAGGCCTATAGATCCCCAAGGCGAGGCGCTGAGTCTTGCAGTACTCCGCCAGCGCCACCGCCACCCGAGCCCCCACCTCCGCCTCCGGCTACCACCAGGTACTCCACAGTGAGGCCTCGGGTTCAGAGTTTAGGGTTTAGGTTGGTCGGTTTAGGAATTAAGATTTAGGGTTTAGGGTTCAGGTTGGTTGGTTTAGGGTTTAGGATCTAGGGTTTAAGATTCAGGGTTTAGGGTTTGGAGGATGTTGGGGTTGCGGCTCAGGGTTTAGGGGTTTAGGGTTTAGGGTTTAGGGTTTAAGGTTTAGGGTTTAAGGGTTTAGGGTTTAGGGTTTAGGGTTTAAGGTTTAGGGTTTAAGGTTTAGGGTTTAAGGTTTAGGGTTCTAGAGTTCTTTGATGGGCTCCAGAAGGGTGTTGTAGGTTCCTTAAAGGGAACCCCCTACACGCTAAACCATTATAAACTCCTTAAAACCCGCTGTGTAAACCCGTGTAAAGCCCACTGAAGTTCTAGAGCTACTCAGCCTTTGTATTCCGAGGCATGGAGTGTTAGGGTTTTTGAGTGTTTAGAGATTTAGCGGATTTAAGGATGGGGTTGTAGGTTTTGGATTTTGAGGTTTGGTGTTTTGAAGGCTTCTTTCTAGGCTTAAAGTTTTGAGTTTCAAGGATTTGAAGGCTTTGGGTTTTAAGGTTCAAAAGTTTCCAAGTTTAAAGGAACTCCTAAAGTAACTCTTAAAGGAACCCTTAAAGTAGCCCCCTTGAACGAACCCTTCAAATTCTCCTTAGGGTTACAACGTTTAGGGCTTGAGGTTTGGGAATTGCACGTCAGGGTTTTGGAGTTTTGGGCGTATTCAGAGCTTTGGGCCGTAGTCGTAACGGCGATTGAGGGTGTAGGGTCTGGAGTCATATGGATTTAGGGTCTTAGTTGGAGGAGTTTGGGGCTACCAGCAATGGCAGTGTCACGAGCGTTGCGATTACAGCGTGCTTCTTCTGCGTTCCTGCTTTACAAAACCCATGATTGTCAGTGCTATTAGCACTGGCACTGCTAAGGTTCGTATTACTTCCTACTTCCTTCTTATCAGGAAACCAACCCCTAACAAAAATCTCGTCTGGCGGCCTGCACGTGCTGCTTGTATGCCGAAGCAAGCGAGCAACGTCCACCATGCAGCAATCATCTTTGGAAAGCTGCAGCGGAGCTACCGAACTACTAGCCAACCCTAAACCCTAAACCCTAAACATTCAAGGGCACGGAACCCAGGGTTAGGAGTTAGGAGATCTAAAAGATTAGAGTGTCGAGCTTCGATGCAACATCTTCGAAAGCCTGTCTGGGTTCTGTGATCAGCCACCGGCTGCAAACCAAGACGGCCAACAGATTGCTAGCCATGCTTCGGTTGAACACATTCCAACGAGTCAGGGTTCAGGGCTTAGAACTGAGAGTTTGGGATTTAGGGCTCGGGGTAGAGATCAGTGAACTTTGCAGGTAGCTTCCAGTGGAGCTTTGGATTTACCGAGCAGGTCCATCCCACGTATAGCCCGGACTATCCTTTGAGAAACCCTGGAACAGCTGTCACATGTCAACAACCCCTAAACATGAATTCAGGGAAAGCCTAAAACCTCAAACCCTAAATGCGGAACAGGCAAACCCTGTAGTTACAGCTTTAGGCGCTGCTCGCAAACTCTACGGTGTAGGGTTGGAATCTCCAACCACGCACCCCATGAGCTCCTGCACCCTAAGTCAAAATAGGCTTAGGGCTTAGGGCAACTCTTCATATTCCCGACAGTCGCAACTCCGTAGAATCCCCATAATCTTCTCACAGATTTAATGGGGGTCGTGACTCATGTAGATACCCTAAGGCCCCAAAGTAGTTCCTTTTTGGGATTACCTTATAGGATTCCATATAGGAACCCCAAAAAGGAACTACTTTGGGGCCTTAGGATACTCGCTGTCTCAGCCCGACGGCTTTTCTTCTGCTCAAGCAACACATTGGAGAATTCTGACAGAGTACACCGCGACCTCTGCATCGCGCTCCAGACTTAAAACAATTAGGCGCTATGTTACACTCGTCCTGTTCGCAAGTGAAGCTATTGTCGTTTCTTGGCATTGTTCTCCTCTCGTCCAAAACCAATCAGCCCAACGCAGCGACGGACCACTACCTGGGCTGTTGTTGCGTTAAAAGGTCCATGTTGATGTAAACTTGAGCCCAATACTAGCCTAAATCGCACCAGCATCAACTACAAACAACCGAAAATGCCATTGGTACTACCGGGGTTCCACCATCCTGCCCCCAAACGCAAGTCATTACTCTGCACTCATGATTTTGCTTTTCTGGCATCCTCCGGCCGAAACGAGGACGACTCTTGTGTTGTCACTTGCCGTTGATTGTCTCGTGTGTCTTCTGGTAGATGCCAAAAGTTTGAGGCAACTTGACATTTGTTTGCCGTTATGAGCCGCAGCTGTCTCACTGGCCCATCAAGGGGCCCCTCCCTTCTACTACCCTACCCACCCTGCTACTGCCCTACCCTACCCTACTGCTCTACCCTCCACAAACTACCCTACCCTACCCTATCTGATCTACAACAAAGTGCCCAGTTCAGGGCACAAGTTGGTACACAAACTGCAGCAGGGGGAGAAGAGGAGGGTCCCCCAGTTCCCAAGCTACGGAAGGGAGACTCCAGAAAGTCTGTCAGAGACAATTATCTGTGGACCCCCGGCGGAACTAGCTGTTCTTTGGAACACATCTAGACTCTAGAACGCCTACGGTGGCAGTACACTTCTTGGGGAATGGGGTGCAGATTTTTGTTTTTTTTCTTGGCCCTTTTTTTTTTTGGCCCTGGGCTCCTGCGTTCTCCGTATTTGCCGCATGCGTAGTAGTAGTAGTAGTAGTAGTAGTAGTAGTAGTAGCAGCAGCAGTAGTCGTAGCAGTGGTAGTAGTAGCAGTGCTAGTAGTAGTAAGGAGTAGTAGTAGTAGTAGTAGTAGTAGTAGTAGTAGTAGTAGTAGTAGTAGTAGTAGTAGTAGTAGTAGTAGTGAGTAGTACTACGTAGTAGTAGTAGTAGTAGTAGTAGTAGTAGTAGTAGTAGTAGTAGTAGTAGTAGTAGTAGTAGTAGTAGTGTAATAGTAGTAGTAGTAGTAGTAGTAGTAGTAGTAGTAGTAGTAGTAGTACCAGTAGTAGTAGTAGTAGTAGTAGTAGTAGTAGTAGTAGTAGTAGTAGTAGTAGTCTGGTAGGAGGTATAGTAGAAGTAGGTGAAGTAGTAGTAGTAGTAGTAGTAGTAGTAGTAGTAGTAGTAGTAGTAGTAGTAGTAGTAGTAGTAGTAGTAGTAGTAGTAGTAGTCTAGTAGGAGGTATAGTAGAAGTAGGTGAAGTAGCAGTAGTAGTAGTAGTAGTCGTAGTCGTAGAAGTAGTCGTAGCAGTAGTAGCAGTAGTAGTAGTAGTAGTAGTAGTAGTAGTAGTAGTAGTAGTAGTAGTAGTAGTAGTAGTAGTAGTAGTAGTAGTAGTAGTAGTAGTAGTAGTAGTAGTAGTAGTAGTAGTAGTAGTAGTAGTCGTAGTAGTAGTAGTAGTAGTAGTAGTAGTAGTAGTAGTAGTAGTAGTAGTAGTAGTAGTAGTAGTAGTAGTAGTAGTAGTAGTAGTAGTAGTAGTAGTAGTAGTAGTAGTAGTAGTAGTAGTAGTAGTAGTAGTAGTAGTAGTAGTAGTAAATAGTAAGTAGTAAGTAGTAAGTAGTAAGTAGTAGTAGTTAGTAGTAGTAGTAGGTAGTAGTAGTAGTAGTAGTAGTAGTAGTAGTAGCAGGAATCGTAGCAGTAGTCGTAGCAGTGGTAGTAGTAGCAGTGGTAGTAGTAGCAGTGGTAGTAGTAGCAGTGGTAGTAGTAGTAGTAGTAGTAGTCTGGTAGGAGGTATAGTAGAAGTAGGTGAAGTAGTAGTAGTAGCAGTAGTAGTAGTAGTAGTACTAGTAGTAGTAGTAGTAGTAGTAGTAGTAGTAGTAGTAGTGTTGTAGTAGTAGTAGTTGTAGTAGTAGTAGTCTAGTAGGAGGTATAGTAGAAGTAGGTGAAGTAGTAGTAGTAGTAGTAGTAGTAGTAGTAGTAGTAGTAGTAGTAGTAGTAGTAGTAGTCGTAGCAGTAGTCGTAGCAGTAGTCGTAGCAGTAGTCGTAGCAGTAGTCGTAGCAGTGGTAGTCGTAGCAGTGGCAGTAGTAGTAAGTAGTAGGTAGTAGTAGTAGTAGTAGTAGTAGTAGTAGTAGTAGTAGTAGTAGTAGTAGTAGTAGTAAGTAGTAAGTAGTAAGTAGTAGTAGAGTAGTAGTAGTAGTAGTAGTAGTAGTAGTAGTAGTAGTAGTAGTAGTAGTAGTAGTAGTAGTAGTAGTAGTCGTAGTAGTAGTAGTAGTAGTAGTAGTAGTAGTAGTAGTAGTAGTAGTAGTAGTAGTAGTAGTAGTAGTAGTAGTAGTAGTAGTAGTAGTAGTAGTAGTAGTAGTAGTAGTAGTAGTAGTAGTAGTAATAGTAGTAGTAGTAGTAGTAGTAGTAGTAGTAGTAGTAGTAGTAGTAGTAGTAGTAGTAGTAGTAGTAGTAGTAGTAGTAGTAGTGGTGTAGCAGGAGGTATTAGTGGGAGTAGGTGCAGTAGCAGCTGTAATAGAAAACACCGAGGCCCCCAAAGGGGAAAAAAAAAGGGCAAAGAAAAAAAAGAAAAAGGGTCAAGAAAAATAGGGTCCCCGAAAATGTTGTATAACAACTGTAAAGAATTCCACTTGGTGTCGAGTTCAACAATGACTAAAAACATCTATAAACTAGGGCTGCATATAAAACGATAAAACGAAAAGATCCCAAATGGATACCTAGTTACCAGAAGGCAATAGGCCAGGAGCAAGGGAACAATGGGCCAAATCCACGTGATCATCCCCAAGGTGGCCAGCAAGGCCTGCATGACGACGCGGTCATTGACGTGCGGCATTTGGGTGTCCGGCACGGGCATGCCCAAAAACTCGCATAGAGGCTTCCACCCCTGGTTGAGGTTGAATTCGAGCAGCTTCTCCGGAGGGATCATAGCACGGACTCGCTCGATGTGCTTGTAGTAGCTCTCTTCCAAGACATCTACATCCCCACGAAACTCTGGTCGTCCCTGCGTCTGGATCTCCCACAGCATGTGCTTGTAGGCTTTCAAAACGCCATGGAAACTCTTGACCCAAATGAAAGGTCGTGACGACAAAATGTCCATCCCGTGCGACACCCAAGCCCACGACTCGGCCCATTTGCGGCCACTGTCGCGATAGGTAAGGACGAATTTGATGTCAACTTCGGGGTGCTGGACAACCCAATCGACGATTTCGTACGAGAACCAGAAAAGCACATCAAATCCCCGAGCTCCAAACTCATGAAGGAAATCGCCTACAGGCATGGGGTGTGTGTCATTAAAGCGCCGTGCCAATAAATCTGCTACTTCCATGACTTCATTGTCGTGGCAGGGCGTGTACCCGAGTTGCTTCAAGGCCGTGACAAAGCTAGTTGTACCCGTACGAGCAAACCCGACAGAAATCAGCTTGGTTTTGGTTGGCAGCCGCTGGGGCGCCTCAGGGATAATTGCTTTGAGTGCGAGACGAAAGCCCTCGGAGATCCCGGAGAAGGTTCGCACAAACCAGGACGATGTTTGCGTGTCGGCTCCTCCAATCTGCGCTGCCCATATCATGGGAGCATACATGAGAAGCAGAAGCAAACCCACGACGAGCTTGCGGGAAAACATGGCGCGTGATCTTGTTGTTCCAACTACTACAATTAAGGTCCGTAGCCCACAGCTCTTTCTCTCAGAGCTCCTACCTTACAGTGGGCCCATGCTACCGTTTGTGTCTAGTTTGAAATCCACAGCATGACCCTTTTGGGAAGGCACTACCTCATGGCTTGCAAGCTGAAACCCAGCGCACTCCGCAGGTCAAGGTGCTGTTCAGTGGCCAATGTAACTTCAATGAGAAAACCGTGGCTGTCGACGACTCTGCTGACGACGAGGACGAGCACGACTACACGCTCTACTTCCCGCAACACACATCTATTCCACAGGGTTCCAAATGAGGGTGCCGTAGGGGCTGCCTGTTTGAGGGATTCAGGTAAAGGGCTCCTTTCTGGATTCCACTACGAGTTCTTTAGGGATAACAGCCGTTGTGACTCCTTCTGTCGTTCGAAGGTGCGGGGTTTAACGGCACGGGGCTTAGGGCTGTAAGGTTGAAGGCTCAGGGTTCAGGGTTCCGGGCTTTGGGCTTTGGGCTGTGCAGTAGAGGCCAGAAAGTTGGAACATCACTATCCTCATTCCCTTAAGGTAAAGTAGAGGGAATCCTAGCACTAGTCATCCTAAGTCCATGTTCCAACTTTCTGGGGTTCTCTATACCCTAAACCCTAAACCCCCCTAAACCCAAACCATAACCCTGATCCCTAAACCCTAAAACTATAAGGTTTATAGCTTTAACGTTCTTCGGGTTCTCGGTTCGGGCCTGGAGCAGGCTTTAGGCTTTGGTTCGGGCTCGAACCAATAAATAGAAAGATTCGACAGTCTACTTCCGATACCTATCTGCAACTCATACAAAACCACGCAAGAGTTGCTGCAGTCGCCACCCCGACTCACGACACCGAAGCCATCCGAAACCGCAAATTTAGTAATCGCCTGAGCATGCTGCTAGCATCATGTCATGCTCATCAGCATCCTCAACATTGCAACAATAATTGCATCGTAACAGATGTCGCAATAACCATCCTGCCAACAACATCGTTGTCACATGGTTTGTAAGTGTTCTCTCTCGTCTTCACCAACACTCCTTTCCCAACTCGCATGGGCGAAGAAACATTCTCACGGAGGTACGGTCTAAGCAGCTCATGGTATCAAGAAGTGGCCCTCCAGCACGTCGTGGACCTGAAACGCGCGAAACTGACGCCGAAAGAGGTGCTCAAGGCGGTTCATCCCCGAACGCAAGCACTGCAGGGGCCTTGCGTGCCACAAGCTCCAATACCCTAACCCTATAACCTAAGCCCGTGGATTCCTACTGCGCAGCTGCCAAGCACCTTCTCCAAACTCCGTTTTTGGGTTTCTTTTTTTTGAGGGTGCAGACCTGACAGAAGCAGCAATCGAGCACCCTACTTTGACGATCATGGGACTACTTAAGTAAGGTTGTAAGTACCTTTGTGGAAGTTATAAGCAGTTATAACTACGGTTATCCTCCAAGTACACCTGTGCAAGCCAAGGAAGCCCAGGCAATGCCAAGTGAAGCCCATAGGGGCGAAGCAAGGACTAAACCCTAGTGGAATTGGAAAGGCGCCAATGCCTCAGACCTGAGGTAGGACGGACGTGAAAGAGGGCCAATAACACACTCAACACAGATGAGCCACAAGCCCGATCCTGACAAGAAAACGTCGCCAAAGGCAAGCGGTAGGCTTGCCCACGCTGAAAGTCTCGGAATAGCACTCTCGGAAGCACAAGGTCCAAGTAAGTCAGCATCGCATCTGTTGCAGGGCTCTCTGCAACGTTTCAAACACACCATGGCTGAGACGGGCTGCTGAACGAAAGGCAAGCGTTTCTCAGAGATCCCAATACCCCTTAACTAAGAAATGTGCCTTAAATGATACGATTTAAGGCATATTCCTTCGGTAAGGTGTATTGGGATCTCTGGGTCATGCTGTCAGTCCCGACTTCCATGGCTGCAGGCAGCACCCTATGCCTGATTTGGCACCCAAACAACGCGTAGGAGTGAGAGGCTTGCAACATGTAGGAGTTTTCGCAGCCGCAACCGGCATGATGTGGCTTGGAACGGCATTGGAGCACTAGGCCAATTGGTCGTGATGGCACCTAAACCCCTAAACCCTAAACCCCTGAACCCTAAACCCTAAACCCCAAACCCCTGAACCCTAAACCCTAAAACCCCTGAACCCTAAACCCTAAAACCCCTAAACCCTGAACCCTAAACCCCTAAACCCTATACCCTATACCCTATAGACCCTAAACCTTAGACCCTAAACCCTAAGCCTTGACATGATGGTCCTGTGTCGCCTCAGCTCATAGCACTGCAGGGAAAGGCGTGTCTGCAGGAAGAAAGGTGCTGTGCGCAGCAATTCCCTGATTTGGAACTGCCTCCTGGGTTTAGGGTTTAGGGTTTAGGGTTGTTTAGGGTTTAGGGTTTAGGGTTTAGGGCTCTCGCTCTCTCGCTCTCTCGCTCTCTCGCTCTCTCGCTCTGGCGCTCTCTCGCTCTCTCGCTCTCTCGCTCTGGCGCTCTCTCTCTCTCTCGCTCTCTCGCTCTCTCGCTCTCTCGCTCTCTCTCTCGCTCTCTCTCTCTCTCTCTCTCTCTCTCTCTCTCTCTCTCTCTCTCTCTCTCTCTCTCTCTCTCTCTCTCTCTCCAAGTGGTAGGGTAGTGCCGACGGTCCTTCCTGCTACGTTTTGAAGGTGATGGTAAGATGAAAGTTGAACGTCTTGTCTCTCTTGGGTTGGCAAAAGCGTCATCAAAACAGAATGCAGCGCCCTTAAACCTGAAAAGGCCCAGGATGATCTAAGCACGTGCAATTGCGGTGTGGAACATGGCCTCCGTCGTTTCAGTCTCCGCAACCATCGCGGCCTGGCAAACTGGGCATCGCTTGAGGATGAGGGTTCGGGATTGAGGTTTAAGAGTTTTCAAGATTTAGGCTTAAGTCTGGAGTTTAGGGTTCGGACCTCGATAAAAAGGTTCAGAGTGTCTGCGCTTTCGGAAGTATTCTCCCCAACGGTCCCAGCCTGGTTAATGGCAAGCAACTTTTTTTGCAACAGGCTCCGCGACAAAGGGTTCACACAATCGTCGCCACGGCAGGTCTCCTGCTTCAGGGCTTGAGGAAGGCGTGAGGCCTTTATTATAATCTGTTGCCAAAAGCTGTCCGTGGCCACTGTACAAGCGAAACAAAACGGGCATGTCAGCTCAACCAAAGGTGAGCAGGGTAGGATCCCCTCTACAATACAAGAACTGCCACAAAATGGCACTAGACTGGCTTCATGCCTGCCCAAAAGTCAGGGCTGAATTACTAGGCTAAAACAAATCGTAGCGACGTGGTCGGAGCCGTCTTGGCCTCGATAGTCCCGCCGGAAGGGGTTCCCTCGAGGCGCCTTTTGACCTACTTGTAAATACGACGTACGACGAAAGGGTTTAGGGTTTTGGGGCCTACTTGTAAATGCGACGAATGGGCCCAGGGTTTAGGGAGTTCAGGGTTTGGGGGCCTACTTGTAAATACGACGAATGGGCCCAGATTGCCTCTCAAATGTGGGCGTGAAGGCCGGTGGAGGGCGGCCGAAGCAGTAGCCAAGCTGTTCATACAAGGCTACCTCAGTCAAGTTCACATGTCGTTGCACAATGGCCTCGTCGGTGTTCATGTACTTGACGACCCCGGCATCGATGTTTGTCACCGTCACTCCTTGGATACCCTCGGCCAGCAAGAGCACTGCGCCGGCACCGACTTCATGGCCGAACTTCACCTGGGTTGTGCTTTAGACCCTAAACCCTAAACCCTAAACCCTAAACCATGTATGAATAGGTTCCCTTATAACCCTAAACCCTAGACCCCTAAACCCCCAGACCCTAAACCCCTAAACCCCTAAACCCTAAACCCCAAAGCACAACCCAGTCACGTCGTAGGAGACCCTAGCCCTAAACTCTAAATATTTATGAATAGGTTCCCTTTATAAGGAAGTAAGGGAAGTTACAAATTATCCCAAACTTTAAAAGTCACGTCGTAGGATTTAGGGTTTAGGGTTTAGGGTTTGGGGTTCAAGGTTTAGGGTTTAGTATCCCAAACTTTAAAAGTCACGTCGTAGGAGGAAGTGAAGCCACATCGGACCAAGTGCTCGGGCACCACGGTGCGGATCTCGGGCTCCTCGTAGACGCCCTTGACATACATTTTGTGCGCCTTCATGGGTGTTTCCGACAATAGGGGACCCTTTAAAGGGTTCCTTAAAGGGATTTATAAGGGTTCTATAAAGGGCCTAGGGTTTAGAGTTTCCGAAAATCGGGGGGGTACCCTATTTTGGAGCACTTGTAATAAGGATCCTCGTATTTAGGTACTATTCTAGGGTCCCCAATTTTCGGAAACACCTTCATCTGCTCGGCCACGCTGGGGTCCGCATGCATGCGCAGCTCCAACTCCTGGCGGACGTACTTTCCGGCGCCTGCCAGCTTGAAGTGGTCGCTGGAGTCCGGCGGAACGTTCTTGTCGACCAGTTCGGAGCCAGATGCGTCCTTGAGACCTTCGGACACTACGATGATGTAGGTGCCCGCCTTGACGTCGCTATCTGCGACACGGCCGAAGTACTTCGTCCTGATGTCCGCCCTAAACCCTAAGCCCTAAACCCTAAACTCTAAACCCTAAACCCTAAACTCTAAACCCTAAACCCTGAAGTACTTCGTCCTGATGTCCGCCCACAGGAGATCGAAGTCGACAGGGACCTCTGGGATGAGAATCGCGTCGGCACCCGCCGCAATTCCTCCTCGAAAGGCAGTGTGGCCGGCGTAGCGGCCGAAGACCTGTTGGAGTTTCCGAAAATTAGGGGTGCTTCATTTTAACCCCAAGCCCTAAACCCTAAGCCCCAAAGCCCTATACCCTAAACCCTAAAACCCTAAACCTTAAACCCTAAACCCCTAAGCCCTAAATTTTAGGGTTCTGATAATAAGGATCCTACTGTTCAGGGTATTTTTTGTTAGGGTCCCCCATTTTAGGAAACTCCCACCTCAACGACGAGGATGCGGTTGTGGGTTCTGCCAGTGGTGGAGAGATCGCGGACGAACTCGCGAATGCGGTTGATCGTGGAGTCGGCTCCGACACTATAGGACATGAGGTCGAGGTCCATCGTCTTTGGGGCATGGATGCACTTGATCCCATTCTTGATCAGGTCAAGCATGATAGTGCCAGTGTCGTCGCCTCCACTGATCACAAGGGCATCGATCCCGAACTTCTCCAGACCTTTCTTCACGGTGTCATACTTGTTGGGGTCCTCAGAGATCCCCATACCCCTTAATAAAGGAATATACCTTGAAGTATAGGGGCCTTAATATTATGGTTTAAGGTCTATATTCCTGAATCCAGAGGTAGTAGGATCTCTTATAAAGTCCTTATTATGGGGATTGAGGCCCCCTACCCCCCTCCCCCCCGAACCCCCCTACGGTTGATGATATAAATCCGGCATTATCCACCATCAGGGATAGACCATAATTCCCCTAGTTTCCTGTCCTTAAGGTAACGCAGGATTTATATCGTCAACCTAAACCCTGAACCCTAAAACCCTATAGATCCCTTAATGGAGCCCCTTAGAGCTACCCTTATAGATCCCTTTAAAAGGAACCCTAGGATTTATATCATCAACCCTTAGAGGTACCCTTTTAGATGCCTTAAAGGAGCCCCTTAAGGCCTCCTATACCCCCCTCCCCCCTGACCCCCCTACGGTTGATCATCAACCGTAGTAACTAGGGTTATAAATTTGGTAACTATACTTATAATTACACTTATGACCCGAATTAGGGTACTTATAATACCCCCCTCCCCCGTACCCTTATAGATCCCTTTAAAGGAACCCTAGGATTCTAACCCCCCGCTAGGGGTCCTTAATCTTCGCGATCTTCACCCGCGAATGGCCGGCTTCGGAGCCTGCCATGCCCACAGACACCGGATCCAGCCGCTCAGGCGTGAGCTGCACCAAGGTATCCATGTTCACCAAGTTGTACAAGCCTTCATAGCCCTATAACCCCCAATATAGTATCTAGGATTCATACTAGGAACCCTAAAAAGGGCACAAAAAATCTTAATCAGCTTCCTACATTATCCATGTTCACCAAGTTGTACAAGCCTGCATAGCCGTTGGGAATCACGTAGGACTTAATTCCCTTCTTGTGGGCCATCATGGCTGCACCCTTGATCACCGCATTGAGCCCGCCGCAGTCACCTCCGCCGGTGATGATGGCGATCTTCTCCTTAGTTGCTGAGTTCATAAGCCCCAAAAAAATGCACACTTTTAGTTTCATAGTGCGTCATATTATCCCAAAAGGTGCAAAGTGTATCCACTCAGCTACTAAGTCTCAATGGCCATTGCGAAGCTCCCTGGAGGGTAGACCAGTCTCCTAGAGGGTGGCCCGGTTGCAGGCCGCACTTGAAACTAAAACACTGCGACATCCGACTTTCTGAAGCACGCATGTGAGTGGTTGTCGAAATTAGCGTCCCTTTTTGGGTACCCTGAATCATAGGTGCCGTATAATATTAAGGACCCAAAAAGGGACCCTAATTTTGACAACCACCTATGTGAAATCGGATCATCTTGGGCTCGGGCTAGAGCTAGACAGAGCTAGACAGACTTAGTAACTTTAAAGGGCTCCTTAAAGGGATCTATAAGGGTTCCAAAGGTATCTATGGGGTTTAGGGTTTAGGGTCTACTTAAAGGATCATGGGACTTAGTAACTAGGGTTATAAGTAAGGTACCCATAGCTATAATTACTTATAACCCCAATTAGGGTACTGTATAACTGGTATAACCTTACTTACTAAGCCCCATGATCCTCTAAGTAGACAGAGCTAGACATTCCACACTCTCAGGGTTTCGACCCTCACCTCAGGCCTCTGGGCACGAACTGGAGTGGGCTGCGAGTGCACAACTTCGATTCCCTCCCGGAAGGCGCTCTAAGAGGCACCACAAGGGGCCCATCCACCGTGGTGGTTTGGTGGCACACTAGGGCGGGGAAACCCACACCAAGGGTTTTTTTCATCCCTACAACACCTTTTGCAGTAAGGTAGGATTCCCTCCTCCCAAAATCCCATGTCCGGACGAGCATTCATTCAAACCTCAGATCGCGAACCCGAGTGTATAAGGAAGCCTGTCAGGAAGAGTGCAGAGGACGTGGATTGAGTCGGCAGAGGAGCATGAGGCGCAAACCCTAAACCCTGAACCCTAAACTATACTGAACTTGGAACCCTAGCAAATTATAATTTTAGCCGTTTCTTAGGGATTATGGTGACCAAAAACTAAAAGCTATTTCTAAGTACCCCTAAGTAAACCTATCCCAGTGAGGGGCCCTAGCTGTCTCCTGTAGATTCTCCTGTGGCCATGCCCTTTGACTCTGTGGTGCGTGTTCAACGCTAAAGCTAGCCCTACGGCTGATGGACAAAATCCTGCATTACCCATTATAAGGAATATACCATAGTTCCCATAGTTTAGGGTCCTTAAGGTCATGCAGTCATGCAGGATTTTGTCCATCAACAGTACGAACAACCCGAACAACAAGGCCGGATGCTAAATCATGCAGGATTCATGGAACTTCGAACCATAAACCGAACCTATCCACCTTCCTTTCCAACGACTGGCACATAGCACTACGGCAGATCCACAAGTCGATACCTCGAACTTCAAGACCTAAACTTTAAACTCCACACCCCATCTGCCAGGAAGATCACCCGAAGTCTGCGTACAAGCATGAACCCTTCTTTCCTTCTGCCAAGGCCACAGGCTCGCTGAACAAATGACCTACAACCCTACACCTCAAACTTTAAAAAAAAATACACGAAATTCACAATCCTCAAACCTAAGTACTACTGTTGATGGACAATATCCTGCATGACCCTGAGGACTGTAAACTATGGGAACCATGGGATAATCCTTATAACGGGTAATGCAGGATTTTGTCCATCAACAGTAGTTCCTGAACCTGAAACCCTCAGCTTGAACAGTAGAACCCTCAACGCACGGCGCCTGGATTGTCTACCTGCCGCTGGTGGCCAGGCACAGGGCTCCGTATCTTCGCGGTGAGGCTTGGGCACCAGGGTGTTTCGGGTTGAGGGTTTAGGGTTTAGGTTTTTGTTTAAGGGTTTAGGGTTTAAGGTTGTTTTTTTAGGGTTTAGGGTTTAGGTTGCCGGCGAAGTGTTACTGTAGAAGCCCAAATGAATATATACATTAGTCTAGGAATACCCTTGTAATCAAAACTAAACTAGCATCATCTTTGGCCGCCAACTACCCTCGTTGGACCCTGGAAATTTCACGGGGTTATGGGCTCGAATACTGGGTGTAGGGTTTGTGGAGTATAGACTGCGTATATTTTTTGTGGGAGGGAGGGGATGGTGAACGAGACGGACAAGAAAATGGAACCGTACCGCGATGATGTGCAGTGAGGCGGTAGTGGACTGTATGGCTCGGCTCGTCGTTAAGCAACGAGCTCGCCAAGTCTGCAATCCGCCCCATGCTTTCGACTGGCGGGACAAAAAAAGTTTGATGGGCAGCACGTGACGACAACCTGAAATCCTAAAACCCTGAATCCTAAGACCCGAAAACACCATGAAAACACTAATAGCAAGCAAAATTTTCAATTATGCCTGGTCGTGGTGCAAGGCGAAAGGCGGCAAGCCTTCCAAGGCACCTTTGAAAGGATCTCAGGTTTTAGGGTTTTTGGGCTCACGGGCTCAAGAAGGGCTGTGCTGGTGTTCTGATCAAGGATTAGGGTTTAGGGTGGATGTGTCGCCTTGCTTGAAAGATCAGGGCACGTAGAGAGTAGGTTATAGCTCTAGTTGTTGTTCGAAGCATCCAGCACGGGGCTATCTTGATCTAACTCTACCTGTGATCTTGTCTACGTAGGGTCAAACCTAGCTGTAGGCCGCAAGATTCAAGGTCAAAGTTTCAGGGTGCGCCATCAGGGTGCGCCGTCGGTAGAGGGACCGCCTGATTTCAAAGCGTTATAAGTGGCGCCAAAAGGCGCCAAAGCCACCACAAGCAAGGTAAAAGACAGGGGGGCAGCCTCTTGTTAAGAGTTTGGGGATTAGTGGCTTTGGGTTCAAACTTCGGGTTACCAGCGTTACGTGCATGGATAGGGTTCTTGATGACCCCTGACCCTGAAACCCTGAACCCCTAAACCGTACCCCAAAGTGCCTCTGGGTTCAGACTCGACCTGCAGATAGCGGTCCTGTGCGAAAGGGTGTCTTGGCGGGTTTGGGGTGTAGAGAAACAAAGTTCTTGGCGTAGGAATTTAGGATCTCAAAGTTTGGGGCGCAAGCTTTCGTTTCTGGTATGGGCTCTGGCTATACGGAGATTAGGCTTCCGTTTTGTTGAACACCGCTTTCGAACTGTAGCAGTAGAAAGCGATCTCGCTAGGCGCGACTTCGCCAACTTAAAAGACTTAAGCCTTGTCCCAACTCTCCAACACGTCATCATCCTTGTCGACCCTAAACCCTAAACTCATCGCCCCCTTTATCCGTTACCCGCCCGACCCAGGCCTCGGAGGAAAGGCTCAGGGTTTGGTAGTTCAGCGTCTATGTAGGGTGTCCAAAGAACCCGACACATCTTTCTGAAGCCGAAATTGCGCAGGATTTGTGAACGCAGGGGTTGGAGGCTCCGTACCAGATCGAACAAATCAAAGCCCTAAACTAAGCCCCACGACAGGAAGCCGCTAACACTGCCTGAAAAACCTAAGAAAAAGAATGAGACCTTGAAACGGCAACACATAAGACCTCAAAGCACCACTCACACCCCTTTAAACTTAAACCCCTCAAAAAAACATATCTAAAACAATGAAAGCCCTACTCAGATCCAACAAACCATGCTAAAGTACCTGTAAACCCTAAACCCCTGAACCACCCCAAATCTAAACCCTGCAGCCCCGCAACAGAAAAACCGAAGCTCCAAAATCCCTCTTGGCTCCTCCTCCGCGCCCACGGCCGTCCTGGTGGCGACTTCTCGTTCAAATAGAAGTACAGGTTGAAGATAAGGGAGTTTCCGAAATACGGTTGATAATATAAAACCTGCATTACCCATAATAAGGAATATACCATAATTTCCATACGTTAGGGTCCTGCAGGATTTGTATCATCAACCGTAGAGGACCCTAATTCAATACCCTAAATAATAGGATCCTTATTCTAAGGACCCCAAATCAGGTAGCCCTAATTAGGCCCTAATTTTCGGAAACTCTCATTTGCCGTTTAGGACAACTCAAACTCATGAGATTTCTCGCACTAACCTGATGGCCTCGGCTAGGACCGCGATGGACCGGCAATGTCGGATCGTTGGGCAATGAACCCGAATAACCCTTCTGTCTGAAGCTAAGAATCTCAATGCCTTCTGGGCTGAGGGTTGAGGTACGGAATTAGGTGTTGTTTAGGTTTTTGGTTTAGTGTCTAGGCTTAGGAGGCTCCAAACCTTCCATGCAAAAGCCCTAATTCTCGCATCCCAAACGGGAATTAACTCTTAAATGGCTGAAAAGTCTCAAGCCCAAATTGACCTAAATCTGAAATGTAGGGCGCAACTCCAAAACTAGAAGCTTCACCACGCAGCCCCAAACCCCGAACACAGAAAGTGTCCTCGGTCGGGTCGTCTCGCCTGGGCAGCGGCACCATGGTGGTCACAAAGCCGGCGTGGCCGTCAGGGCCTGCTGAAGTGCTTGGTTTCAGGTTTGCGGCCGCGCAAGGGTGGTACACCCTGCACCCTCATTACTAAACTGTAAAACCCCGAAACCCCTAACCCTTACAGTTGGAGAAGTAAGGTTTGGGAGAACTATGATATGGGAATGCCACCGAAAAACGGAAGGGTCTTTGGAATCTGATATACTGGGATTGTACGGTGATTACACGGGTCCCGTTGAGGTATTTTATGGCAAAAATTAGAGAAGCTCGTATACCGCATATGTGTATCATAATAGCCCCTAAAGAATCCCCAATAAGAAACCCTCGAATCCCTTTACAACCCCTATAGATCCCTAGGTTCCCTAGGGCCACGTTTTTGAGAAACCCGTACATCATAGCGAAATACAACCGTTCTGACTGAAGACGCCCGCCAAGCAGCCCATAACTACTAAGGGATATAGGGCTGATATAGCGTTTGTATAGGGGATTATGACATTTATCCTATGGAATCCGTGACACGGTGGGGAAG